GAAAACACAATTGGTCTTCAAAATGAACAAGAACACTGTAGTAAGTCAGGCTAAAACAAAACACTCAAAGGTAAATCAAATTAAAAAACATAACGAATACAGGCAGTTTACTGCGGAGTAGAGGGGAATTGTAGTGTCTCTGCGTAATTGAAGAAAGGCTGCCACATTTGGTCGAATTTCCTATATAGTGCACTACTTTTAACCAGAGCCTTATGGGGAATAGGGGGCTATTGGGACACACTGTTATTATCAGTTACTCATCATGTACAGTCTCATGGTTTCACGCCCTGATTAAGACACATCCTTTTAGTTTAAATCAGGGGACAAACTATATGACATCATACTAAAGTCATGGAATACTAGCGTGCTAAACTCACACAAACATTACACTACATACCTTTGGTTTTGCAACTCTCTCGGAACAATTGAATTTGATATTTTTGGCACTTACGTTGTTCAGACCCCTATCTTGCACAAGGTGTTACCTAAATACCTGTCACTAAGCAATTCATGTTGCTGCACTTCTCCTTTGTATGGTAGCCTATACACCGTGACAGTAAACCTGACTTTAAAAATAATATAAAAACACCTCACCGCACAACGCCACACCCCCATGTGACATACTTTTTGTGTGTATGTACTGACTTGCATGTGTAACTGATACACTACATGTTAATGTTTTTAAATGTATGTAAATTTTAATGTATTTTTCGTTATGTGAGACTAGATGTAAGATGTCGCCATTGGCGTCGGTTAATGGGAATCCTAACAAAATATATCACAACCATTATCCGACATGATGTTTGTTTTGACTACTATGTGGGTGTAATTACGATACCAACCATTATCAAGGCGTTATACCAGTGTTTCCAACCCTGGTCCTGGAGTACCCCTAACAGTACATTTTACATTTACGTCATTTAGCAGACGCTCTTATCCAGAGCGACTTACAGGAGCAATTAGGGTTAAGTGCCTTGCTCAAGGGCAGATCGACAGATTTTTCACCTAGTCGGCTCGGGGATTAGAACCAGTGTGAGATAGTCAAGTAGGTTAGTTTAACTGTCGCCTAGTTGTAGTTTTACACTAGAACCAGATTATGATTGATAATACATATTTGGCAGAGCCCCATTTCTAAATATCTAATGACTATTGGGGGATAAAGGATTTCAGAAGTCAGACTAAGGAAGCTGAAGGTGGAATTCCTATGGGTGGAATAGCAGGAACCTCCTGAATGGATTAGTCCATTGCTGTTGTGGAGGGCCTTTGTGTTGTTGTAGATTGGCCCTGTGAAGCTAGGCTACAGCGGTGTTGGGCCCCATGGTTTGGCCCCTGGGCTGTACTACCATGTGTTTTCTCCATCTCAGACTACATACACAGAACACACAGAGAACAAACATTCCTACCCATTAGGAGGCCTGTGTCCCAAATGGCACCCTATTCCCTATATAGTATACTACTTTGATTAGAGCCCTAACAAAAGTAGTGCACTATATAGGAAATAAAGGAAGCAACCTAGGAGAGCAGAGGGTTCACTACTAGGAGAAGAAAATGCTAGCTAAACACAACTTGCTTTTTTACTGCTTTGCCATAGAGGGGAGGTTGCTGTTATCATGACTTACCTTAGAACATTCACAAGATATATTTTGCAACATTACAAACCAATTAGATGGACAACAAACGCTGAAACAACAGTCTTTGGTATGACTCGGCCAAGGATCGAACTCCCAATCTTCCAATCTCAGAGTGGATGCTCTAACCATAAGGCCACAGAGTTGGTGGATGGTATGTTATATATCCAATATAATATGGATACTTTTTTTTTTTTAGGAAGGTATAGACCCATATGAAATGTAAAGTATAAATAACTATGTCAGCAACAGCATAACATACACTAAAAAACCCAACAACAAAAGAAAACAAAACACAATTGGTCTTCAAAATGAACAAGAACACTGTAGTAAGTCAGGCTAAAACAAAACACTCAAAGGTAAATCAAATTAAAAAAACATAACGAATACAGGCAGTTTACTGCGGAGTAGAGGGGAATTGCAGTGTCTCTGCGTAATTGAAGAAAGGCTGCCACATTTGGTCGAATTTCCTATATAGTGCACTACTTTTAACCAGAGCCTTATGGGGAATAGGGGGCTATTGGGACACACTGTTATTATCAGTTACTCATCATGTACAGTCTCATGGTTTCACGCCCTGATTAAGACACATCCTTTTAGTTTAAATCAGGGGACAAACTATATGACATCATACTAAAGTCATGGAATACTAGCGTGCTAAACTCCCACAAACATTACACTACATACCTTTGGTTTTGCAACTCTCTCGGAACAATTCAATTTGATATTTTTGGCACTTACTTTGTTCAGACCCCTATCTTGCACAAGGTGTTACCTAAATACCTGTCACTAAGCAATTCATGTTGCTGCACTTCTCCTTTGTATGGTAGCCTATACACCGTGAACAGTAAACCTGACTTAAAAAAAACAAAAAAACACCTCACCGCACAACGCCACACCCCCATGTGACATACTTTTTGTGTGTATGTACTGACTTGCATGTGTAACTGATACACTACATGTTAATGTTTTTAAATGTATGTAAATTGTAATGTATTTTTCGTTATGTGAGACTAGATGTAAGATGTCGCCATTGGCGTCGGTTAATGGGAATCCTAACAAAATATATCACAACCATTATCCGACATGATGTTTGTTTTGACTACTATGTGGGTGTAATTACGATACCAACCATTATCAAGGCGTTATACCAGTGTTTCCAACCCTGGTCCTGGAGTACCCCTAACTGTACATTTTACATTTACGTCATTTAGCAGACGCTCTTATCCAGAGCGACTTACAGGAGCAATTAGGGTTAAGTGCCTTGCTCAAGGGCAGATCGACAGATTTTTCACCTAGTCGGCTCGGGGATTAGAACCAGTGTGAGATAGTCAAGTAGGTTAGTTTAACTGTCGCCTAGTTGTAGTTTTACACTAGAACCAGATTATGATTGATAATACATATTTGGCAGAGCCCCATTTCTAAATATCTAATGACTATTGGGGGATAAAGGATTTCAGAAGTCAGACTAAGGAAGCTGAAGGTGGAATTCCTATGGGTGGAATAGCAGGAACCTCCTGAATGGATTAGTCCATTGCTGTTGTGGAGGGCCTTTGTGTTGTTGTAGATTGGCCCTGTGAAGCTAGGCTACAGCGGTGTTGGGCCCCATGGTTTGGCCCCTGGGCTGTACTACCATGTGTTTTCTCCATCTCAGACTACATACACAGAACACACAGAGAACAAACATTCCTACCCATTAGGAGGCCTGTGTCCCAAATGGCACCCTATTCCCTATATAGTATACTACTTTGATTAGAGCCCTAACAAAAGTAGTGCACTATATAGGAAATAAAGGAAGCAACCTAGGAGAGCAGAGGGTTCACTACTAGGAGAAGAAAATGCTAGCTAAACACAACTTGCTTTTTTACTGCTTTGCCATAGAGGGGAGGTTGCTGTTATCATGACTTACCTTAGAACATTCACAAGATGTATTTTGCAACATTACAAACCAATTAGATGGACAACAAACGCTGAAACAACAGTCTTTGGTATGACTCGGCCAAGGATCGAACTCCCAATCTTCCAATCTCAGAGTGGATGCTCTAACCATAAGGCCACAGAGTTGGTGGATGGTATGTTATATATCCAATATAATATGGATACTTTTTTTTTTTTAGGAAGGTATAGACCCATATGAAATGTAAAGTATAAATAACTATGTCAGCAACAGCATAACATACACTAAAAAACCCAACAACAAAAGAAAACAAAACACAATTGGTCTTCAAAATGAACAAGAACACTGTAGTAAGACAGGCTAAAACAAAACACTCAAAGGTAAATCAAATTAAAAAACATAACGAATACAGGCAGTTTACTGCGGAGTAGAGGGGAATTGCAGTGTCTCTGCGTAATTGAAGAAAGGCTGCCACATTTGGTCGAATTTCCTATATAGTGCACTACTTTTAACCAGAGCCTTATGGGGAATAGGGGGCTATTGGGACACACTGTTATTATCAGTTACTCATCATGTACAGTCTCATGGTTTCACGCCCTGATTAAGACACATCCTTTTAGTTTAAATCAGGGGACAAACTATATGACATCATACTAAAGTCATGGAATACTAGCGTGCTAAACTCCCACAAACATTACACTACATACCTTTGGTTTTGCAACTCTCTCGGAACAATTCAATTTGATATTTTTGGCACTTACTTTGTTCAGACCCCTATCTTGCACAAGGTGTTACCTAAATACCTGTCACTAAGCAATTCATGTTGCTGCACTTCTCCTTTGTATGGTAGCCTATACACCGTGAACAGTAAACCTGACTTTAAAAAAACAAAAAAACACCTCACCGCACAACGCCACACCCCCATGTGACATACTTTTTGTGTGTATGTACTGACTTGCATGTGTAACTGATACACTACATGTTAATGTTTTTAAATGTATGTAAATTGTAATGTATTTTTCGTTATGTGAGACTAGATGTAAGATGTCGCCATTGGCGTCGGTTAATGGGAATCCTAACAAAATATATCACAACCATTATCCGACATGATGTTTGTTTTGACTACTATGTGGGTGTAATTACGATACCAATCATTATCAAGGCGTTATACCTGTGTTTCCAACCCTGGTCCTGGAGTACCCCTAACAGTACATTTTACATTTACGTCATTTAGCAGACGCTCTTATCCAGAGCGATTTACAGGAGCAATTAGGGTTAAGTGCCTTGCTCAAGGGCAGATCGACAGATTTTTCACCTAGTCGGCTCGGAGATTAGAACCAGCGACTTTTCGGTTACTGGCACAACGCTCTTAACCACTAAGCTACCTGTCGCCCCGTACACAGTTTCGTGGTAGCCCTTGACAAACACACCTCATTCAACTCATTGAGGGCTTGATGATTAGTTGACAAGTTGAAAAATGTGTACGGTTGGAGGTATTCGAGAACCAGGAAACACTGTATTACGCAATGCTCTTGAGTAATTTCTAAACAATGGCCAATGCAAAGTAAGCAGGCGTTTGCATGTTATTTTCCAAAGACTGAAAACGGTGCTCAAATATTACGGGATAGAGTTAGCCATCACATGAACGTCACTGTAAAAACGTAATAGGCGTAGCGGCCTGAGTAGATGTCATTCTTAAAAGCTGTAATTCGGCACTTTCACATCCGTTACTCGTTCATGCAGTTCCTCTGAACACCTACTGTGCTGTTGGACTCAAACAAGCTGCATTTCAACGGGCGTTTAAAAAACAGCACCTGAACCAGGTCAGTAATTTGATTATCTGTCTGAACTGTATTAGCCCTGGTGTGATCGGAGAGTGAGTGAGTCTGAGAAACACACTTTTTTCAGATTGAGAGATCCGGGACCGTATGCAGTGGTACATTTTTTAAAATAAAATAAAGGTTGGCAACCACTGATCCCTGTTAGCGGTGACTAGAGTAACGCTCCCTGTATTTCAAGGATTTTTCAAACGACCTCCACTACAGCACTGGCCGTATGTATAAAGCGTCTCAGAGTATCTTCACTGTTGGGTTGAAAGGCCTGACAATCACATTCTGATAGGTCATTTACACAGAAGAATACATAGAAGACAAACATTAAGAAAATAATAATAATCAAGAACGGGTGGCACTAAAGACAACAGTGGATTATAGACAGGGTTGGGAAGGTTACTTTCTAAATGTAATCCGTTAGTTACTAGTTACCTGTCCAAAATTAATCAGTAACACTTTTGGATTGCCCAAACTCATTCACATAATCTGAATACATTGTTACTTTTAGGTTACTCTCCCCTTAAAAGGGATTAGAAAAATACAAAAATGAATTACTAATTGAACCACATCTATTGCAAGATAAATCAATGTAAGAGTTTACCTAGCTGGCCTTAAATGGATGTTGCATTTTACTTTATGGGTTATAACCCATTGCTTTCTACTTCAATACATATAATAAAACGAGTGGGCTATATATTTACAGAAAAAACTGTCAGATTTCCAATTAATTAAATACCCCTTGATCTTCAAAAATAGGACTTGAAAATATAGTCATTGTTAATACCTTAACCCCAAAAATACTCTGTTTTTGTCATGGAGGAATGATTGGGCTCATTGCTTCAACACATGGTTGAAAAATAACTACTGCTGTCATGGAATGGCATTCTTTGAGCACTACCGAAAAATGCTATTTGCATGAGGTGAAAAATGAGTCAAGTAGGAGTGTTAGTTCACAACATTTACGAAAGGCAATATTTATTTATTTTTATTTACCTGGGAGGAACTCCCTCAACTTTTGGTTAACTGTGTTGCAACTGTCACCTATTGATGAAAGAAATAATTGTTTTTTTTATATTTGAAGTTGACAAACGCTGGCTCATTCACAATATGCTGCGTATGTGTAGAGCGCTCATGTGGCACAGGGTGGTTCTACCTGTGAATTAAACTAACCCGTGATATTATGTTCTGTGGTTTAAATCGGGTTAAAGTGACAAATAAACTGTGTGCATTGAAGGTTAACGTCAGTCTGATGAAAATAACATTTATTTTTGCCCAGTGGGAAAAGACTGACTACCACTCTCTAAAATGAGACGTGTTCTCTACTCCTCTCCCAAAGATTAATCGGAAACATCCATGTTATCCTATGTCCAAGGCTGAGTGCGTTTCCATTATAGTCCGCTACTTTTGACCAGGGCCCATAGTAGTGCACCGTAAGGAATTGGGAGCTATTTGGGATTCATGCCTAGATAACTTGTTTGGGAGTCCACCATCTTGTTTGATCTAAAAGCTTTAACTTTGGGAAATGCTTACTATTCCTAAAAAAGGGATTCAAGAACTCATCTCTGCAGAAGTTTGAGAGCTGAAATTGCTCACAGGAAGCAGGAGAGAAAAAACAATCCCTCCGAACACAACCCAGAGCACTTTTCTGTTGCACCATCATGTAAAGTTAATGACTTGTATAAACCCCCAGATTAGAGAGGAAAACCTATAACTCCTCAGCCCTCACAAGCTTTCCATCCCTCTCTCTCCTGCTCCTGCTCACTCTCTTATTTCTTTTTTTTTCTCTCTTGCTCCCTCCCCCTGTTTTAGCATACAGCCTGTCATCTACAGTACCTGGCCTTATGTCTCCCAGGGCTCCCTGAGTTTAATAAACCACCTCACATTAGTGTCCATACACACCTAACACACACGCTCTCACATACACACACCACACACTCTTTCTCTCTCACTCAAACACACACACCTGTCAAGTTGCCTTCCCAAAATGACAACCTACCACATGTTCAAAATAAACATCTAATGGAAGTTCAAATGAGAAGTCACACATTTTAGATGTTGGATTATACCCATATGTCCTACAAAGACTTATGACTCAGAGTAGCAGTAGCACGATAGGCCTACTGTTTACACCTTACAGGTGATGTGGATATGTGCTGAGGCCGGCAGTTCAGATGTGATTATGAGAGGGTGATGTTTTTCTCAGATTAACCCGTTGTCACGATCGTTATGAGAAGCGGACCAAGGCGCAGCGTGATAGGCGTACATACTTTTATTAAGTGTACACAACACGAACAAAAACAACAAAACGATACGTGAAGTCCTAGGTAATACAACAAACCATACGGAACAAGATCCCACAATAAACTAGCGAACACAGGCTGCCTAAGTATGGTCCCCAATCAGAGACAACGAGCCACAGCTGTCTCTGATTGGGAACCACCCTGGCCAACATAGAAATAAACAATCTAGAACAAAACCCATAGAAAACTAAACATAACAAGTCCACACCCCTCAACATTTAAGAGTCCCCAGAGCCAGGGCGTGACACCGCAGAATGATCACGATCCCTCCCACACAGCCGCAGACATTCCTCCATTTGCCCACCATCGTCTTCTTCATCTCTCCCAGACACCCTTCACCACCCCTGCTCCTCCGTCTCCCTGAAGGGCAGACCCAGGGTTTCCTTGTAGATTCCTCATTTTTTTTTAAAACACCCTCAGCCTCTGTTCTCTGTGTCCCTTTGTATTGGATATCTGCACTAAATTGATATGCCACAGATTAATGAGCAAAAATGTGAAGTTAGTATGTTTTTGTGCTAACCCCTTATTTGATCACCTTGGCCTATAATTTGACGAGAGATTTCTGTGTGGAATGTGGCCATAGACTTGCCTTGGCTGAATGTGAACAATACTGTGAAATGTTCTGTGTTTCTGTGCATTTAACAGTAAACCCAGCCTTGCTGCTGGATAGTGGAGCTCTGATGTCCTTTTATGTGGAAGTAGATCCCAGGAGGTCTTCCGGCTTCTCTGTTTTCAGTATAAAGCTAGAGTTGGTTCTGGGAATACATAAAGTTGAAGGGATTTATTTATTTTTTTATCACATATGATCGTTAATTTACCCAGCAGTGTGTATTTGTTTTAAATGTCTTGTTTGTTTGCTGTCTAGGTAGATGATTGACTGGACAGACAGTGAATGCTAGACACACCAGTCACTGACGTCACACTGTCAACAGCAGAAGAACAGATGGATGTAGTTACCTGGACGTCGTTAAATTGACAGGAACATCCTGGATTGTGTACCACAGTGGAATTAGCAGACAAGTAATGGACATACACAAGGATTCCTCATCTATGGATTTCAATGGAGGGGTTTTTGTTTTTCCCTTCCCAGAAAACTGAATTTTTAGTCTACCACTACACCATGTCTCTATCGATGCAGAGGAAGTTCAGGGCATTTACTGTGTTAGGATGCATTGTAATTTTCACCACGTTCCTCTTCAGTTACTCATTGAGAGATCCCTCCCTGTACTTCTTCAAATATGCCATCCACAAGTCGGACAGCTTCTTCTCTAGTGGCCAGTGTGGCTGTCGACAGTGTATGACAGAGCTGGAGGATGACCCCTGGTTCATAGAGCGGTTCAACCGGTCGGTTCCCCCTCTGATGTCTAGGAAGAACAGCCTGCTGACTGACGACACATACCACTGGTGGCAGGTGAGATGTTACCATTGCAAGGGTTGGGCTTGTGCTAGGGTTAGGGTTGAACTGGGATGTGGACTTGAAGCTAGGGTTAGGGTTGTTCTTGGGTTAGGGTTGAACCGGGATGTGGACATGAAGATAGTGTTAGGGTTGAGGTTAGGGTTGAACCGGGATGTGGAAATGAAGCTAGGGTTGAGGTTAGGGTTGTACTGGGATGTGGACATGAAGCAAGGGTTACAGTTTGGATTAGTCCACTCTCTGATGACCTGGGGGGACAGTCTGCTGACTGATGACACGTACAGGTGATGGCAGGTGAGATGTTCTGAGACTTACAGGTGAATAATCACAGAGGTGAGTTTGGTTCCGTCACATCAGGCAAACCATCCTAATGATAATCAGGACAAGGAAGAAAACGATGTGTCCGTGACGAGGTTATTAATGGTACTGTACATACCAACATCCATAAACATTGTTTTCTTAACAATACCATCTTCTAGTCAGCTATGCTTTATTAAGAGGTGGCTAAGATTGCACCAGAAAGAACTAAGTGACTACTGAATGAATACCTTTCAACACTGCTAGAAAAGTCTAGATCCAATAAACGGGGGAAAAAGCTTCCATTCCCTGTTGCTCAGTATTTCAGAGACATTCAATTTTTTAACCTAATCTGTCGCCATATTGACAATTATAGTTTATTTGAAATTAATTTGTTTAGGCATTAATCATGTAAACATTATTTTGTTTATTGTGGCATTGCCCCAGTGAGATTCAAACCTATGATCTTCTGCTGTCTATCCATGGAATGAATCCACTGCTCCACCAAAGCTGATAAGTTTAGTCTATTCAAACAGACTCTATTTCAAAGGAAACAAGCACTCATTAAGATCCGATTAGTGGGCACAGCCAACACACCTGAACACACTTAAAGGGATACCTCAGGATTTTGTCTACTTCCCCAGAGTCAGATGAACTAGTGGATACCATTTTTATGTGTCTGTGTCCAGTAGGGCGACAGGTAGCCTAGCGGTTAAGAGCGCTGGGCCATTAACCGATAGGTCGCTGGCTCAAATCTCAGAGCCAACTAGGTAAAAAATCTGTTGATGTGCCCTTGAGCAAGGCACTTAACCCTAATAGCTCCTGTAAGTTGATCTGGATAAGAGCATCTACTAAAATACGTTTTGAGAGCCAATACTAACTAGTGTTAGCGCAATGACTGGAAGTCTATGGGTATCTGCTAGCAGAATTCCAGTCATTGCGCTAACACATGTTAGCAATTGTGCTAGTTAGCAACTTCCTTCAAAATGCACGCATATGTAAAAATGCTATCCATGAGTTCATCTGACTCTGGAGAAGCAGATAAAGGGCCTCATTGCCAAAATCTCAAAGTATCCCTTAAACAGGATTGTTTTTATGATGCTGAGAACAGAATATGTTTTTAAATAACATTCTTAGAACATTACTAATGTTTTCTTGTGGTTTTTATGGAGTTTTATTGAACATGACATTAAATAGAACATTTTTACATTTTAGTCATTTAGCAGACGCTCTTATCCAGAGCGACTTACAGTTAGTGAGTGCATACATTTGTTTAAACAATTTTTTTTTTCATACGATGAGGAACCCTACAGAAAACATTATGCTGAAATACTGGAATTCCCACAGAAGAACGCTGTTAATGTTTTCTGATCGTTCTGAGAACGAGTTTAAATAGAACCATGAGGAAACGTTATGGGAAGGTTGTATGCAAAATAACCATAGGACAACCATGCTCTCACCAAGCACTAAGAAACATATGGTTCTCAGAATGTTGTGCTAACTGGGCTGTCTCTGCTGTGTGTCTACCTCTTCTGTCTCTGCTCTGTGTGAGTGAGTGGTTGAAGACAGAGATAAAGGATTGACTGTTTCCTTCTCTCTCCAGCAGTTGCAGATAGAGGAGGACCCAGCCAACTTCAGTGAGGTGGTGGAGAAGTTGTTCCAGGTCATCCCTGATGATGACGACCTCTACATGGACGCGGGGCCTGAGCGCTGTAGGACCTGTGCTGTGGTGGGGAACTCTGGGAACCTGAAGGGCTCCCGCTACGGACCCCTCATCGACTCCAGTGATGTCATCATCAGGTGACTGAGCAAGCTTGTTATTTGTTTTGAGTCACACCTCAGAGTATTATATTAGGAATGGAACTGCAAAGCCAGATAAGGTTTTGTTCTGTATAGCATTCATTCCTGACCAAGATCTAAGCTTTGATGTTATTTGCAAATGCAACCATTGTAATCCAGTTTCTTGATTCCCACCCCCACCTTTTGATAAGATTACACCTGAGCCAGTATACAAAGCGTTTTATAGCCTACAATTATCATAACAATACATCATGAAAGTGCAAGTTTGTTCAATCGAGGTGTTTGTATAGGCTATGAATATCATCTCACTTGTTGAATTATATTGTGATCTGATCGTGGTATGAGGTACATGTAGGTGTCGATGCCCCATTTGGTTTGATGTTGTCACGATCGTTAGAGTGAGTGGACCAAGGCGCAGCGTGATGAGCAAACATACTTATATTTATTAAATGAAAACACGATAAACAACAAACGATAACGAAACGTGAAGTCCTTGGCTACAACATAAACCATACGGAACAAGATCCCACAACTACTGTGGGAAAACAGCCTGTTTAAATGTGGTTCCCAATCAGAGACAACCAGCAACAGCTGACCCTCGTTGCCTCTGATTGGGAACCACTCTGGCCAACATAGAAACAGAACAACTAGAATATAAACATAGAACAAAAACACATAGAATATACACACCCTGGCTCAACCTATAGAGTCCCCAGAGCCAGGGTGTGACAGTACCCCCCCTAAAGGCGCGGACTGCGACCGCGCCTAAACATAAACAAACCAGGGGAGGGCTGGGTGGGCATTCCTCCTCGGAGGCGGTTCCGGTTGACCACCACCTTCCAATAATCCCCCCGTAGCGCCCCTGGTCCGGTCTGGCCCCGCTGGCTGGAGCTGGACTGGACATCGTAGGAGCGGATTGCTTCAGCTCCGGTGTGGAGCAGCTGACCGGTACCTGACCAGGCACCGGTGACCCAGGCACGGGTTGTGCCGGACGACTGACGACGCACACCCCTGGCTTGGTGCGTGGAGCAGAAACGGGCCGGACCGGGCTGACGATGCGCACCCCTGGCTTGGTGCGTGGAGCAGCAACGGGCTGGACCGGGCTGACGATGCGCACCCCTGGCTTGGTGCGTGGAGCAGGAACGGGCCGGACCGGGCTGACGATGCGCACCCCTGGCTTGGTGCGTGGAGCAGGAACGGGCCGGACCGGGCTGACGATGCGCACCCCTGGCTTGGTGCGTGGAGCAGGAACGGGCCGGACCGGGCTGACGACTCGCACCCCTGGCTTGGTGCGTGGAGCAGGAATAGTCCGGGCCGGGCTGGCGACGCGCACCGTAGGCTTGGTGCGAGTGGCAGGAACAGGCCGGGCCGGGCTGGCGACGCGCACCGTAGGCTTGGTGCGAGTGGCAGGAACAGGCCGGGCCGGGCTGGCGACGCGCACCGTAGGCTTGGTGCGAGTGGCAGGAACAGGCCGGGCTGGCGACGCGCACCGTAGGCTTGGTGCGAGTGGCAGGAACAGGCCGGGCCGGGCTGGCGACGCGCACCGTAGGCTTGGTGTGAGTGGCAGGAACAGGCCGGGCCGGCGCCGCGCAACATTAGCTTGGTGCGGGGAGCAGGAGCAGGCCGGGCCGGGCTGGCGACGCGCACCGTAGGCTTGGTGCGAGGAGCAGGAACAGGCCGGGCCGGGCTGGCGACGCGCACCGTAGTCTTGGTGCGAGTGGCAGGAACAGGCCGGGCCGGGCTGGCGACGCGCACCGTAGGCTTGGTGCGAGTGGCAGGAACAGGCTGGGCCGGCGACGCGCACCGTAGGCTTGGTGCGAGTGGCAGGAACAGGCCGGGCCGGGCTGGCGCCGCGCACCATTAGCTTGGTGCGGGGAGCAGGAACAGGCCGGGCTGGCGACGCGCACCGTAGGCTTGGTGCGAGGAGCAGGAACAGGCCGGGCCGGGCTGGCGACGCGCACCATTACCTTGGTGCGGGGAGCAGGAACAGACCGGACCGTACTGGGGACACACACCACTGGCCCTACGCAGGGATCTGGAACGGGCCAGACCGGACTGGTAACACACCCCAGTACCTCTCGCCGTGCCTCTACATCTTCCTTCCCCTCTTTGACCAGTGGCCCCCGTAACCTGGCGGCCTCCTCTGCCAACCTCCCAATTCGCCCTGTGGCAGCCTCCTGCTGCCCAGTCGCCCATGCCGTGTGCCCCCCCCTAAAAAATTTTGGGGTTGCCTCTCGTCCGTCCGACGACGACACTGTTGACGCCGTTGCTCCTCTCTCGCCAGGGCCTTAATCTTAGCCCATGGCCCTTTTCCCCCAAGCATGTCCTCCCAGGACCACACTTTGCCCACCTGGGCCATCGCCAACCTCTCCAGCTCCTTTCCCGGCGCTTCCTCCCATGTCCAGGCTGCCTGCTCCTGGACACGCTGCTTGGTCCTGGTATGGTGGGATCTTCTGTGACGATCGTTAGAGTGAGTGGACCAAGGCGCAGCGTGATGAGCAAACATACTTATATTTATTAAATGAAAACACGATAAACAACAAACGATAACAAAACGCGAAGTCCTTGGCTACAACATAAACCATACGGAACAAGATCCCACAACTACTGTGGGAAAACAGCCTGTTTAAATGTGGTTCCCAATCAGAGACAACCAGCAACAGCTGATACTCGTTGCCTCTGATTGGGAACCACTCTGGCCAACATAGAAACAGAACAACTAGAATATAAACATAGAACACAAACACATAGAATATACACACCCTTGCTCAACCTATAGAGTCCCCAGAGCCAGGGTGTGACAGATGTCATCAATATCACCCTAGCATAGACAGTTCCTCCCATCGTGTCACACCTGTCAGCTGCCCTACCTGTTGTTCCCATGTCAGTTTGTCTCATATAATTTGATAGTCAAAGCCCAAAAGCTGTTTTAGCATGATGTGCAGCGCCGTTGAGGGCTATTGCTATTTTGTAGTAGTCAACTGGGACTTGATATGGTTTAAGGAAGGATCACAGAATTCCAGCCAGGTCAGCAGAAGGGGTCAGCTAATGAAATATACTCCTGAGAAAACGTTCCTTTAAAACCGTTTACTGCAGTGGGCTAAATTAGGTCCACACAGTGATTCTTGGTAGTCTTAAATAAATCTATTTTGAAACAAAAGTGTATATACCTCACACACATGGTTATGAGCTTATAAAAAAGACACCTGTACCATGTCAGATATAGTTGAAATGTTGAGTTTGCATCCCAATATTACACTTTATATACATCACAGAAGACTGAAATGTAACAAAACTGTTTGACATAGAAACACTGGATTTGTGTTGGTTTACAAGAAATCTTTATTAATTGTGAAAATATTAACATTCCACCCATGAGGCCAAAGAGTGCGCTTTTGGTCATTGACTACAGGAAAGGGCTACCTGCAGGTAGCAGTTAATCACCCTTGGTTTTATACGTTGATACTATACACACTCCAGCACATAGGTGTGGTGGAGACCTGGCCGTGTGGTGCCAGGATAACAACCTCTCCCTCAACGTGACCAAGACAAAGGAGATGATTGTGGACTACAGGAAAAAAAAGAGGACTGAGCATGCCCCCATTCTCATTGACGGGGCTGTAGTGGAACAGGTTGAGAGCTTCAAGTTCCTTGGTGTCCACATCACCAACGAACTATCATGGTCCAAACACACCAAGACAGTCGTGAAGAGGGCACGACAAAGCCTATTCCCCCTCAGGAGACTGAAAAGATTTGGCATGGGTCCTCAGATCCTCAAAAAATTCTACAGCTGCACCATCGAGAGCATCCTGACTGGTTGCATCACCGCCTGGTATGGCAACTGTTTGGCCTCCGACCGCAAGGCACTACAGAGGGTAGTGCGTACGGCCCAGTACATCACTGGGGCCAAGCTTCCTGCCATCCAGGACCTCTATACCAGGCGGTGTCAGAGGAAGGCCCTCAAAATTGTCAAAGATTCCAGCCACCCTAGTCATAGACTGTTCTCTCTGCTACCGCACGGCAAGCGGTACCGGAGTGCCAAGTCTAGGTCCAAAAGACTTCTCAACAGCTTCTACCCCCAAGCCATAAGACTCCTGAACAGCTAATCATGGCTACCCGGACTATTTGCACTGCCCCCCCACCCCATCATCACGCTGCTGCTACTCTGTTAATTATTTATGCATAGTCACTTTAACTCTACCCACATGTACATATTACTTCAACTACCTCAACTAGCCGGTGCCCCCGCACATTGACTCTGCACCGGTACCCCCCTGTATATATAGCCTCCCTACTGTTATTTTATTTTACTTCTGCTCTTTTTTTCTCAACATTTTTTGTTGTTGTTTTATTTTACTTTTTTATTAAAAATAAATGCACTGTTGGTTAAGGGCTATAAGTAAGCATTTCACTGTAATGTCTACACCTGTTGTATTCGGCGCATGTGGCCAATAACATTTGATTTGATTTGATTTGAGGTAGGGGTATGAACCTTTTCAGTTTATTTACCAACTTCCAACCAGTCCCTCCCAAGATTTCTCTAGGATTTTATGTGATATTTGCAGGAAAAAATGCTTGGTTTTGCAGCAGCAATTCTGCAATTTTACATGGCAATATGCAACGGTTTTGTCTAACTTGTTGCGAAAATGTTTACGTGTGGCTTGATTGAACCACATGTGGTAAATGTGCAGTGGTTGGTCAAAATTGCGAGCCCTCTGTATTACGGTGATGGGTCAGTTTTATGCGATAACTGCAATGATTTGACTGTTTTATACTGAAATAGCGCAGTGATTGGTAAAATGTGCAATCCCTCGCATAATATGCAGGGAATTGTTGATTTTTGCTAAACATTTTGCGATTGCAGAATCACGGAATCCTGGAGGGACTCACAGCAAGGCTCAGATCAACTTGGCAGTGTCAACATAGCTGCTTTAGTTTATAAAAGTTTTACTTTATAAAAGTCAACTTTCCTATACCCCCATATCACACACTCAAACTCAAAACAACCTGTGTAGGCTACAATTAATTGGGTAGACAGAAGTCTCAAATATCACTTTCATTTGTATCCCCTGTAGCTTTAGAATCGCGGCAAAGTTGGTTCCTGTTTCAGTCACTTCTTTGGCCACGTTCGTGTGGGTTAACCAAAAACACCCTAATAATTGGTTGACAAATGGTGCGTCCCACAATGCAGGTGATGGCTGCATGGTGCAGTTGGTGAGAAGCCACTTAATCAAAAACTGCATGACCTTTGATCACGTGGTTTTTGTAAAGTTCATGCAGTCGACATGCAAGTCCAGCTTTAGATTTGATTTCTGCACTGTGTTTTCAGTGAGGAACCAGACCAACTATCAACGTGTAAATGAGGAGGAAAGTCCTTGGCTGAAATGGATTATACTGCTCATCCCACACTCACTTAACACACACACACACACACACACACACACACACACACACACACACACACAGAGAGGGAGAGATATCCTCTCTGCAGAACTAACTACATTAATTGAACAGGAAGAATCACAGCTACAGCTTTCCCCTCAATGCACTCACTGTTACTGGGACACACATGAACTGTATGATCATGTGGAGAAGCAGGAATTCCACATAGACTACCACATGATTCCTCACCACGTTCACATTCCAAATGAAATCAATTTAATTTCGATACAAATTCAAGTTTTGTACCTCCAGGTATTACACCCTCAACAAAGCAGCTATGTTAGTATGTGAAAGTAGTATCATCCATACGTTATATTGCAGAATACATAACCGTAACCCTGCTCCTCCAGAATGAACAAGGCTCCTACCTCTGGCTTTGAGAAGGATGTTGGGAGCCGGACTACGCATCACGTCATGTACCCAGAGAGTGCCATAGATCTGGACAATACCACCAGCCTCCTGCTCATCCCCTTCAAGACTCTGGACCTGCAGTGGATCACCAGTGCCTTGACCACCGGCTCCATCGAAAAGTGAGTGACCAATAACCATGCACAACACATTCATCAAGTTCACATAAAAAAGTATGTAATTACACTTTAGCAAACCTTCAATACAAACTGTAGTTAACGCCTGTGGAATTGTTTGCAATGACTGGAAAGATGAAAGTATAAACAACGTTCTCATCACCGTGAGGTCCGGAATCATTTATCCTTTATGCGGTGTAAACATTCTTTGTAAAAGTGAACCCAGTGCCTCCTTCAGTGCTGTTTGCCATAACCACAAGTATTCACGTGTTGGCACGTACTGCTCTACACCTCTTCCAGCTCTACAATGTCGACATTCTCAAGCTCTGTGTTAGACAATTATCACACAGGCAACCGAGGACAGACTGTTTTTATTTGTATTTTATGCACTTCAGTTGACCAGGGCAGCTCTAGCAGGGCAGAAATTTGACAAACTGACTTGTTGGAAAGGTGGCATCCTATGATGGTGCCACGTTGAACGTCACTGAGCTCTTCAGTAAGGCCGTTCTACTGCCAATGCGGTTAAAAATAGCCAAATCCACTAATTTGAAGGGTTGTCCACATACTTTTGTGTGTATATGTGTGTGTGTGTGTGTGTGTGTGTGTATATATGTATGTATATAATACTTATTATGCATTTTGTTTTTTGCAGAACGTACATTCCTGTACCGTCCAGGATTAAGGCAAACAAGAACAGGGTGAGTGAACCTTTGGCTCCGTCCATAACGCCACCCTATAGTGGAGCATTACTTTTGACCAAAGCCCTATGGGTTGATCTGCTTTCGTTTACCTTACCTGGAGACAAAGTAATGCAGAAATAGAAGAACGATTGATTGGTTGGTTGATACCATTCAAATGTAATTATTTCAACTTCTCACAAGGTCAAAGCTGTTGTTATGTTTTGCAGGTGTTGGTATACAGCCCAACCTTCTTTAAATATGTCTATGACACATGGCTGGAGAGTCATGGCCGATATCCCTCCACTGGCTTCCTCAGCCTATTGTTTGCTGTGCACATCTGCGATAAGGTGAGTCCATCCACCTTCACAAGCTTCCATTTGTCTGTCTGCCAAAGTTCTATACACCATGAGCCTGACTGCAAAGCATGCGTTGAGTTTGCGCTGAGGTCTTAGAGTTTAAAGCGGTAAAAAGTGTCCCAAAAAATGTTAACTGCCGATGGAAGTGAAGTCACCGTCGGCGAAATGGCCACACGCTGGGCAGCACTGCATTAGCTACCCACCACTTAGCTCACGCAGCAACGCTGCTCTACAAACAAACACATTTTGGGCGGGAAAGAGGGGCAGAGCGCTGAGTGCAATTGCCATGTCCTAGGCAGAAGCCATTAGCCCAAACAAAGAGAAACCTGTTTCAAAGTTGATACATGTGCCTCCAGGTATACTTATGTGGGTGAGTGAACTTATTTGAATGACATGTATTTAATATTTAATACATGATTTTCAGAAAGTGTGTTCTGTTATACTTTTACATGAAACAACTTTTAATGTTAAGACTTCAGGAAATAGGTTAAATGCTATGTTTAATCAAAATGCAGCCATGGTTGCCAACAGCCTCTTTTGAATGTAGAAAAACAGGAATCTCTACAGATGGCTTTGGAGGAGGGGCAACTGCACCTGTCTTTGATCTAGACACACTGGAACACTGCCAATGCCCTATAGTTGTTACATAGAGCGTGGCCGAGTCAGTTAGAAGCGCAAAGACTTTCTAGTAACTGTGTATACTGACATCTAGAGTTAGAGCATTGCCCTTATCAATAGGCCTATGTTTTTGTACGTTTCAAGAAAAAAATATCCACAAATAGATCAATTAGATCTACAAAATCAAATGTAAGTGTCAGAGCACCAGAACACCATAGCAACACATCAATCAGTACAACAACATTCCACCTCATCATTTCTGTGGCACATGGCATTATCTGGGTCAAAGCACATAGGTGCATCGTGCACCAAACCAGTTTGAGGAGGCACTGATGGCCAAATCCAGGGTGGATGAGTATCTCTTCATAATGGTGTATTGTATCATTTAGGTGAATGTCTACGGGTTCGGAGGGGACCAGTACGGGAACTGGCACCACTACTGGGAAAATAATGACCAGGGAGGCGCATTCCGCGAAACTGGGGTGCATGATGCGGACTATGAGTACAATGCCACCCTGCTTCTGGCTGACAAACACAAGATCAGTATTTTCAAAGGCTTATGATATTGGGAGATGTCACTGGCCTGAGACCATCAAGCCTCATGAACATAAATCCTGTCAACTCAGAGGTTACCCACTGGGGATAAACTGGTTGAATTAAAGTTGTTTCAATGTAATTTGTCAATGTATTGTGATGTGGAATGAATGTGTAAAATGTAGTGGATTTGCAAAAAGCAATCAACATAAACTGTTTCAACCGGGATTATGTGATTGTAACCAATTTTCAACATAAAGAAAAAGCTTGTATAAAATGTTACATTTGTACCCTTTGAAACAATGTCAGATCTTTAATCCAACACATCACTGAGTACCTCTCTTCATATTTTCAAGCATGGTGGTGGCTGTATCATGTTATGGGTATGCTTGTCATCAGCAAGGACTATGGAGTTTTTTTTAGGATAAAAAGAAAGGAATAGAGCTAAGTACAGGCAAAGTCCTAGAGGAAAACCTGGTTCAGTCTGCATTCTAACAGACACTGGGAGACAAATCCACCTTTCAGCAGGACAATAACCTTAAAACACAAGGCCAAATATACACTGGATTTATGGGCATATATTGTACAATCCAGGTTTGCAAAGACCTTAGACTTACCCAGAAAGACTCACAGCTGTAATTGCTGGCAAAGTTGATTCTAACATGTATTGACTCAGGGGGTTGAATACTTATCTAATCAAAATATGTGTTTTATTTCCCATTAATTAAATTATTATTCTCACTTTGTAACACAAAAAAATTTGGAAATAGTCAAGGGGTGTGAATACTTTCTGAAGACACTGTAGGTCAGGGGTGTCAAACGTCCGGCCCGCGGGCCGGATCAGGCCCGCAAACGGGTTTAATCCGGCCCGCAAGATGATTTTGTAAAGTATAAAAATGAGCTGCAATTTTTCAATAAAATAAACTGCTGTTCCAATTGTGTCCACTGGATGGTGCAATAGCAATTGTGTTAAGCAAGCAAACTGTTTACATTTTACATTACATTTTACATTTTAGTCATTTAGCAGACGCTCTTATCCAGAGCGACTTACAGTTAGTGAATACATTATATTTTTTTTTATACTGGCCCCCCGTGGGAATCGAACCCACAACCCTGGCGTTGCAAACGCCATGCTCTATCAACTGAGCTACATCCCTGCCGGCCATTCCCTCCCCTACCCTGGACGACTTGTGTCCCGCCCATGAGTCTCCCGGTCGCGGCCGGCTGCGACAGAGCCTGGATACGAACCAGGATTTCTAGTGGCACAGTTAGCACTGCGATGCAGTGCCTTAGACCACTGCGCCACTCAGGAGTACACTCAGGAGTACAGTTTATACCGGGGCAGAGCAAATAGGTCAAGCAAGTGCAGCCAGTCCGGATGAGCTACTTTGTTTTGCCCGCGATATTTATTACGGCTTCTACTTTTAACATTATGTGCTTTGGCACCCTCATTGCCCCAATATGTCTCTGTCAAAAAAGAGAAAAGTGGACGCAGAGTGTTCCAAGAAAAATGGTAATCCTTCTATTTATTCACGGAATTGAATGGGAAAGCGGTATGTTTGGTGTGTTCACAGCATGTTGCAGTGCTGAAAGAATATAACCTTCGTCGCCACTATGTGAGTCTTCATGCCGACAAATATGACAACTTTCAAGGACAGCGGAGAAGAGAGAAGGTGAATGAACTGGTAGTGGGTCTGAAGAAACAGCAGTCTGTGTTTACTCACAGCCGAGACATCAGTGACGCTGCAGTGAAAGCTAGCTACCTCATTGCTAATGAAATCGCAGTGGCTTCAAAACCATTTAGTGAGGGTGAATTTGTAAAAACATGCATGATGAAGGCAGCAGAGATTGTGTGCCCTGAAAAGCACCAGGTTTTTGCAAATATCAGCCTGACAAGAAACACAGTTGCAGACAGGATTTCCGATCTTTCAGTGGATTTGGACAGCCAGTTGAAGCAAAAAGTAAAGTCATTTATTGCGTTTTCGGTTGCAATTGATGAAAGCACGGACATTACAGATGTTGCACAACTGGCCATTTTCATCCGCGGAGTTGATGACACATTGACCGTCACCGAGGAGTTTGTGGAGTTGGTGCCGATGACAGATACAACGACAGCAGCTGATATTTTCACTGCACTCGTCGGCGCGCTGGACAGGGTCGGAGTGGACTGGTCCTGCGCTGTCAGCCTGGCTACAAATAGTGCGCCCTCAATTATCGGGAAAAAAGCAGCGTTGTGACAAAGTTCAGAGAGAAAGTGCAATCTGCAAATGGAGGACGTGATTTTTGGACTTTTCACTGTATTTTGCACCAGGAGGCTTTGTGTTGCAAGTCATTAAAGATGGATAATGTCATGAATAAAACAAAGCTGCGCTCAAGGCTCACGCACAAGCACTTGAATCACATCCTGAAGTTGGCTGCCACTCAGGATGTGACGCCTGATATTGATGCGCTGGTGAAAGCTAAAAGATGCCAGGTATCAGGAGTCAAATAAACTATGCAACCCCACTTAAAGTGCTGCATGAGACACCCTGATATAGTTCTGTGATCTGTGATATACTTCTGTGAATCACTGAGGCATTGTGTGTTTGTGTGTTGTTTGTCCTCAGAATTTCAAATAACTTGAGGTGTTTTATGATTAATAGTGATGATGTGCTTTTGGACACACTGTCCTCAGGCTCCAGCTTTATGTTTATATGTTTTTATGTTGATGTGCTATTGTTTTTAATTGATTTTATTTTATTTGTATATTTAACCTATTCTTGACTCTGTGGTTCTTGCACTTGTTTGGGGAACAGGATTTCATTATTTGTATCTACATTTCTGCCTGAGAAATGACACCCTGATATAGTTCTGTGATCTGTGATATACTTCTGTGAATCACTGAGGCATTGTGTGTTTGTGTGTTCTTTTTCTTTAGAATTTTCAAATAAACTTCAGGTGTTTTATGATTAATAGTGATGTTGTGCTTGTACTATTTTGGACACACTGTCCTCAGGCTCCAGCTTTATGTTTTATGTTGATAGTATTAAAACAAAGAAAACAATCTGAAGTTGTTGTTTTTAAATTATATATACCATGATTTTACCGGTCCGGCCCACTTGGGAATAGATTTTCCTCCATGTGGCCCCTGAGCTAAAATGAGTTTGACACCCCTGCTGTAGGTGATCACTCAACCAAAAATGAGACATTGTTTTTCCATTGGAATTTGCTTGTGCTTTAAGACGGTTGAAAGCATAGTGATAACACATTGGGAATTCAACAAACTTTCAGCTGTTTTTTTTAAGAGAGTGAATATAGGTTGTAATCTCATTGATCAACGTCTCAACTGGTGTGCCCAGTGGGTATGGTTTTGAGACAGAGCTGATGCTGGTTGACTTATACAGATGACTGAAACAAAACAATTTCATATTCACATTTAGCCACCTCATGTTTTATGTACAGTACAGTAGTAAGGCCATAAATCAGAAGTGTGTTTTTTCAATTAAGTGACCTTCTGTAATGTGTTGTAGACTTTTACTCAAGTAGTATTTTATTGAGTGACTTTTACTTGAGTCATTTTCTATTAAGGTATCTTTACTTTTACTCAAGTATGACAATTGGGTACTTTTTCCACCACTGCCTAGCACTGAGGGGAATATTTGTATGATGTTTATTAAATGTGATATTGAAGGCAGTAAGATTCCGAACCACTCACCCTTTACTTTTACATGGGGTGCTTGAATCTTATGTTATTGCACTCATTCACACATTTTAAATACATTTTACATTTCTTTCGCTTGCCTATTTTAATTGAACCTTTCAGATGACAAAATAAATCTCACAGGAAAAATGACATGGTAAGATAATTGATATTCCTGCATTATTGTATTTAAAGTATCATGAGATACGCTGAAGGATGCCTCTGTGATTGATTTATCTTTGGGACATTATGACTTTAGCTATGTGTCTTGAGACAACTCTGCCAGTCAATGGATATTTGTTGCTCCGAAGTCTTATTTCGAGCAATGGGGAAGATCTCAATTGCATACTCCTCACATCCTCTCTCATCTCCTTCTCAAAATCCATTGGATAAGAAAGCCAGAGATCCCTCCCCTCTGACCTTCTCCTCCAATGGGTTTTGAGAAGGAGAAGAGGACACGAGGAGTTTGCATTGAGATATTCCCATGATTTACTTTACAAGTTGAGACCCTGTAACATGTTTAATTTTAATAAAGATTTGACATTTTCCAAATGTTGTTACTTTACAGCCTTATTCCCCTCATCAATCTACACACAATACCCCATAATATCAAAGCAAAAACAAGTTTAGAATGTTTGTTAATTTATTTAAAATAAAAAACCGAAATATCACATTTACATAAGTAGTCAGACCCTTTACTCATTACTTTGTTGAAGCACCTTTGGCAGCGATTACAGCCTTGAGTCTTCTTGGGTATGACACTACAAGCTTGGCACACCTGTATTTGGAGAGTTTCTCCCATTCTTCTCTGCAGATCCTCTCAAGCTCTGTCAGGTTGGATGGGGAGCGATGTTGCACAGCTATTTTCAGGTCTCTCCAGAGATGTTAGATCGGGTTAAAGTCCGGGCTCTGGCTGGGCCACAAGGACATTCAGAGACTTGTCCCAAAGCCACTCCTGCGTTGTCTTAGCTGTGTGCTTAGGGTCATTGTCCTGTTGGAAGGTGAACCTTCGCCCCAGTCTGAGGTCCTGAGTGCTCTGGAGCAGGTTTTCATCAAGGATCTCTCCATACTTTGCTCCGTTCATTTTTGCCTCGATCCTGACTAGTCTCACAGTCCTTGCCGCTGAAAAACATCCCCACAGCATGATGCTGCCACCACGCTTCACCGTAGGGATGGTGCCAGGTTTCCTCCAGACGTGATGCTTGGCATTCAGGCCAAAGAGTTCAATGTTGGTTTCATCAGAGCAGAGAATCTTGTTTCTCATGGTCTGAGAGTCTTTAGGTGCCTTTTGGCAAACTCCAAGTGGGCTGTCATGTGCCTTTTACTGAGAAGTGGCTTCCGTCTGGCCACTCTACCATAAAGGCCTGATTGGTGGAGTGCTGCAGAGATGGTTGTCCTTCTGGAAGGTTCTCCCATCTCCACAGAGGAACTCTAGAGCTCTGTCAGAGTGACCATCGGGTTCTTGGTCACCTCCCTGACCAAGGCCCTTTTCCCCGGATTGCTCAGTTTGGCCGGGCGGCCAGCACTAGGAAGAGTCTTGGTGGTTCCAAACTTCTTCCATTTAAGAATGAAGGAGGCCACTGTGTTCTTGGAGACCTTCAATGCTGCAGAAATGTTTTGGTACCCTTCCCCAGATCTGTGCCTCGACACAATCCTGTCTCGGCGCTCTACGGACAATTCCTTAGACCTCATGGCTTGGTTTTTGCTCTGACATAAACTGTCAACTGTGGGATCTTATATAGACGTGTGTGCCTTTTCAAATCATGTCCAATCAATTGTAATTACCAAAGGTGGACTCCAATCAAGTTGTAGAAACATCTCAAGGAAGATCAATGGAAACAGGAGCCCAATTTTGAGTCTCATAGCAAAGGGTCTGAATACTCATATAAATAAGGTATTTCTGTTTTTTTCTGTATTTCTGTTCATAAACGCAATGCAGAAATCCTGTAGCTGACGAAACAGCGCCACCACCTGGTAACATGACGAACAACCAGGAAGTCGCCTGAGAAAACATTTTGGTGCGTCATGATCTGAAAATGCTTGTGTTCTAGGTAAGTTTTCCCGACAAAAACTGTTTTTTAAAGCTTTTTTCACACAACAACTAATAGGACTAGTTTATATTTCTACCCAGCGAGAGTTATTTTTCATTTTTATTATGCAATTGTGTCATTTGCCTTCAGTGCTGCTTGCGTTGTTGCACATCGAAGATGGTTTCTATTTCTTCGAAAACGAGAACTAATGTATTAAAAATCCCCCACATGTTATTATATTCAGCGATTTATTTGTGTTTAGGGTCAATATCTTAACCCTACTTTTTCAGCCAAATAGGACATATTTTGTGACAGGTGTGCCCATACTAGGCCCTGTCTGTGTTAATAATAATATAATATGCCATTTAGCAGACGCTTTTATCCAAAGCGACTTACAGTCATGCGTGCATAACTTTTTGTGTATGGGTGGTCCCGGGGATCGAACCCACTACCTTGGCGTGTTGGCAATGATACTTACTTTCACCTTGTACTTTACAATACAGTAGTCTATACTAGTCACCTTTATAAAGCCAACATAAAAGTTGTAAAGATTGTCAATCAGTCCCATTGATTATTCATGTGCTGTACTGTATGTCAGGATGTCTGTTGAAAGCCAAGAGACCCGGACAGTTGAGGTGCTGGGAGTACCTGAGGAGGTGGAGGATGAGCTGCTGTATTTGTACTTTGAGAACAAGCGTCGTTCTGGAGGAGGCAGTCTGGTGTCTGTGGAGCTGGAAGGGAGCCGGGCCTTACTGCTGTTTGAAGAGGCAGAGGGTAAGAATGGATTCAGTCTGTGTATTTCTTGTGATCTGATATAATGTCGAAGGCCAATAAGTTTTACTTTATGTACCTATACAACATCTTGTGATTCATTCTTTATCTGGATCCCCATATGCTCATGTCTTAGTGACGCTAGTATTCCTGTGGTCCACAAATTAATGATAATATTGTACCAAAAAAACAATTCATCCATTGCCATCCCATAGCATGCTGATTATGTCTGTGTTTGATTGACAGCTGCAGCAAGGGTCCTGTCTAAAGGACCCCATGTCCTGCACAATGCTGAGTTGACCGTGAGGAAGCCTGCGTGTAAGGATCCATGGAGACTGTTGCTGCGGGGGGTTAACCCAACCACCAGTCAGGAGCTGGTGGAGCTGTATGTAGAGAACATGATGGGGATGGACATGGACGATTACACTCTGTACCCCTCACCTGGCAGGGACCTGGTCCTAGTACACTTCCATCAGGCCTTCAATAAAGGTTTGGGGTTTTCCTATCAAGTTTAAGTTTAAAGATGGAATCCACAGTAGGGGGAAACAGCGCCACTGGCCGCCCCACCACCCTTGTTTTTGGTGGCGTGCTGAGGAACATTGCGCAGCATGGTCAAAACATTGCAGTACATATTGTGCTCTTCTATCGCGTGTGCAATGACATCAGAGGGGAAAAGGCAGTGTTTGTTGTTTGCAGTAACTTCTTTGTTGTTGTAAAATGGCAAACAGACATGCAGAGTTCAATTTACACCATGACATTTAGGGGGTCTCTGTATTGAGTGCACAAACTCAATTATTTCATAGGCCTAATAATAAAGACATAATTGAAATGGTAAAAATGTATTACCTTTTAATGTGGCATGAACACAACAAGTCATATTTTCATCTGATTGTCAAACAAATCACTTCAAAAAGTAGGCATGTTCGTCCACTCCAAAATAATTCCAGCATCCAAACTGCATGTACAGTGGGGGAAAAAAAGTATTTAGTCAGCCACCAATTGTGCAAGTTCTCCCGCTTAAAAAGATGAGAGGCCTGTAATGTTCATCATAGGTACACGGCAACTATGACAGACAAATTTTTCCATAAAATCACATTGTAGGATTTTTAATGAATCTATTTGCAAATTATGGTGGAAAATAAGTATTTGGTCAATAACAACATTTCTCAATACTTTGTTATATACCCTTTGTTGGCAATGACACAGGTCAAACGTTTTCTGTAAGTCTTCACAAGGTTTTCACACACTGTTGCTGGTATTTTGGCCCATTCCTCCATGCAGATCTCCTCTAGAGCAGTGATGTTTTGGGGCTGTCGCTGGGCAACACGGACTTTCAACTCCCTCCAAAGATTTTCTATGGGGTTGAGATCTGGAGTTCTTGTGATCATTTTGACCCCACGGGGTGAGATCTTGCGTGGAGCCCCAGATCGAGGGAGATTATCAGTGGTCTTGTATGTCTTCCATTTCCTAATAATTGCTCCCACAGTTGATTTCTTCAAACCAAGCTGCTTACCTATTGCAGATTCAGTCTTCCCAGCCTGGTGCAGGTCTACAATTGTGTTTCTGGTGTCCTTTGACAGCTCTTTGGTCTTGGCCATAGTGGAGTTTGGAGTGTGACTGTTTGAGGTTGTGGACAGGTGTCTTTTATACTGATAACAAGTTCAAACAGGTGCCATTAATACAGGTAACGAGTGGAGGACAGAGGAGCCTCTTAAAGAAGAAGTTACAGGTCTGTGAGAGCCAGAAATCTTGCTTGTTTGTAGGTGACCAAATACTTATTTTCCACCATAATTTGCAAATAAATTCATTAAAAATCCTACAATGTGATTTTCTGGATTTTCTTTTCTCATTTTGTCTGTCATAGTTGACGTGTACCTATGATGAACATTACAGGCCTCTCATCTTTTTAAGTGGGAGAACTTGCACAATTGGTGGCTGACTAAATACTTTTTTTCCCCACTGTATACTCGGGGCATTTGATAAATGGAAATAGACATCTGTTACAAAACCCCAAAAAGTGTGCCTAATGACATTCAGCGATTACCATTGATTAGGCCGACATTAATTGATGCGTCTTGCTGACAAATATAGTTTTTTTTTTTGTAGCCTGAAAAGTCGGGACACCTGAAATGGGCTGAAACTGTCCCGGGCAAAACGGGATGCTCACCCTAACACACAGTCAACTTACTAGACTAGGCTACAATGGGTATTACCATGACAATAGGCCTACTGGTAGCCAATGATGTAGTGTTTTTAAAAAGTAGGTGGGTAAACTGGTTGCCGGTCGTGGTGAAAAGTTTAGTTCCCTATGCTTTCAATGCATTATTTTGAAAAGGGTGGGTAAACGGCGCTCCACTAGGTCTACACCACTGCCGGTAGACTACCCTCTCAGCCAAGGCTATTTTAAACACCTGAACACACGCAGAATAGGTAGCCTACATTCAATATAATACATGATTTGAATCAAAACATGTTTTACACCCTCGTTCATGGGTTGTCCATAATTAATGAGTTAATGCTTGGAGTCTTCACAGATTGTGTGACATAAAACACTACCTTTCTTTCCTTACATGAATGACATTTGACAGTGTTATTTGTCACTAGTAAGCATTTAACAATTGAATTAAAACATTGACCTTAAACCATGTATGGAACTTGGAGATCTCGGAAAATGCACTATAAGTGTAACTATGCCTATGTAACATTTCATTATGTTTTGCCGTGAAAACAGTTCTCATGGGCATACAAATCCAAAATGATGTAGGCTTACGCCATTGCAAAATCGAATGCTTCTAACCAATAGAGTCAACTATAGGCCTACTGTCATTAGTGTATAGTCTACTTGTTGAATGGATTGGATGTACATTGGTGACTAAGTGTAGGCTAATTATCTAGTGATATTGTCGACAATCATCAGCTGAACCAGGAAAGAAAACACATTTTGATAGAAAATAATAAAGCTAAATAAATGGTCTGCTACTTCTGGGCAGGGAGAGCACCAGTACCCTGGTGCACCTGAAAAACAAAGCAATGAGCGCTGACTGACAAAAGCAAACTATGATAATCCAATTATAAATCTAATGCATTGAAAAAAGCTATGTTTATCAAGGACGTATGGCAAACGAATGGCGGAAATGAGGAAGTACAAAGGAAAATCATTCAGAGGAGTTGAGCCCCCCCTGGCTTCCCCGTAATTTCACCATGGGCTGTTTCACCATTAAAGGGATACTTCAGGAGTCAGATGAACTCATGGATACCTTTTTGTATGTCTTTGCGTGGGTTTTGAAGAAAGTTGCTAACTAGCGCTAGTGCAATTGCTAACTAGCGTTAGCATAATGACTGGAAGGCTATGGGTATCTGGAGCAGATACCCATAGACCTCCAGTCATTTTGCTAACGCTAGTTAGCATTGGCTCGCAGAACTACTTCTAACTTCCTTCATACATTCCACAGAGGCATAAAAATGGTAACAAGTTCATCTTGATAAAGGACCTCATTGCCAATGTCCTGAAGTATCTCTTTAAAAACCTTTTTAGGAAGTTTGAACTTTGGATAAAAGTTAAGTATCAACTAAACCAGAGATTTTAAGTAATTGAAATGATTTGGCAAATAATATAATTGCGAATGTATTTTAAGTGGCTATGCTTTTGCATACAGTATAGTTAATGTGTGTATTCTTCCTTATTTTGCATGCACAGACTTCCAGAAGCTTTACACAAAGATCTCTAAGAAGCCTCTGGATGGAGCACAGATCGTTCTGGAACAGATAGATCAGACTGACTCCATTTTAGTGGAGAACCTGCACCCCAGCATCACAGCAGACATGCTGAATCTGTACATGGAGAGCCAACGGGCTGGTGGAGTTAAGGAAGTCACCATGATGTCAGAGGGGGTTGCCAGGGTCTCCTTCCTGGACTTTGACTGTAAGTTTTGAACATAGACTTATATAATGTCGAATGTCTGTTTGAATGTAAGTTATGTTTTCTACTGTAGAAAAAAAGGACTTCGTACATTTGTATACAAGCAATTCCGTTGTAGCTGTTGTATCCGTTTAAAGTCATATTGTTGTTAGATGTTGTATGTTAATGCAACATAAAAGCTATAAAGCAGGGGTATTCAAATCCTTCCTTGAGGGTCTGAAGTACTGCTGGTTTTCTGTTCTACCTGATAATGAATTGCACCCACCTGGTATCCCAGGTCTAAATCAGTCCCTGATAAGAAGGGAAGAATGTATGGGGGGGGGGAAAGCACTGGAACTGGCTTCGAGATCCAGATTTGAATTTGATGGCTCTAAAGCATGCAAGTTCTATCTAGCTGTTGAATGCGTTTTATTCCCTTCCTTGTTATTGCATCTAACAGCAGTGGAACGTGTCCTTAAACAATCACACAAGCTTGAGGAGACGGATCTGATGGTCAGGCCTTACTTCTCCTTCCTCCAATCAGAGGACAGCTCCTCCTCACCTCTGACCTCACCCCTGACCTCACCACTGACCTCTCTGAATGGAACATCCAATAGTAGCGCAACGAACACACTGCAGACAGACAGTGGTGGTCAATCACATACTGGTTCTCTCCCTGCAGCCAGTACCAGTGATCATTCTCAGTCCTCCCATCAGGTTAACTCTGAGCCCCTGGTCCCCCTTCTGTCCACCCCTGTGTCCCAGGCAGCAGCAGCCCAGGGAGGCATGGAGGACCTAACGTCGACCCCAGAGCCCCTGTCTAGCCACATCTCCGTCCCTGACCCAGTGAAACTCGCACTGCTCAAGCTCAGTCCCCTGCCCCAGAGCCTTCAGCTGGCCCACCCAGCTTGTAGCGTCCAGATCAGGGAGGACGGGGTCCACATGGCCGGGTCTGACCGGCTGGGGCTGGAGCAGCTGAAGAACTCTGTGTTGGAGTTCCTCAGGGGCGTGGCCCAGGCTCATCTCACCTTTGACCCAGAGAAGGCCCACTTCCTGGCCAAACAGGAAGTGAAAGACAAGCTGCTGCAGACGTTGAAGGACAAGGGGCTGCCGTCCATGTATACAGTGTCGGACTGTGACGTCGTGGTAACGTCTCTGTCTTTCAGCTTGGTGAGCCAGGCTTGTAGCTTGCTGAAGACCCTGCTGTCTGACTTCAGTATCCCCGTGGACAGAGAGTATGAGTGTATGCTGTACGCCCAGGAGTGGACTGGCTTCCTCCAGTCTCTGGGTCTCTGCTCTGCTAAGGTGTCAGAGAGGGGACAGATAGATGTCCTGACTCTGAGAGGGTTGGAGGAGGAGAAGCAGGCTAAGATAGTAGAGTTCCTCAGTACACCCATTGAAAGGGAGGCTATCATCTCTATGGAGCCAGGCATGTTGAAGTACATCCAGACACACTGTCACCAGCTACTGGCAGATATGGACCAGGTGTCCATCTTCCCTCTGGACGCACATGACGTCTGTGGACTCAAAGTAAGTGTTTTACCTTTTTAGAAATATCATAAAAACATGTCATTCCATTATAGAAATTAATTCACAGTATATGCTGTAATTCTCTCATACCCTTTTCACACTACCGAGTCAAGCTGAGCTGTACTGGGTTGGCCTGGTTACACGTGCTGGAGTGGACAATGTGAAAATAAAATATCTGAGCCAATACGGTTGAGGTTGGCACGCTAGTGTGAAAAGGGTATCCAATGTCTTTGTGAATAATGGTCTTATACACTGTTTCATACTCGTCATGTCTATGATTGGTAGATCCACGGCAACGCAGGGGCGTGTCAAATGGCCGATGAGGTTCTGAGGGGCGTGGTGTCGTCCATCGTGACCAGAACCATCACAGTGAACGAACCGGGCGTGGCGCGGTTCCTCATCCAGGAGGGAGAGGGGACCAGCATCCTCAGGGAGATGCAGGCCAAGTTCCAGGTCTACATCAACATGGAGAAGGTGCACTGGGAACCCCTGGAGAACGAGGTAGTTGGCCCAATGATGACCATATTAATATAGACTGTATTATCGCTGCATTTACTACCATTACTAATTCACTTGCAAATGAAGTAGCCAAATGATAAACATCTACACATACAGTGGGGGAAAAAAGTATTTAGTCAGCCACCAATTGTGCAAGTTCTCCCACTTAAAAAGGTGAGAGAGGCCTGTAATTTTCATAATAGGTACACGTCAACTATGACAGACAAATTGAGAAAAAGAAATCCAGAAAATCACATTGTAGGATTTTTAATGAATTTATTTGCAAATTATGGTGGAAAATAAGTATTTGGTCACCTACAAACAAGCAAGATTTCTGGCTCTCACAGACCTGTAACTTCTTCTTTAAGAGGCTCCTCTGTCCTCCACTCGTTACCTGTATTAATGGCACCTGTTTGAACTTGTTATCAGTATAAAAGACACCTGTCCACAACCTCAAACAGTCACACTCCAAACTCCACTATGGCCAAGACCAAAGAGCTGTCAAAGGACACCAGAAACACAATTGTAGACCTGCACCAGGCTGGGAAGACTGAATCTGCAATAGGTAAGCAGCTTGGTTTGAAGAAATCAACTGTGGGAGCAATTATTAGGAAATGGAAGACATACAAGACCACTGATAATCTCCCTCGATCTGGGGCTCCACGCAAGATCTCACCCCGTGGGGTCAAAATGATCACAAGAACGGTGAGCAAAAATTCCAGAACCACACGGGGGGACCTAGTGAATGACCTGCAGAGAGCTGGGACCAAAGTAACAAAGCCTACCATCAGTAACACACTACGCCGCCAGGGACTCAAATCCTGCAGTGCCAGACGTGTCCCCTTGCTTAAGCCAGTACATGTCCAGGCCCGTCTGAAGTTTGCTAGAGTGCATTTGGATGATCCAGAAGAGGATTGGGAGAATGTCATATGGTCAGATGAAACCAAAATAGAACTTTTTGGTAAAATCTCAACTCGTCGTGTTTGGAGGACAAAGAATGCTGAGTTGCATCCAAAGAACACCATACCTACTGTGAAGCATGGGGGTGGAAACGTCATGCTTTGGGGCTGATTTTCTGCAAAGGGACCAGGACGACTGATCCGTGTAAAGGAAAGAATGAATGGGGCCATGTATCGTGAGATTTTGAGTGAAAACCTCCTTCCATCAGCAAGGGCATTGAAGATGAAATGTGGCTGGGTCTTTCAGCATGACAATGATCCCAAACACACCGCCCGGGCAACGAAGGAGTGGCTTCGTAAGAAGCATTTCAAGGTCCTGGAGTGGCCTAGCCAGTCTCCAGATCTCAACCCCATAGAAAATCTTTGGAGGGAGTTGAAAGTCCGTGTTGCCCAGCGACAGCCCCAAAACATCACTGCTCTAGAGGAGATCTGCATGGAGGAATGGGCCAAAATACCAGCAACAGTGTGTGAAAACCTTGTGAAGACTTACAGAAAACGTTTGACCTGTGTCATTGCCAACAAAGGGTATATAACAAAGTATTGAGAAACTTTTGTTATTGACCAAATACTTATTTTCCACCATAATTTGCAAATAAATTCATAAAAAATCCTACAATGTGATTTTCTGGAGAAAAAAAATCTCATTTTGTCTGTCATAGTTGACATGTACCTATGATGAAAATTACAGGCCTCTCTCATCTTTTTAAGTGGGAGAACTTGCACAATTGGTGGCTGACTAAATACTTTTTTCCCCCACTGAAGATGTATAATGGCAGCGATTTGTTTTCTGTGCCATGAACTTGTTCCTCTACATTGTTTGCTGCATGCTGTCATTTTGATTGGGATAAGCATGGTTAAGCCTATGGTGTATTTCAGAGATTGTAGGAGGCTGGTGGGAGGAGCTATATGAGGACCGGCTCATTGTAATGGCTGGAATGGAATTCACGGAACGGTATCAAGCGTATGAAACCACATGGTTGACACCGTTCCATTGATTGCATTCCAGCCATTACAATGAGCCCATCCTCCTATAGCTCCTCCCACCAGCCTCCTCTGTCAGATGTGTGTATATATATTCTGTGTGTCTATATACAGTACGTCTCTGGTGTATTCTAGCTTTGTCCTCTCCCTACAGGACATCTTTGAGGCTGCGTGGAATATGATGTCCCATCAGAGCTTCCAGAGAAGGTCCTCAGATGGTTCCTTACAGGCCTCCACATCAGTTCTGACTCACACTAACCAGACTTCCAACGACTTCTCAGCTCCAGACATAGGTACACACTTTCATCTCACTATTCTCATATCAATCAAATGTATTTGTAAAACTATTTTTACATAATTTGTCACAACTTGTACAGTAACCCAGCCTAGACCCTGAAGAGCACATGGAAGCACAGTGGCCAGAATAATCTTCAGAGAAGGGAGTTATTCTATTGGCATTGTTGTTTTGCAATCACTGAAAACATATGTACTGATCCCAGGTCTTATAGAGGAGGCAAAGAGGCTAATCTCAGCCATAGATGAGATGGTGGACTCTGGCCTCTCTAGTCTGACCAGAACCACTGACATTGAGGAGGATCTGTCTACGGCCGGGGAACCCATGGCCCTCAGCACTGACCACAACCCAGACAGAGACAGCACTGACGTGGAGGAGGAGGCTCCACAGCCGCTAGTGGATGGAGGGGGTAGTGATGATGAGGGTGCTCTTGCTCCTCTGGCAACGCAACTCTCTTCTAACCTGGAGGAGGAGGCCCAGATGTCCCTGGCCATCCAGTACTCCATGGAAACCACAAAGAGGTCCCTGACCGAGGAGGAGGAGCTGCAGAAGGTTCTGGAGCTGTCCAATATGATGACGAAGATGACTCGGCATGATAGTGGTGCCATGGCTACCGCTTCCCTCCCTACTGCTGGCTCCCACCTCGATCAGGCTGTCCAGGTGTCTCTGCAGGAGGCCATCCAGTCAGCCAACACGGCAACAATCTTTGTGTTCGCTGGCTATAGCTGTGATCTGATCAGAGTGGACATTGCCCTGAACAAGAAGGTCACCCTGAGACGGCATGAGGAGAAGCTAGAGCACCGCAGCCTGAGGAACCTGTCTCAGTACCACAGGTACGTGTGTGTCTGTGTGTACACTGTCTTTTTTATAGTGATGGAAAATCCATATCGATGTCAGTTGCATTTTTTCTATTCAATATCATATTGGTTCGTAGAAAACAGTCCAGACAACTGCTTGCAGTTTGCCCATTGGGCCAGGTGTGTTCTGATGGTATAAACCTACCTAACCAGGGTTGTGGGTTCGATTTCCCACGGGGGGCCAGTATGAAAAAATTTATGCACTCACTAACTGCAAGTCGCTCTGGATAAGAGCGTCTGCTAAATGACTAAAATGTAAATGTAAATACAATGGGAAGCCCATCCACAGTTGATGGCCCATCAGCAGGCAATTAAGTATGGTACCTTTAAGAGCCTGTGAGAAGATCTGTTTTGTGCCTGCAGGAACAGTCATGTATGCTTTTTATAGAATAGTGTAGGTTAACAGGAAGAATATACCTATATTAAAATATGCCTTGCTCATATCAATATTAAACAATATCATATGGAATTTTCAATGTTGGTGCCCACCAATCAGGAGGTGTCTGGACCTCATCAAGAGGAAACACGCCGTGGAGGTCACCATCCAGGGAACCACGGCAATCCTCTCCGGGTTCAAAGACTTTGTTACCGGGGCGATGCCGGACATGAAGCTGTTGCTGAGGAGGATCTCCACGACGATGTCAGACGCTGACATCCTGCGGATGGTGCAATGGGTGTGGCACGACCCGGCGTCGTCAGGAACGAAGACCCCGTACGCTCCAGAGGCGACAGTGTTTATGGAGAACGCCTGGAAGATGAGGCAGAAAAAGATTGACATCCTGCTCAACAACCAACCGCACATCATCAACTTTGAGAAGATGCAGGAGTACAACGTGGCCTCTGGGAAGTCAGTAACCATCTCCAGGAAGATGCTGAGCTCAGAAGATGTGTACTCAGATATACAAGGTAAAGAGAACTTTGCAAATACTGTATGTGAGCTTATTCTTATGTTATTTATTTATTTGGTAAGAATTACATTTGTGAGATGCTATTTAATTACTGATGCAATATCCGTGTTGTCTTATTAACAAAGCTATTTAATGTTGCACTGTTTTCCTTCATGCTATATTGCACTTAAATTGCTACAATATGTTTCTCTGTTTTTCAGATGAGGACTACAGTCTACTGTCCAACCTGCCTGAAATGTCCAGAGTGAACGAGGACTCGGATGAGTTCCAGGATGTTGTGAAAGACTTCTATGACTCCATTCAGGAGTACCACAACAGAATCAGAATCATTAAAGTATGTAGTATCTATCAACAGCAACTAACCATTAACTTTGTATTGTATCAGTGATGTCAGAAGCCATTCCTCTGTTAATCTCATTTCCCAGATTGAGAAACTGATGAATAGGCTCCTGTACAACCAGTACAGACTGAAGAAGGCTAGTATATATCAGAGTGCCACTGACCCAGAAGTGGAGCGGACTCTGTACCACGGTACAAGCGAGACCAGCGTGAAAGAGATCTGTGTTCATGGCTTCAACAGAAGCTTCTGTGGAAAGAATGGTAAGGCCTTTCTAATTATTATTGGGGTTTTTTAATCAGCTTTTTTTATTTCATTTTAACATTATTTTCATGTAGACATTAATGTGGCCTCTCTTGTATATCCTGGTCTCTCTGCAGCCATTGTGTACTGTCAAGGGTTCTACTTTGTACTAATTTGGCCTATTGTATCTCTTTCAGTAATAATTTGGTCTCTTGTTGTGGTTTCTCTCTGCAGCCACTGTGTATGGTCAGGGGGTTTACTTTGCTGTGAACTCGGCCCTGTCCGTCCAGGATCAGTATTCTCCCCCCAACGCAGACGGACACAAGTTTGTGTTTGTGACCAAGGTGCTTACTGGGGACTTCACTCAGGGCAGTCACTCCATGAAGACTGCTCCTCTGAAGGAGACTACTGAGATACCCCTCAGATACGACAGCGTGGCAGATAAGACGGCCAACCCCTCTCTGTTTGTTATCTTCAACGACACACAGGCCTACCCTGAGTATCTCATCACATGTCAGAAGATTCACCGCTGAGGGAAGGAAGGAGTGGGAGATGATTGATATTCAAAAAAGCACCAACTCTGTTTCGGCCTAGTGTTTATACATTTTTCCCTATTGGGAAGAGGATTCATGGGAATTCTATTAGAAATATACTGTGCATTGTGTTTCTTTAATCATGCATCTTAATTTAGTTTTTCTAACTTGTTTACGCCGCTGCTGTTTATTTATGAGACAACAATATAGCCTTCTTCTACAGTATAATTACAAATACTCATTGTTATCCATACCAATAATACGATTGCAAAGCGTTCATTCACAGTGCAATTCAATCATGAATTAGCTAAATGCAATATTCTCGACTCAAACCGTATAGTTTGATCTTTATAATCAATGAAACACATAACGCACCTCCAATGGTATTACATGGAATTTTACCTGTGAAATGCTGGAATGCGGTTTTAACCAATCAGCATTCAGGATTAGACCCACCCATTGTATAAATGCATTTATAATCTGGGTTGTCTGAGCCCTGAATGCTGAAAGCTGTGGTATATCAGACTGTGTAGCATGGGTATGACAACATTTATTTGTACAGCTCTAATTATGTTGGTAACCAGTTTATAATAGCAATAACGCACCTCGGGTTTGATATATGGCCAATATACCACGGCTAAGGGCTGTGTCCTAGCACTCTGTTGCGTTGTGCGTAAGAACAGCCCTTAGCCGTGGTATATTGGCCATATACCACACCCCCTCTGGCCTTATTGCTTAATTAATTGGTAATGTGTCTTGCAGAGCAAAACATTGACTTTACTTATCATGTTGCCTTAGTTTTATATTTCTGGTGTTCCATCTGAGGGATAAATACAAAAATCCTTAAAATTTACTTTGGGTAAAAAGGTGGCTTTTTAATTTAAGATTTATGTTAAAGTAAACTCTTGTCCTGTCTTTTATTTATTTTTGTGTACACACATTTTTCTATGAAGATAGGAACTATTGTTAATTGGTTGCTGTTTCTTGCCGAATTCAGTTTAGCTGCGCATGTGAGTCGAATGGCAGTCTGGGAAATGTTTGAATGAAAAGAATAGCTTTTGCTATTGAAGTCAATTGCTTCACCACACAATTATTTTTATGAACTGAATATTAATTATGCTGTAATAAAAGTGAGAAAGGCAAGACCCAAACTGGAAACTATCGTAGCTTGTTCATAATAGGTAGGTTTATGTGATAAGATTGAACACCTGCTTGAAGCTAAGCTCGCTATCTAACGTAACGTTAGCAAGCTATCCAGCTAACCGACGCTAGTGGACCATTAGCAAGCGAGCCAAACGGCTATGCCAACTAGCTAGCTAACCTACGTTATTTTAAAACTCGCTAGCTATCTACCCAACTAAATTGAAAAATACTATAGCTAGTATTCTCCCAAATAAACTAACAGCAACTAGTAGACTTGCTTCGTGAAGTTCGTCCCGCAACGAGCCAAGTAGCAGAAAGGCGAGCCAGCTCAATCATCACTGACCAGCTAGCCACACTGTGCCTGGATTGTATTCAAACCTGACACCAATATGTTTAGCCACAGTGTGCAAAGTATTAGCTAACTTTGTTCTTTATTCTAGCTAAGTAGTAACGTTACTGGTGCAATATCCATAGGCGTGTCTTCTAGTATAATGTGTATTCAGATTAATATGTAGCTAATAACTGCTGTAACGTTAAGGTGCTGAGGGCGTGCTGCTTGCAGGATGTATGCCGTGTACCGCCAAGCCCACTCCCCCACCGCCATCGAGTTTTCTGTCTACTGCAACTTCATCTCCAACGAGGAGAAGAACCTGGTCGTCGCTGGAACATCTCAGCTTTACGTCTACAGGATCATTCACGATGTGGAGGTAAAGTAGCTTTTAGCTATGTTCATCTTTCGTTCCTCAGTCACTGATCAAAAGTACAATCAGATAAACGAAGATAAATAAATGTTAGCTACCTTGTGTGGGGAATATTATGTTTTTTCCCTCATGACATCCAGTTTACAGTAATTTACATCTTTCTCTTCATATTTCAGAATGCTTCAAAGACAGACAAATCACCAGGTATGTCCAAAACTGCCTTGTGATCTAGCAACGTTCTGGTGAAAGAGCAGCTAGTATGGTGGAAAACCCAGACCTAGGGCAACAACACTATGCTATGTTCCACTATGTTGGAACATTGTAGGAGGCAACCTGTCTGTGTAGAGAGACTAGTGAACCTCACTGTATGCTATTATTATGTTGTCAGCCTTCCTCAGACATGCACGTGCCAACATTACAGACCATCTCTGACATCTGATTTCTTCTTTGACACGTTCTTGATATTTTCCTTGTCCTCTGCAGATGTCAAGAGTCGTAAGGAGAAGCTTGAGCAGGTGGCTTGTTTCTCCCTGTTCGGTAACGTCATGTCCATGGCCTCTGTTCAGCTAGTAGGAGCCAACAGAGATGCTCTCCTGCTCAGCTTCAAAGATGCTAAGGTACCTGAGACGTCTAGATTGATTGTTTTACTAATCCTAAACTCACAGCGTTCATATTCCAGGTTACTTTAGCCTACTCTATTCTTTAAATGTTATCAATTATGATGTAGCAGTAGCTATGTGTAGTGGGTGCAAGCAATCTGTCCTTGAAAATGTATCTGACTGCTGTTTACTATGTCTTGGTTTTGTTTACTCCAGCTGTCCGTGGTGGAGTATGATCCAGGAACACATGATCTGAAGACTCTCTCGCTTCACTTCTTTGAGGAGCCAGAGCTGAGGGTAAGAGGAAATTAACTGTGCTTGAAAAACATTCAAAGACAAATTACTACCAAGATGACCATATATGGAAAAAGTTGTATCTTATTCCATAATTGTTGTATCTCCAGGATGGGTTTGTCCAGAACCTGCACATCCCCATGGTCCGTGTGGACCCAGAGAACCGCTGTGCTGTGATGCTGGTGTATGGCACCCAGCTGGTGGTGCTGCCATTCAGAAAGGACACGCTTACTGACGAACAGGAGGGAGTAGTGGAAGGGTATGTAGACATATTTCATTTCATCATTTGATTTATTTAGTTAGGATAGACCACTCAGTAACATTTGCCACAGTTTTTCCAGAGAGTCCTAGAATCCATAGCACCTCGTAGTGATATTTAGGAGACCTATAGCAATGCACTCTTGAGTTGTAGTAACAGTTATTCTTGACTCGTGTTTTATTTTACCACCGATACAGGCCCAAGTCCAGCTTTCTTCCCAGCTACATCATCGATGTCCGTGAGCTGGATGAGAAGCTTCTGAACATTGTCGATATGAAGTTCCTCCACGGATACTATGAACCCACACTGCTCATCCTGTATGAGCCCAACCAGACGTGGCCTGGGTCAGTACACCACATCGGCACCTGTCCTCCTCTGTTCCTCCTGTCTGTCTTAAGGAGACCGCCCCCCTAAACAAAAGTCTGCTGACGAGTTAACATGAAGAAGGCTAGGAACTTAGCCATGTCTGGTTCAGACCTGTTTATGACTGGTAATATTGTGGTGTGCAACTCTAGTCTGACCATGTCCTCCTCCTCCAGGCGTGTAGCAGTGAGACAGGACACCTGCAGTATCGTAGCCATCTCTCTCAACATCATGCAGAAGGTTCACCCTGTCATCTGGTCCCTCAGCAACCTGCCCTTTGATTGCACACAGGTCATGCCTGTGCCCAAGCCAATTGGTAATCACTCACTACATTTATGGGTTCTTATATTCTGAGTTACAAATGAAGAGACTTGTATGATCATATCATGACTCAATGTGAATTTATTCCCGTTGTGTTTCTAGGTGGTGTGGTGGTGTTTGCTGTCAACTCCCTTTTATACCTCAACCAGAGTGTTCCTCCATATGGAGTGTCACTCAACACACAGACCACTGGGACCACCGCCTTCCCCCTACGTAAGTACTGACTGAGGACAATAGTTCACATACATCATTGTTCTCAAGCTCACTATGCATATAGAAAGCAACTATTATTGCTTATTATTATTATTTTATTATATAAAAACATTTATACCATGCCTAGGAAAGTAATTTGGTAACACGTAAGCTGCAATATACCTGGAGATAATTTATAAAGCTTTATAAAGTGTTGTAAGCATGTAAGAGCCTTTATATATTCTAATAAGGCTGATAAACCGTGTGTGTTGGTGTTTCAGGTATACAGGAGGAGGTGAAGATCACACTAGATTGTTCCCAGTCCACCTTCATCGGCTCTGACAAGATGGTCATCTCTCTAAAGGGAGGAGAGATGTGAGTAGAGCACATAACAGTTGTGATGGAATTTATTAGCTATGAACAAAAATATAAACGCAACATGCAACAATTTCAAAGATTTTACTGAGTTGCAGTTGATATAAGGAAATCAGTCAATTTAAATACATTCATTAGGCCCTAATCTATGGATTTCACATGACTGGGAATACAGATATGCATCTGTTGGTCACAGATGCCTTCAAAAAAAGGTAGGGTCGTGAATCAGAAAACCAGTCAGTATCTGGTGTGACCACCATTCACCTCATGCAGTGCGACACATCTCCTTCGAATAGAGTTGATCAGGCTGTTGATTGTGGCCTGTGGAATGTTGTCCTACTCCTCTTCAATGACAGAGCGAAGTTGCTGGATATTGGCGGGAACTGGAACACGCTGTCGTACACGTCGATCCAGAGCATCCCAAACATGCTCAATGGGTAACATGTCTGGTGAGTATGCAGGCCATGGAAGAACTGGGACAATTTCAGCTTCCAGGAATTGTGTACAGATCCTTGCGACGTGGGGCCGTGCATTATCATTCTGAAACATGAGGTGATGGCGGCGGATGAATGGCATGACAATGGGCCTCAGGATCTCGTCACAGTATCTCTGTGCATTCAAATTGCCATTGTGTTCGTTGTCCATAGTTTATGCCTGCCCATACCATAACCCCACCGCCACCATGGGGCAATCTGTTCACAACGTTGACATCGGCAAGCCGCTCGCCCACACGACGCCATACACGTGGTCTGCGGTTGAGCGGCCGGTTGGACGTACTGCCAAATTCTCTAAAACAACAGTGATGGCTTATGGTAGAGAAATGAACATTCAATTCTCTGGCAACAGTTCTGGTGGACATTTCTGCAGTCAGCATGCCAATTGCACTCTCCCTCAACTTAAGTCATCTGTGGCATTGTGTTGTGTGACAAAACTGCACATTTTCGAGTGGCTTTTTATTTTGTATTTTTTAGGGGGTAGATCTGTTTAAAGCTGCAGATAGATTGTAGCTTCCATCAATGTAATTGTCTGCATCATTTCCAATCCCCCATATACAGTGAGGTAAAAAAGTATTTGATCCCCTGCTGATTTTGTACGTTTGCCCACTGACAAAGACATGATCAGTCTATAATTTTAAATGGTAGGTTTATTTGAACAGTGAGAGACAGAATAACAACAAAAGAATCCAGAAAAACTCATGTCAAAAATGTTATAAATTGATTTGCATTTTAATGAGGGAAATAAGTATTTGACCCCTCTGCAAAACATGACTTAGTACTTGGTGGAAAAACCCTTGTTGGCAATCACAGGGGTCAGACGTTTCTTGTAGTTGGCCACCAGGTTTGCACACATCTCAGGAGGGATTTTGTCCGACTCCTCTTTGCAGATCTTCTCCAAGTCATTAAGGTTTCGAGGCTGACGTTTGGCAACTCGAACCTTCAGCTCCCTCCACATATTTTCTATGGGATTAAGGTCTGGAGACTGGCTAGGCCACTCCAGGACCTTAATGTGCTTCTTCTTGAGCCACTCCTTTGTTGCCTTGGCCGTGTGTTTTGGGTCATTGTCATGCTGGAATACCCATCCACGACACGATCCGTCCATCGTTCCTTTGATGCGGTGAAGTTGTCCTGTCCCCTTAGCAGAAAAACACCCCCAAAGCATAATGTTTCCACCTCCATGTTTGACGGTGGGGATGGTGTTTTTGGGGTCATAGGCAGCATTCCTCTTCCTCCAAACACGGCGAGTTGAGTTGATGCCAAAGAGCTCGATTTTGGTCTCATCTGACCACAACACTTTCACCCAGTTCTCCTCTGAATCATTCAGATGTTCATTGGCAAACTTCAGACGGCCCTGTATATGTGCTTTCTTGAGCAGGGGGACCTTGCGGGCACTGCAGGATTTCAGTCCTTCACGGCGTAGTGTGTTACCAATTGTTTTCTTGGTGACTATGGTCCCAGCTGCCTTGAGATCATTGACAAGATCCTCCCGTGTAGTTCTGGGCTGATTCCTCACCGTTCTCATGATCATTGCAACTCCACGAGGTGAGATCTTGCATGGAGCCCCAGGCCGAGGGAGATTGACAGTTATTTTGTGTTTCTTCCATTTGTGAATAATCGCACCAACTGTTGTCACCTTCTCACCAAGCTGCTTGGCGATGGTCTTGTAGCCCATTCCAGCCTTGTGTAGGTCTACAATCTTGTCCCTAACATCCTTGGAGAGCTCTTTGGTCTTGGCCATGGTGGAGAGTTTGGAATCTGATTGATTGATTGCTTCTGTGGACAGGTGTCTTTTATACAGGTAACAAGATGAGATTAGGAGCACTCCCTTTAAGAGTGTGCTTCTAATCTCAGCTCGTTACCTGTATAAAAGACACCTGGGAGCCAGAAATCTTTCTGATTGAGAGGGGGTCAAATACTAATTTCCCTCGTTAAAATGCAAATCAATTTATAACATTTTTGACATGCATTTTTCTGGATTTTTTTGTTGTTATTCTGTTTCTCACTGTTCAAATAAACCTACCATTAAAATTATAGACTGATAATTTCTTTGTCAGTGGGCAAACGTACAAAATCTGCAGGGGATCAAATACTTTTTTCCCCTCACTGTATGTTTTTGTAAAAAAATTAATATATATATATATACATACATGCATACATACATACCTTTGTAAATTATATTTTCCTTTATTATTTTCCCCTAACCCTACCACCCCTCCCCTAATTGGAGTGGCCTTTTATTGTCCCCAGCACAAGGTGCACCTGTGTAATGATCATGCTGTTTAATCAGCTTCTTGATACGCCACACCTGTCAGTTGGATGGATTATCTTGCCAAAGGAGAAATGTTTACTAATGGATGAAAACAGTTTTTTGTGCGTATGGAACATTTCGGGGATCTGTTATTTCAGCTCATGAAACATGGGAGCAACACTTTACATGTTGCGTTTTATATTTTTGTTCAGTGTATATTTATTTGCCGTAACTGCTTGATTTGTTGTGCTCTCAAATTGGTGTGGCATAGTAGCAATAACTGCATTGTGTAGCTACAGCTAGAATGGCATTGTATTTAGTCATGACCTTGTAAGAGTCATGCTTTGACTGTGTGCCTGTCCTCTCTCCTCAGCTATGTGTTGACCCTGATCACTGATGGCATGAGAAGTGTCCGAGCCTTCCACTTTGACAAGGCTGCTGCCAGCGTCCTCACCACATGTGTAAGTAGGATACATTAGATGTGTGTGGCACAATGAGTTTACTGTGAGGACAGTGTGCTGACACAGGCCTCTGGCACCCCAGGGGAAAGTCTCATGGACAGCTGCTGTTCCTGACGCATTACATCTCCACACACACACACTGATAATGTGCTGACCGCAGCCCTTGACAGTTTACTGCATTATGCGCAAACTCATGTGGAGAGAGAGAGAGGGGGAAGAGAGAGAGAGAGAAAGAGCGCATCAGAGAGAGATAGTTGTTGGCATAGAAGGGCTGGTTTACACACAAACGCACTCAGCTGTGAATAGAGCAGTGCAGGGATATTCTCAGTCTGCTGCCAGCAGTTGGCCAAGAGAGAACTGGTCATGGAGGAGCTGTGGAAGCATAGAGGTTCCCCACCTCTCACCCCTGTCTCTTACCCACCTCTCACCCCTGTCTCTTCTCATCTCACCCCTGTCTCTTACCCACCTCTCACCCCTGTCTCTTCTCATCTCACCTCTGTCTTTTACCCACCTCTCACCCCTGTCTCTTCTCATCTCACCCCTGTCTCTTCTCATCTCACCCCTGTCTCTTACCCACCTCTCACCCCTGTCTCTTCTCATCTCACCTCTGTCTTTTACCCACCTCTCACCCCTGTCTCTTCTCATCTCACCCCTGTCTCTTACCCACCTCTCACCCCCTGTCTCTTCTCCTGCTCTCACCCCCTGTCTCTTCTCCTCATCTTCCCCCTGTCTCTTCTCCTCCTTTACCCCCTGTCTCTTCTCCTCCTCTAACTCTGTCCCTCGTCCCCCCAGATGATGACCATGGAGCCTGGGTATCTGTTCCTGGGGTCCCGGCTGGGAAACAGCCTCTTGCTAAAATACACAGAGAAGTACCAGGAGAAACCAGAGAAGCCACCAGTGGAGGAGGACAAAGAGAAGGAAGAGGAGACCGATGAGGAGAAGCAGGTGAGTTGGTTTGGATTTTAGTTCATATGTAGATATTCTCCTCAGTCTGGTCCCTGTGGCATATTGCTGTGAGTGATTGTCAAAAATGTAAAGATTCCATAGATGTATAGATTCTAGTCAAGGCATAGTTGATCAAATTGAGCTTCAAAATGTAGCAAGTTGTAAATGGGTGTTTGTTGCCAAAAGAGGATGATTTAATTTTGTGGTTTAAAAAACAAGTAGCAGTCGTTGCCAATGAATAGCTTCTGTGCTTGTTTTCCACTTATAAAGAGATTTGTAGCACTTCAACTGCTGTTGTGACTGGTCTTTGACTAGCAGGTGTGGAAATATGACACTTAATATGTGATGTCGCATATTATAGTTCACCCCTGAAAAAATAAGATGTTTTATCGTAAAATACACTGGATAGGTGCAGGGAAATGTGTTGTTTTACAGGGTCAGCCATAGTAGTACGGCGCCACTGGAGCAAATTAGGGTTAAGTGCCTTGCTCAAGGGCACATCGACATATGTTTAACCTTGTCTGCTCGGGTGTTCGAACCAGTGTCCTTTCAATTGCTGGCCAAAACGCTCTAACCGCTAGGCTACCTACTGGCCCATTGTCCATTTTGTAAATAAATATGCAAAATGAATTGCTGATACACATTCCTATGTATGTATTCTGATATAAATTGCATAATTAACTTAAACTTGATAATAATTCCAGGAGGAACCTCCCAGTAAAAAGAAGAGAAATGATTCCTCTACCAACTTGACAGGTATTTGGACAGTTGGTGTTTTACAATATCTTGGTTGTGTCTTGCATATTACCCTTCTTTACATACACTACCGTTCAAAAGTTTGCGGTCACTTAGAAATGTCCTTGTTTTCCATGAAAACATACATGAAATGAGTTTGAATAGGAAATATAGCCAAATGCATGGGAAATGTAGTCATTGACAAGGTTAGAAATAATTATTTTTAATAGAAATAATAATTGTGTCCTTCAAACTTTGCTTTCTTCAAAGAATCCTCCATTTGCAGCAATTACAGCCTTGCAGACCTTTGGCATTCTAGTTGTCAATTTGTTGAGGTAATCTGAAGAGATTTCATTCCATGCTTCCTGAAGCACCTCCCACAAGTTGGATTGGCTTGATGGGCACTTCTTACGTACCATACAGTCAAGCTGCTCCCACAACAGCTCAATAGGGTTGAGATCCGGTGACTGTGCTGGCCAGTCCATTATAGACAGAATACCAGCTGACTGCTTCTTCCCTAAATAGTTATTGCATAGTTTGGAGCTGTGCTTTGGGTCATTGTGCTGTTGTAGGAGGAAATTGGCTCCAATCAAGCGCTGTCCACAGGGTATGGCATGGCATGCAAAATGGAGTGATCGCCGTCCTTCTTCAAGATCCCTTTTACCCTGTACAAATCTCCCACTTTACCGCCACCAAAGCACCCCAGACCATCACATTGCCTCCACCATGCTTGACAGATGGCATCAAGCACTCCTCCAGCATCTTTTCATTTGGCCTGCGTCTCACAAATGTTCTTCTTTGTGATCCGAACACCTCAAACTTAGATTCGTCTGTCCAAAACACTTTTTTCCAATCTTCCTCTGTCCAGTGTCTGTGTTCTTTTGCCCATCTCTTATTTTTATTGGCCAGTCTGAGATATGGCTTTTTCTTTGCAACTCTACCTAGAAGGTCAGCATCCCAGAGTCGCCTCTTCACTGTTGACGTTGAGACTGGTGTTTTGCGGGTACTATTGAATGAAGCTGCCAGTTGAAGACCTTCGAGGCGTCTGTTTCTCAAACTAGACACTCTAATGTATTTGTCCTCTTGCTCAGTTGTGCACCGGGGCCTCCCACTCCTCTTTCTATTCTGGTTAGAGACAGTTTGCGCTGTGAAGGGAGTAGTACATCGCGTTGTACGAGATCTTCAGTTTCTTGGCAATTTCTCGCATGGAATAGCCTTCATTTCTCAGAACAAGAATTGACTGACGAGTTTCAGAAGAAATGTCTTTGTTTCTGGCCATTTTTATTCTGTAATCGAACCCACAATTGCTGAAGCTCCAGATACTCAACTAGTCTCAAGAAGGCCAGTTTTATTTCTTCTTTAATCAGCACAACAGTTTTCAGCTGTGCTAACATAATTGCAAAAGGGTTTTCTAATGATCAATTAGCCTTTTTAAAATGATAAACTTTAGCAAACACAATGTGCCATTGGAACACAGGACTGATGGTTGCTGATAATGGGCCTGTGTACACCTACAGCTTCCATTAAAAATCAGCTGTTTCCAGCTACAATAGCCATTTACAACATTAACAATGTCTACACTGTATTTCTGATCAATTTGATGTTATTTTAATGGACAAAAAAATTGCTTTTCTTTCGAAAACAAGGACATTTCTAAGTGACCCCAAACGTTTGAACGGTAGTGTATGTATGGAACTAACTGAGGTGATAAGGTCACCTATAATTATGTTTTTATATTTATAAATAATGTGTTACCTCCCATGTCTTCTATCCAGCTGGTAAGAACCAACTGCCTGATGAGGTGGATGAAATTGAGGTGTACGGGAGCGAAGTGGCATCTGGCACTCAATTGGCCACCTACTCCTTTGAGGTAGGACCCCTTGTTATCCCAGTAGAAGCTTTATCCGTTCATTATTTATATTCTAGTCTTGGTTATTGCAGACTTTAAAATATGTATTTTCTATAATTGGCTCCAGGTATGTGACAGCATATTGAACATCGGACCTTGTGCTGGTGCATCCATGGGGGAGCCGGCCTTCCTCTCTGAAGAGGTACTTATTTATTTTATTTTTCTACCCCCCTTTTCTCCCCAATTTTGATCTTGTCTCATCGCTGCAACTCCCCAACGGTCTCGGGAGGCGAAGGTCGAGTCGTGCGTCCTCCGAAACATGACCTGCCAAACCGTACTCAACACCTGCCTGCTTAACCCGGAAGTCAGCCGCACCAATGTGTCGGAGGAAACACTGTTCACCTGATGACCGAGGTCAGCCTGCAGGCGTCCGGCCTGCCACAAGGAGTCACTAGAGCGCGATGAGCCAAGTAAATTCCCACCGGCCAAACCCTCCCTTAACCCCGACGACGCTGGTCCAATTGTGCGTCGCCCTATGGGACTCCCGATCACGGCCGGTTGTGATACGGCCCAGGATCGAACCCGGGTCTGTAGTGACTCCTCTAGCACTGCATTAGACCGCTGCGCCACTCGGGAGGCCCGGTACTTTTAACTTTAATTCGCAAAAGAGGTTTCTAACCTCAAGGGTCTTTCCAGTCATGATGTCCATCATGGTTGTTGTATTTGGTAAAGCACTGATTAATATCTAATACCTCTACCAATATATTTTCTCAAGCCCTTGCTAACAGTAAGACACACTAAGCCCTGTGTCTGGTGTTTCTGTGTCCACAGTTCCAGACCAACCCAGAGCCTGACCTGGAGATAGTGGTGTGTTCTGGCTTTGGGAAAAACGGGGGTCTGTCCGTGCTTCAGGTAAATACTCTACTCATCCTGTCTCAGTATTTCTGTGCAAGTGCATACATGTGGCTGCACTGTTCTAAGACCTGTGGTGGCGAGGCCCATCTACCTCATGTTCAGTGACGGTGCTACAGAGAACAACCACTCTGGGTTTACCAGGGCTGCTGCCTCAGAGATCAGTGGAGCAGCTTATAAACCACCCAGACACATTTATACATGCATTCAAGGAAAGAGCATTGTGAAGACCATTGACTTACTGCACAGATTGTGATTGTTCATGGCAACACAGTGCATTAGAATGATGTAGCTGCTGGAAAACAATGTGAAGAGCTGATATTTTCAGAGTCAGCTTTGAGAGTTGATGATTCAGTTACTGTTTTGTGTGGCCCCTTCCCCTCCCAGAGGAGCATCCATCCCCAGGTGGTCACTTACTCATAGGGACATTGTTCTGTTATTGATCATTGGTGATTGTTTTGTCCTGGCCCCTCCCAGAGAAGCATCCGACCCCAGGTGGTCACCACCTTTGAGCTGCCAGGTTGCCATGACATGTGGACTGTCATCTCCAATGAGGTGAAGGAGATGAAGGAGAAAGAAAAGAAGAAGGACAAGCCTCCTGCAGCGGAGGGGGAGGGTGAGACCCCTGAGGAAGAGGAGGCGGAGGAGAAGACTGAGCCTGCGCCAGTGGAGGGCGACAAGAAAAAACATGGCTTCCTGATTCTCAGTAGAGAGGACTCCACCATGGTACACCCACACCTCCCACCACATCTCTACACAGTACAGTACACACGCCGCTCTACACAGCAGTCTGAAAGGGAGCTTTATTTCCTCTCTTACAGTGCTCCAGCATGTTTAGATTGAGCCTGTAATGTTGATTAAGGGGATTGATTGAGGTCTATTGGAAGTTAACTGGAACCCCTCCTGTGTGGTTCTCTAGATCCTGCAGACTGGTCAGGAGATCATGGAGCTGGACACCAGTGGTTTCGCCACGCAGGGACCCACTGTGTTCGCTGGGAACATCGGAGACAACAAATACATCATCCAGGTCTCCCCCATGGGTATACGGCTATTGGAAGGAGGTAGAGAGATCTGTCCATCTTTCAATAAAATAAGAAAATAATCCATAATACTGTGTCCCTACCTCTCACTCATACTCTTTCACTGACTGTAAAGCACTTTGTGACGACTGTTGCTGTAAAAAGGGTTTTAGAAATGCATTTGATTGATTGATGTTCCTTCCAGTGACCCAGCTGCACTTCATCCCGGTGGACTTGGGTTCTCCCATAGTGCAGTGCTCCGTAGCAGACCCCTATGTGGTCATCATGACGGCAGACGGAGTGGTCACCATGTTCATCCTGAAGACCGACTCCTACATGGGCAAGACCCACCGCCTGGCCCTGCAGAAACCACAGATGGCTGCTGTGAGTCACGGTCATGTCCTGTACTGTACAACTAAGCCAGACAGTATTACATCACAACCCGATGGATGAGTGAAAAAATACGATTCTCAGACCAGTGACTCTCTCTCTCTCTCTCTCCCCGTACAGCAACCCCGTGTGATTACGCTGTGTACGTTCCGTGACGTCAGCGGGATGTTCACCACAGAGAACAAGCAGACCTGTCACACCAAGGATCAAGACACCATGTTCAAGAGCCAATCAGAGTCTGAAACCATCATACAGGACCTCAGGTAGGATGTTTTTGAATAAAGTATGTAGTTTTGAACTGAAGAATGAGCGCTACTCCAAATCTCCCCATGGACACTTTATTTTTGGGGGCTGCACCTCGTTTCTTAGACAGTGGAAGCACTGTCTCAGCTCAGAGTTTATTAGTAAAGCTCTCTCTTCCATGTCTCCTCTTTAGTAACACAGTGGATGATGAGGAGGAGATGTTATATGGAGACTGTAACCCAGCAGGCATCACCCCCACCAAGGACGAGTCCCACCCCGGCTACCGCACCCCCTCCTCTGGGGCCCTGGGTGGGGCGTCCGAGGGGAGGTCGGGACGAGCTGAACCCACACACTGGTGCATGATGGTCCGCGAGAACGGTGTCATGGAGGTAAGGATCAATGTCTCTATTTTATCAGCATAATATTAGTAATAGCTGTATCAATACACTTTTTGTATTGTATCATAATCAGTTAGTTTACATAATTTACACAGCTGTTACAATTCTAATACTGTTTAATGCCATTATTTATACTATGGTGCTATTTAGAGGTTGGATAAAAGCCTGGGAACTTTAGGCTTATGCTCAGAAATTCACAAGAACTCAGTGGTCATAACAATGAGTGACACCACAACCGACAGGTGAACATTTTCTGCAGGATAGAGCTATAGTAAAGCAACTTCCTCCTGTTCTCTAGATCTACCAGCTACCTGACTGGAGACTGGTGTTCCTGGTCAAAAACTTCCCTGTTGGCCAGAGAGTGTTGGTTGACAGCTCCGCCGGCCAATCAGCAGCCCAGGGGGAGGGGAAAAAGGAGGAAGTGACACGACAGGGAGAGATCCCATTGGTCAAAGAGGTGGCCCTGGTGTCACTCGGCAACAACCACTGCAGACCCTACCTCCTGGTGAGTTTTCAGTACAGGTATTAAAGTAGAATGACTGAACACCAGAATATGTAGCAGTAGCAGTGGTACTCAATTTGGGAAATTGCTTTAGATACAGTTGAAGTCAGAAGTTTACATACACTTAGGTTGGAGTCATTAAAACTTGTTTTTCAACCACTCCATTTCTTCTTAACAAACTATAGTTTTGGCAAGTCGGTTAGGACATCTACTTTGTGCATGACACAAGTAATTTTTCCAACAATTGTTTACAGGCAGATTATTTCACTTATAATTCACTGTATCACAATTCCAGTGGGTCAGAAGTTTACATACACTAAGTTGACTGTGCCTTTAAACAGCTTGGAAAATTCCAGAAAATGATGTCATGGCTTTAGAAGCTTCTGATAGGCTAATTGATATCATTTGAGTCAATTGTAGGTGTACCTGTTGATGCATTTCAAGGCCTACCTTCAAACTCAGTGCCTCTTTGCTTGACATCATGTGAAAATCAAAAGAAATCAGCCAAGACCTCAGAAAAATAATTGTAGACCTCCACAAGTGGTTCATCCTTGGGAGCAATTTCCGAATGCCTGAAGGTACCACGTTCATCTGCACAAACAATAGTACGCAAGTATAAACACCATGGGACCACGCAGCCGTCATGCCGCTCAGGAAGGAGACGCGTTCTGTCTCCTAGAGATGAATGTACTTTGGTACGGAAAGTGCACATCAATCCCAGAACAACAGCAAAGGACCTTGTGAAGATGCTGGAGGAAACGGGTACAAAAGTATCTATATCCACAGTAAAACAAGTCCTATATCGACATAACCTGAAAGGCCGCTCAGCAAGGAAGAAGCCACTGCTCCAAAACCGCCATAAAAAAAGCAGACTACAGTTTGCAACTGCACATGGGGACAAAGATCGTACTTTTTGGAGAAATGTCCTCTGGTCTGATGAAACAAAAATAGAACTGTTTGGCCATAATGACCATCGTTATGTTTGGAGGAAAAAGGGGGTGGCTTGCAAGCCGAAGAACACCATCCCAAACGTGAAGCACGGGGGTGGCAGCATCATGCTGTGGGGGTGCTTCGCTGCAGGAGGGACTGGTGCACTTCATAAAATAGATGGCATCATGAGGAAGGAAAATGTTGTGGATATATTGAGGCAACATCTCAAGACATCAGTCAGGAAGTTAAAGCTTGGTCACAAATGGGTTTTCCAAATGGACAATGACCCCAAGCATACTTCCAAAGTTGTGGCAAAATGGCTTAAGGACAACAGTCAAGGTATTGGAGTGGCCATCACAAAGCCCTGACCTCAATCCTACAGAAAATTTGTGGGCAGAACTGAAAAAGCGTGTGCGAGCAAGGAGGCCTACAAACCTGACTCAGTTACACCAGCTCTGTCAGGAGGAATGGGCCAATAATTCACCCAACTTATTGTGGGAAGCTTGTGGAAGGCTACCCGAAACGTTTGACCCAAGTTAAACAATTTAAATGCAATGCTACCAAATACTAATTGAGTGTATGTATACTTCTGACCCACTGGGAATGTGACGAAATAAATAAAAGCCTAAATAAATCATTCTCTCTACTATTATTTGGACATTTCACATTCTTAAAATAAAGTGGTGATCCTAACTGACCTAAGACAGGGAAGTTTTACTAGGATTAAATGTCAGGAATTGTTGAAAACTGAGTTTAAATGTATTTGGCTAAGGTGTATGTAAACTTCCGACTTCAACTGTATATCTGAGGTTGTATGTTCTGTTTCTTTCTCAGGTCCATGTTGAACAGGAGCTTCTGATCTATGAAGCGTTCCCGTATGACCAGCAGCAGGCTCAGAGCAACCTGAAGGTCCGCTTCAAGAAGGTAAGAAGAGCAAGTCCGTTGGACAAGCAAAGTCTAGTCAACAACTTTTTGGGACTAGGCTTAATCTGTGTCTAGGAAACCAGTCTTAAAACGTCCATTCAACACTGATCATTTATGTCTTCCAACTGTTCTCCTGTGTTGTCTCAGATGCCCCACAACATCAACTTCCGGGAGAAGAAGTCGAAGGTGAAGAAAGATAAGAAGGCTGAGGGTCAGGGTGGTCCCAGCGAAGAGGGGCCAGCGGTGGTCAAAGGTCGTGTGGCCAGGTTCAGATACTTTGAGGACATCTCCGGTTACTCTGGGGTAAGAGGTTCTCTTCCTACAAGACTATATCTACATCATGGGTAACGAGGGGTACACATTTGGATACTCAGGTTCCTTGCAAGATACATCTTGAAGGAGAGGTACTGCTGTCCACACAGACTTTATATACAGTGCATTCGGAAAGTATTCAGACCCCTTTTTGTTACGTTACAGCCTTATTCTAAAATATTTTTTTATTTTTTTACTCAGCAATCTACACACAATACCCCATAATGGCAAAGCAAATTCATACACAAAAAAAAACATATACCTTATTTACATTAGGATTCAGACCCTTTGCTATGAGTTTCGAAATTGAGCTCAGGTGCATCCTGTTTCCATTGATTATCCTTGAGCTGTTTCTACAACTTGATTGTAGTCCACCTGTGGTAAATTCAATTGATGGGACATGATTTGGAAAGGCGCACACCTGTCTATATAAGGTCCCACAGTTGACAGTGCATGTCAGAGCAAAAACCAAGCCATGAAGTCAAAGGAATTGTCCGTAGAGCTCCGAGACACAGATCTGGGGAAGGGTACCAAAACATTTCTGCAGCGTTGAAGATCCCCAAGAACACAGTGGCCTCCATCATTCTTAAATGGAAGAAGTTTGGAACCACCAAGACTCTTCCTAGAACTGGCCGCCCGGCCAAACTGAGCAATCGGGGGAGAAGGGCCTTGGTCAGGGTGGTGACCAAGAACCCGATGGTCACTCTGACAGAGCTCTAGAGTTCCTCTGTGGAGATGGGAGAACCTTCCAGAAGGACAACCATCTCTGCAGCACTCCACCAATCAAGGCCTTTATGGTAGAGTGGCTAGATGGAAGCCACTCCTCAGTAAAAGGCACATGACTGCCCACTTGGAGTTTGCCAAAAGGCCCCCATAGACTCTCAGACCATGAGAAACAAGATTCTCTGGTCTGATGAAACCAAGATCAAACTCTTTGGCCTGAATGCCAAGCGTCACGTCTGGAGGAAACCTGGCACCATCCCTACGGTGAAGCATGGTGGTGGCAGCATCATGCTGTGGGGATGTTTTTCAGCGGTAGGGACTGGGAGACTAATCAGGATCGAGGCAAAGATGAACAGAGCAAAATACAGAGAGATCCTTGATGAAAACCTGCTCCAGATCGCTCAGGTCCTCAGACTGGGGCGAAGGTTCATCTTCCAACTGGACAACGACCCTAAGCACACAGCCAAGACAACGCAGGCGTGGCTTCGGGACAAGTCTCTGAATGTCCTTGAGTAGCCCAGCTAGAGCCCGGACTTGAACCCGATCGAACATCTCTGGAGAGACCTGAAAATAGCTGTGCAGCGACGCTCCCCATCCAACCTGACAGAGTGTTATGAACCCCGTGGCTTTAAAAGTCTAGGGTGGATGGAAAAGAGACCCGTAACATAACTCATGCGAATTAGAATATTGACAAGGAACAGTGAGAATAAAATACACCGACAACCATGTGCTACCGTCAAACACAAAATGTTTATTATAAACACACGGTAAACGGTTTGGGGAAAAGGGGCTGAGCTGGACCCAAGGAATGAAACAAAGTCAAAAACCCCTAAACTGATCTTGCCTGCCTCAAGAACCGCTAAGCTTACTGCTAACCATACAAAAATACAGTGGATGGTCCGCTCAGGTCTAACTAGTGTGTTTAGACAAGGTTTTCCTACGGGTAATGTATGCCCAAGGGCGACTTGCTAAACCCCCCCTTTTCCCAGGCACAAACAAACAACATAGGTCCAATATGGACTAACCAACAAACGAGTGAGTACACAAAAACAAGACACCACAGTATACATACTCAAAGAAAAAAAGAGTATTGTCAGAAAACACAACTGACTGGCTTTTAAAACCAGGGGATGTGTGATATGGTAATGAAAACCAGAAACAGGTGGTGCAATACGGAGGTGTGTCCACTGATTGGTCCACCTCAGCAATCAGCAGACGAACGGATGTCGGACAGGTGGGACACACCAACGACCACCAATCAGGGAAAACAAGGAACACCTGTGATTAGGGCAGAAGGAGAGGGAAAAACAAATACATACAGGATACCTGTATCCGTAACACAGAGCTTGAGAGGATCTGCAGAGAAGAATGGGAGAAACTCCCCAAATACAGGTGTGCCAAGCTTGTAGTGTCATACCCAAGAAGACTCAATGCTGTAATCGCTGCCAAAGGTGCTTCAACAAAGTACTGAGTAAAAGGTCTATGTAATATTTCAGTTTTTTATAAATTAGCAGACATTTCTTGCTTTGTCATTATGGGTGTAGATTGAGGGGTAAAAAAAAACATTTGAATCAATTTTAGAATAAGGCTGTAATGTAACAAAGTGTGGAAAAAGTCAAGGGGTCTGAATACTTTCCGAAGTCACTATCTATAGTATAGTTCTGTGGGTTCTCATTTTTTCTTGTTTGTGTCAGGTGTTCATCTGTGGCCCCTCCCCTCACTGGATGCTGGTGACATCACGGGGCGCGATGAGGCTCCACCCCATGACGATCGACGGACCAATCGAGTCCTTCTCCCCCTTCCACAACATCAACTGTCCCAAAGGCTTCCTCTACTTCAACAAGCAGGGCGAGCTGAGGATCAGTGTTCTACCCACATACCTGTCGTATGACGCCCCCTGGCCAGTCAGGAAGATTCCGCTGAGATGCACTGTTCACTATGTGTCCTACCATGTAGAGTCCAAGGTGTATGCAGTGTGCACCAGTGTGAAGGACCCCTGCACTCGCATTCCCAGAATGACCGGAGAGGAGAAGGAGTTTGAGACCATAGACAGAGGTGGGACTAGTATATGCATTAGTCTGTCTCCATGACGTGCATTTCACTTTCTCATTGGTTTATATCTTTGTTCCTTCCTTCCTTCCTTCATTCTTCCACCATAAAAATTCCTTTGTGTTGTGTTCTCCTCAGATGAGCGCTACATTCCGCCTCAGCAGGAGAATTTCTCCATTCAGCTCATATCTCCTGTCAGCTGGGAGGCCATCCCTAACACACGGTAACAACTCTAGCTACTGCAGCTCACTGGAGCATAGCCTCTAACATGAGGCATGTTCATTATAGATATGATACGTATTTACAAATATGGATATCTTTATATTTAAGCATCTAGGGCGTAGTAGTGGGTGTCTGTTCTGACCTCCCTCCCTCTCTGATATTGGTCAGAATTGACCTGGAGGAGTGGGAGCATGTGACGTGTATGAAGACGGTGGCGTTGAGGAGTCAGGAGACGGTGTCTGGGCTGAAGGGATACATAGCTGCTGGTACTTGTCTCATGCAGGGAGAAGAGGTCACCTGTAGGGGCCGGGTGAGTCACCAAAACTACTCTGACTGCTGACTAGAGCCAGGAATACCTTTGGGCCCGGGTTATATGCTGTAAGTTATAGTCTAAAGTAGGGTCCAGAGTTGATCCTAGTCAGGTCAGGAAACTTGGGACCTATTACGGAGTCCGACAGATAGATGATGCCATTTGAAATCATGATGTTGATTTAGTGTGGACGGACTTCTCTACTATTGTGTCCAGATCCTGATCCTGGATGTGATTGAGGTGGTCCCGGAACCCGGTCAGCCCCTGACGAAAAACAAATTCAAGGTTCTGTATGAGAAAGAGCAGAAGGGACCGGTCACAGCTCTGTGTCACTGCAGCGGATACCTAGTCTCTGCCATCGGACAGAAGGTGACAGACCCACCTCTGACTATACCACTATAGATGTCCCAATCTATATGTATTTCCCACCCACCTCTCAATATAGTTCTGTTCCGATTTACATTGTTTTCATTGTGTGGCCAACATGTTGCAGTTGAATGTATTTTTGATGGTATTGAATTAGCCATTATTATCAGAACTGTTCAGAAAGCCCTTTTAAGGAGCACAAGAACGGTACTTCAACCATCTCTCCTGTAACCCTGAGACGACAAAGTCCTGGTTGTGATCAATGTATCTGTCTATTCATCTCTCTGTCTAGATCTTTCTGTGGAGTCTGAAGGACAACGACCTGACAGGCATGGCCTTCATCGACACCCAGCTTTACATCCACCAGATGTTTAGCATCAAGAACTTTATCCTGGCGGCTGACGTCATGAAGAGCATCTCTCTGCTCAGATACCAGCCTGAGAGTAAGACGCTGTCGCTAATTAGCAGGGTAAGACAGCAAGGTTACAGGACTACCTTAGTAGTAACACAGGGGAGATGTCAAACCAGAAACTTCAAAGGATTGTGTTTAAGTGGCACGTGATTTAGCATCTTCTGACTCTCTGATTATCATTCTCTGAGGGTTTTTGTTCCATGTTAGTTTGTTGTTTATGGATTTAATCGTACATCCCAGATGAGGGTTTCTGTTCGTGGATGAAAGAAAGCACTGTCTTTGTTCTTTCCTGTGTTCCCATGTGCAGTCCCAGGGTTTGTTGTGTGTTGAGTTTATCTTCTAGAGCAGTGCTGGAGGGGATGATTAAATGGTCGGGGTCGTTCATGTTCGTTCTTCATGCCAGTGTTTGAGTGTTATGGGAGTCTTAATGCAGGGTTCCTCAATAGGTGGAAGTTTTCTGAGCCCCAAAAAATGTAGATATAAAAATGTGTATATATACACTACATGACCAAAAGTATGTGGACACCTGCTTGTCGAACATCTCATTCCAAAATCATTAACATTAATATGGAGTTGGTCCCCCCTTTGCTGCTATAACAGCCTCCACTCTTCTGGGAAGGCTTTCCACTAGATGTTGGAACATTGCTGCGGGGACTTGCTTCCATTCAGCCACGAGCATTAGTGAGGTCAGGTACTGATGTAGGGCGATTAGGCCTGACTCGCAGTCAGCGTTCCAATTCATCCCAAAGGTGTTTGATGGGGTTAAGGCCAGTCAAGTTCTTCCACACCGATCTCAACAAACCATTTCTGTATGGACCTCGCTTTGTGCATGGGGGCATTGTCATGCTGAAACAGGAAAGGGCCTTCCCCCAAACTGTTGCCACAAAGTTGGAAACACAGAATTGTCTAGAATGTCATTGTATGCTGTAGCGTTAAGATTTCCCTTCACTGGAACTAAGGAGCCTAGCCCGAACCATGAAAAACAGCCCCAGACCAGTATTCCTCCTCCACCAAACTTTACAGTTGGCACTATGCATTGGGGCAGGTAGCATTCTCCTGGCATCCGCCAAACCGAGATTCGTCCGTCGGACTGCCAGATGGTGAAGTATGATTCATCACTCCAGAGAACACGTTTTCACTGCTCCAGAGTCCAATGGCGGCAAGCTTTACACCACTCCAGCCGACGCTTGGCATTGCGTATTGTGATCTTAGGCTTGTGTGCTGCTGCTGGCCATGGAAACCCATTTCATGAAGCTCCCGACGAACAGTTATTGTGCTTCCAGAGGCAGTTTGGAACTCGGTAGTGAGTGTTGCAACCGAGGACAGAAGATTTTTACGCGCTTCAGCACTCGGCAGCCCCGTTCTGTGAGCTTGTGTGGCCTACCACTTCGCGGCTGAGGCGTTGTTGCTCCTAGACGTTTCCACTTCACAATAACAGCACTGACAGTTGACCGGGGCAGGTCTAGCAGGGCAGAAATTTGACGAACTGACTTGTTGGAAAGGTGTCATCCTATAACGGTGCCACGTTGAAAGTCACTGAGCTCTTCAGTAAGGTCATTCTACTGCCAATGTTTGTCTTTGGAGATTGCATGGCTGTGTGCTCCATTTGATACAGCTGTCAGCAACAGCTGTGGATGAAATAGCCGAATCCACTAATTTGAAAGGGTGTCCACATTCTTTTGTGTATATATAGTGTATGTATGTATGTCGCTCTGGATAAGAGCATCTGCTAAATGACGTAAATGTGTGTGTGTATGTATGTGTGTGTGTGTATACAGTGAGGGGAAGAAAGTATTTGATCCCCTGCAGATTTTGTACGTTTGCCCACTGACAAAGACATGATCAGTCTATAATTTTAATGATTTATTTTATTAGTTTATTTGAACAGTGAGAGACAGAATAACAACAAAAAAATCCAGAAAAACGCATGTCAAAAATGTTATAAATTGATTTGCATTTTAATGAGGGAAATAAGTATTTGACCCCTCTGCAAAACATGACATAGTACTTGGTGGCAAAACCTTTGTTGGCAATCAGAGGTCAGACGTTTATTGTAGTTGGCCACATCTCAGGAGGGATTTTGTCCCACTCTTTGCAGATCTTCTCCAAGTCATTAAGGTTTCGAGGCTGACGTTTGGCAACTCGAACCTTCAGCTCCCTCCACAGATTTTCTATGGGATTAAGGTCTGGAGACTGGCTAGGCCACTGCAGGACCTTAATGTGCTTCTTCTTGAGCCACTCCTTTGTTGCCTTGGCCGTGTTTTTTGGGTCATTGTAATGCTGGAATACCCATCCACGACCCATTTTCAATGCCCTGGCTGAGGGAAGGAGGTTCTCACCCAATATTTGACGGTACATGGCCCCGTCCATCGTCCCTTTGATGCGGTGAAGTTGTCCTGTCCCCTTAGCAGAAAAACACCCCCAAAGCATAATGTTTCCACCTCCATGTTTGACGGTGGGGATGGTGTTCTTGGGGTCATAGGCAGCATTCCTCCTCCAAACACGGCGAGTTGAGTTGATGCCAAAGAGCTCGATTTTGGTCTCATCTGACCACAACACTTTCACCCAGTTCTCCTCTGAATCATTCAGATGTTCATTGGCAAACTTCAGACGGGCCTGTATATGTGCTTTCTTGAGCAGGGGGACCTTGCGGGCGCTGCAGGATTTGTGTTACCAATTGTTTTCTTGGTGACTATGGTCCCAGCTGCCTTGAGATCATTGAAAAGATCCTCCTGTGTAGTTCTGGGCTGATTCCTCACCGTTCTCATGATCATTGCAACTCCACAAGGTGAGATCTTGCATGGAGCCCCGGGCCGAGGGAGATTGACAGTTATTTTGTGTTTCTTCCATCTGTCTCTCACTGTTCAAATAAACCTACCATTAAAATTATAGACTGATCATTTCTTTGTCAGTGGGAAAACCAGCAGGGGATCAAATACTTTTTTCCCTCACTGTATATACACTACCATTCAAAAGTTTGGGGTCACTTAGAAAGGAAAGCAATTTTTTTGTCCATTAAAATAACATCAAATTGATCAGAAATACAGTGTAGACATTGTTAATGTTGTAAATGGCTATTGTAGCTGGAAACAGACAATATTTCTTTTTTTAATGGAATATCTACATAGGCGTACAGAGGCCCATTATCAGCAACCATCAGTCCTGTGTTCCAATGGCACGTTGTGTTTGCTAATTCAAGTTTATCGTTTTAAAAGGCTAATTGATCATTAGAAAACCCTTTTGCAATTATGTTAGCACAGCTGAAAACTGTTGTGCTGATTTAAAGAAGCAATAAAACTGGCCTTCTTGAGACTAGTTGAGTATCTGGAGCATCAGCAATTGTGGGTTCTATTACAGGATCAAAATGGCCAGAAACAAATAACTTTCTTCTGAAACTCTTCAGTCTATTCTTGTTCTGAGAAATTAAGGCTATTCTATGCGAGAAATTGCCAAGAAACTGAAGATCTCGTACAACGCTGTGTACTACTCCCTTCACAGAACAGTGCAAACTGGCTCTAACCAGAATAGAAAGAGGAGTGGGAGGCCCCGGTTCACAACTGAGCAAGAGGACAAATACATTAGTGTCTAGTTTGAGAAGCAGACGCCTCACAGCTCCTCAACTGGCAGCTTCATTAAATAGTACCCGCAAAACACCAGTCTCAACGTCAACCGTGAAGAGGCGACTCCGGGATGCTGACCTAGGCAGAGTTGCAAAGAAAAAGTCCAGTGTCGGTGTTCTTTTGCCCATCTTAATCTTTTTATTTTTTATACTATATCTGTTTTGGATTCTTGTGGTCAATTTGCAGTGTACAAATGATTTATAACTACTGTATGTTCCTGCCCCGACCATCTGCTCAAGGAAAAATCAGCCCACGGCTGAATGTAATTGTTGACCCGTCTTAATGGTTTTGCTTCGGTGTTTGGTTCCCCAGGACGCCAAGCCTCTGGAGGTCTACAGTGTAGAGTTTATGGTGGATAACAACCAGCTGGGATTCCTGGGTAAGGTTTATATAACTTTGGTAGCTAACCAGGATAACACTACCAGGCTAACTCTTTGGATAGAGCTTATATATGTCTAGACCTCTCAAAGGAAACGTATTTTCTCTATGTTTCAGTGTCCGACCGAGACCAGAATCTATCGGTGTACATGTATCTGCCTGAAGGTAAGTTAACATAAACGTGGTAATACTGTCCCACAAACATCACAATGTCAAATAAAGACCGAGGTCATGTGTGATGACAAACTGCAGCTCCACCGTGTCATGATCACTGAACTGGTACTTTGTGTCCTGCTGTAGCTAAGGAGAGTTTCGGGGGCATGCGTCTGCTGAGGAGGGCAGACTTCAACGTGGGAGCTAATGTCAATGCCTTCTGGAGGATGCCCTGTCGAGGGGCACTGGACACAGCCACCAAGAAGACCCTGGCCTGGGACAACAAGCACATCACATGGTTTGGTAGGACACAACTTTGACTTTGTGATTTGTATTGAAACAGGGTAGAAGTTGATGTGAAAGGGTTGTCTGTTGAAAATCTTGCTTCAATAGGTCTGAATAAATGCTCCTCCTGGTATAATGCTCTCAGAAGGATGAACATGGTATGGAGCTTTAGCAGTAACTCTTCTCCTCTTCCCTCCCTACAGCCACTCTGGATGGAGGCATCGGGCTGCTGCTACCCATGCAGGAGAAGACCTACCGCAGATTGCTGATGTTGCAGAATGCTCTCACCACCATGCTGCCACACCACGCAGGGTTAAACCCCAAGGCTTTCAGGTAACTCACCACACAAGGTTACTGATAACGGTTGTGGTTATCTTTATTCTCCCCATGGCTCTAAAGTTGGCAACACTTCAATACTTTTTAGGCTTTCTGAGGCAACATTAATTGGCTTTTTTAGAAAGCTGAGACTAAAACTAAGTTTTTGGATCTCGTTCCTCCAGGATGTTGCATGCTGACCGGCGGCAGCTCCAGAACGCGGTGCGGAACATTCTGGATGGAGAGCTGCTCAACAAGTACCTGTACCTCAGCACCATGGAGCGCAGTGAGCTGGCCAAAAAGATCGGCACCACCTCTGATATAGTGAGTATTATTAGTTCCTTCTTTGGCCTAGTTCTCTCATCGACAAAACTAGCTACACGAGCCAAGGCAGATGCATCTTAATAATGTATCTAAATCCAATTTATAGTCCCCATCTTAATCAATTGTGGTCCAAATCAACTTGGCGCAAATAACTATCAGTTATGAGATATTTGAATCAATTATCCGTATCTCCATTTCAGATCTTGGATGATCTCCTTGAGGTTGACAGGGTGACTGCTCATTTCTGAGAGCAGCATCCTTGACCACGCCTTCCTCAGCATGCGTGAGACCCAGGATCTTCTCCCATCTGTTTTATATGAAAAGGAGGCTTTTTGGTATCTATGTTCTGTATAGAAACTTTAGTTTTTTTGTTATGTGTTTAATAAATTTTGTTCAGTCAGATAAGGAGTTCGTAGTCATGTTTCTTAGAATATTTTGTAAACAAAATGTATTTAAAAAAACATTCAAAACACTGGATTGTACATGTCTTTATAAAACGTTATAATCATCTTTGGTCTTTTAGGGTCAAATAATTTGAGTTCCGCACCTGTAACTCGCAAATTTGTCATGGACATCAATGCATTATTTACACAAGAGACAAAGAATTCCAAGGGGAGGAAGGGCACTTTATTTAGTTAACGCCACTTTCCTTAATATAAGAATACAAATATTTCCTAAAAGGGATGAACATTGATGACTTGTTAAAGAATGACTTGACCAAACTATATGCCTGCAGTTAAAGTAATCTCAGCATCTATAAGCACTATTATCCAGGTAATGCAACGTAAGATTAAAAAGCCTGAATGTTCTCTGTGTCTAAACATGTGCTATTAATAAGATTTAATATAAATCTGAAAAGGCTGCCAATCTTATTCAAATCAGATTGCTCCATCGTTGACTTTCTCATTCATAAAAATCGTCATGGCCACAGCAGGAATCTTGGCTAAAAGGAATCACTTTCAAGCTTTTTACCACCACATACTGCTATCAAATTCAACCCCAGTAAAAACCAAAAAGAATAAATGGTTCTACGTTTGTAATCATTAAAATGTCTTGTGCCAGTTGACATTCCTTGGAGGCATTGAGACAGTGCTCCTCAATACCATGACTCCTGGCGAGTCAAGTGCTGAGCTTGGAGCTGTATTTGGTACTTTTTCCTGTCCTCTGACTAAGACACATGATAGTCTTCATTCTGCCAAAGCAGATTTGGTATGTACTGTAGATGTGGGAAATGTATAGCACCATTGTAGCAGCCCATCTGTCCATTTGACAACTATCATATTAAAATACTTATTCAGTAGTTATCCTCCTGTCGAACGGGTTGCATTTCTTGAGCTTTAATCAGGAGTCACTAGTCTCAGGTATGCAGCTGAGGTATGGTGTGTCAGGGTGTCAGCCTCTACTTCAGATATTGGTAGACTTCCTCATCCAGTGATATGAGGTTGAAGTAAGACAACAGGGATAGCAGGGATCGTGTCAGACTCATCATCGCCATTTCTGACCTGGGAAGATACAATGATTGAAGTTAATGTTTTAGGCAATCTTGTAGGAACTAAATATGCTGATTTATGTATTTAAGGGGAATGTCTGGAGCAAGACCTACCCAGTCGGGTCTACTGATATAGTGATATATACTCAGTGGCCAGTTTATTAGGTACACAACCCCGTTAGCAGAAATCGTTCACTCCTACAGACAGTGAGTCACATGGCCTGCTATATAAAAGCAGGCAGAGGCATCCAGTTACTGTTCGATTGAACGTTTGAATGGGCAAAACTAGTGACCTAAGCGACGGAGCGTGGTATGATTGGTGCCAGGCACGCCGGTTCCAGTATCCCCAAGGCTTTTCACGCACGACAGTGTCTAGGGCAGCGTTTCCCAAACTCGGTCCTCGGGACCCCAAGGGTTGTGCATGTTTTGGTTTTTGCCCCAACACTACACAGCGGATTCAAATGATCAAAGCTTTATGATTAATTCATTATTTGAATCTGCTGTAGTGCTAGGGCAAAGACCAAACGTGCACCCCGAGGACCAAGTTTGGGAAACCCTGGTCTAGCTAGGGTTGGTGCGACAAACAAAACCTCTAGTCAGCGGCAGTCCTGTGGGCGAAAATAGCCTGTTGAGAGGTCGAAGGAGAATGGCAAGAATCGTGCAAGCTAACAAGCGGGCCACAAACAGGCAAATAACGGCGCAGTACAACAGTGGTGTGCAGAAAGGCATCTCTGAACGAACAACTCGTTGGTCCTCGTCGCAGATGGGCTAATGCAGCAGACGACCACACCGGTTTCTACTCCTATCAGCTAAAAACAAGAAGAAGCGGCTCCAGTGGGCACGCGATCACCAACACTGGACAATTGAGTGGAAAAACGTTGCATGGTCTGACAAATCCCGGATCCTGTTGCGTCATGCTGATGGCAGTCAGGATTTGGCTTAAGCAGCATGAGTCCATGGCCCCATCCTGCCTGGTGTCAACGGTACAGGCTGGTGGTGTAATGGTGTGGGGAATGTTTTCCTGGAACACGTTAGGTCCCTTGATACTGTTGGGTACTAACTTTTAAACTTGAAATATGAAGGAGATGGGGAGCGAAGTGAAAATGACATGGCTTGGGAACACCTCTTGTAACCTGTGGCTTAACGGGGGATGACTGGGTGAAAGCATTAGGTTTTTTAGGGCCTTCATTTTTGTGGAACCCAGCAGAAAATTATCCCGAAGGCATAGTCAGGCGAAGCGAGAGTGGGAATCGTCATGTTATCAAACTTCGGTTTTTCTTTGCAAATATAATTATGCATAGCTTAACATGTTTTGTGTTTCTTTTTGCTTTTCAAGTGGTGCTATTACTCTGAGGAAGTGGAGAAAGTCAAAAGCTCCAGCTGAAATGTCGTCATCAGTTGTCTGATGAGAGAAGGAAATAAGAGTGTGCATAGTGTGATTATAGAGCAGAGGCCATAAATCTGAGGTGTAAATATACAAGTCAACTGAATGTTAATCGTTTCATTAAAAAAAAAAAGTAATCTCCAAGTTTATATAATGTTGAACAGTATGGAGTTATTGTTCATAAAGGGGACTGTTGGGTACTAACTTCTAAACTTGAAATATCCTTATTCATGTTACCATATTAGAACTGAGGGTATGGAAATCTACTGAGTGAGAAAGGTGAGTGCAGGAAGAACATGTTCTTGTTAAATCTCAGGTGTCCTATGGAGAGGAGAAGGGTCACAGTCTGGTTCCAGTCAACAGATAAGGTAGGACAGCCGTGAGTTGGGGAGGAGTGAGGAATTTGGGCCCAGGTCAGGTCAGATGAAGTGAGAAAGAACAGGCATCACTAAAGTCCTGCCTAGCAACAAAGATGTGTTTAGAGAAAAGGAGGAGACTGCCTAAAGGGGGGTATAAATACTTGTGCTGGTGGAAACATGTCTTTGTTTTATGCAGCTGTGTGACCCAGTGGGTGAATAAACTTGGTTTGAGCTTTACTAGTCGTCCGCAAGTTTGACTGTTTATTTAGAATCTAGAAATACCAATTGAGCAATGCTTCCATGCCCTGAAGAATACAGGGTGATCTGGAGGCAAAGGGGGGGTGAGACCTAGGAGATGTTGACGCTTGCGCTCTAGCCAACCGTTCGCAGATACAGTGCGAGTAGGCTAGTCTACATAATGGAATTATTATGGATAAGTGTGAGAATATTTGGATTTGTCAAACGGCAGTCAAGCATCGATCATCATGTCACCAGAATAAGACCCTGGATATTTATTGGAAAGGAGCATCAAGATCACTGTGCACTTTCACCACCCTGTGAAATTCACAACTTCTCATCTGTAGCCTAATAAACTGCATGCTTTCCCGAGTCCTAGTGGGAAGACCACACCATATCACGTGACTCCAAGTTCACTTAAATATGATGGTTATTATATAAATATTTTCGCATAAAGGCATTTCCACTGCCAATTCTCGCATAATTAATCTTACGAACAAATGATCTGTCGGCATTCATAAAATTGTACCGAAACTTCCCGTTTCCATCACAGCTGTCATGATTTATTATTTTTTTATACAGTATGATTTTACTCGCATAAAAACTGTGGATGGAAACGTGGTTACTGAGTGTATAGTGTTGGATAATTCGTTACCTCAGGGCACACTCGAACTTGAGGCTCTCCCAGGAGGTCCACACCCATCGGAACACCCTGAACCTGGGAAGAACTCCCGGCCTCTCTGCCTGGAGCCGCCCCCAGCCTTGCACAGCGCTGGAGACAGGACAACAGGTTAGCAAGTATCTACAACTGCTGCTATGTGAAACAATCGTCTGTTCACCTCTTAGCCATGACACAGTATCTGTCCACCAGAGCTCCCAGCCAGATGTTGATGCTGCTGCTACTCACCTCTTGGCCATGACACAGTATCTGTCTACCGGAGCTCCCAGTGTGATGTTGATGCTGCGGACCGTGTTGATGTTCCTGAACACCAGCAGCATGGGGCGTGGCATGGACTTGAGAACAGCCATGATGTTGTCAAAGTGATTGACAGCCATGTCCTTCATATAGGATGTCTCTTCATGACTCAGGATGTTGGACATGCCCAGCTCCCGCATGTTGATTGGCCGCTGCAGCAGCATCTCACAGAAGATGAAGTAGTCTGATAGGAATCAGGATATTGTAAGCATTTTATTAGTCTGTTGTGAGACTGGATTTGTTTAAGGCATACGACTACTGTTTAAATGAATGAAACAGTTTGAAATATAATGAAATATTAATTGTCCTCTCACCTTTGACCCCCAGGCTGTTGGAGTACCTCTTCATGGCAGTGTTGTCTCTCAGGACTATGGACCGCCACAGTTTGCACAGCGCTACCCTGTCACTACAGGGTCAAAGGTCAACGGTTAGAGCTGATAGTAAAACATACAAGCTGTACTATTAATGTACCCACACACTACTGTGAGTTGCTTTGGATAAAAGTGTCTGCTAAATGGCTTAGTATTATAGTTTAAACCTTACATTTCACTGAGGTATTCATACAGGCCGTGATCCAACAATACTAGCTCTGCCTTCTTGTCTGGACCTCTTCTCACAAGCACTGTGACATGGTACAGATAACATGCATTCAAGGTCACCAAGTCATTTTTAGCTAATATTGTCGTACAGTTATTTGATATCAACTTGACCTTTTTAAAAAGTTAACTCTGGAAAAACCTCTTGGAAACTGCCCTGATACAAGTTAAGCAAATCAATAAATGAGCATGTTAAGAGTTCAGCAGAAACTGTAAACATGCCCCCTGACCTACCGTTGCCAGGGTGAGGGTCAGCGTGGATGAAGCCCGTGTAAAATATCTGCTCTGCAAACGTACGGATCAGCTTGTCAGCAGTCTGAAAAGCCAGAGACGATGGTTTAAATACTTATCCGAGTACTAATGATCATAGACAAAGGCTGCTCTACTGTGTCACGATAGGTACTTACATCGCTCAAGCTAAGTCCTTGTCTTTTGATTTCTTCCACATTGTTGATTTTGCAGCCTTCACAGAACTCTGCAGTCAACACTCTCTAAAGGAAATGGTTTGTTTATTACAGTACAATACATTAATACAAAAGTGGTATCAAACGCTGCGTTTAGACAGGCAGCCCAATATTGATATTTTCTTCACTAATTGGTCTTTTGACCAATCAGATCAGCTCTGAAAAAGAGATGTTAAAAGATCTGATGTGATTGGTCTAAAGACAAATTAGTGGGGAAGAAGATCAGAAATGGGCTGCCTGTTTGAATGCAGCCATTGTGTGATTTTCAGCAGTGAATAGTTCTGGGTCTCACCTTGCTGGTTTGGTCCCAGTAAACCTTTGGCACAACGACAAATTTGAAGTGTTTCAGTTCCTCTGCACACCTCTCAGAGTTCCTGGCCTCATTCTCAAAGTCCAGCTCCTGAGCCAATGTCCCCTTCAAGTCCTAATATCGTAAGAGAATGCCAACGTTAGGTTAGTTTAGGGGACCATGCTCTGCGAGGTATTATCTGAGGGGAGGGGGGGGGGGACAATCTTTAACCAAATTAGCAGACAAGTTTAAGCGCTTACTTTGAGGACCCATCTGAAGCCGAAGCTGGGGTGCATGAACTTTATAACATCCAGAAGGATCTCCAGAGTCCTGATGTCACCGTCGAACCGATCCCTGAGGTCTATGTACTGCACCTGGGGAAGAGGGAGAGAGAGTGGTTACTATTCAGAATCAGGAGTGATACCGAGCCTGGTTTAATCAGGCGAGGTGACACCTATTTAAGAGAGTAAATCACACACAGGAAACTGTTAAAACTGTGGCTGAATGTGTTGTACAGTTAACCTGAACCCACTTTGACAGCAACAGGAGTCCCGTCCTGCAGCTCCGCCTTGTGGACCTGAGCCAGACTGGCTGCTGCGATGGGCTCATAGTCAAACTTCTTAAACATCCTGTCTGGAGTCGTGTTGAAGTCCTCTCTGAACAGAGACTCTACCTGTTAGAACGTGACAGATAATTTCATGTAAGAATGTTTCTCAACACTTCATTGTAAATTATAAAATGGCTAGTTCTAGCCTCCCATTATGAATGGCCAAGATGCATTCAAAGCCGTGACAAAACTACAAGCATGGCTCCCTCATCACTTTCACTACACCCTCTTGTATCTTATTGCTTCATTAACTGCTCTTCAATGTTTGACAAGACAAAGTACTGCAGGTCTTACCTCCTTGTATCTCCTGTTGAGAGCCTTATCCTCCAGGACATGCAGTGTCTTGACGTACTCAGGAGGCAGCAGGTGGTTGAAAGCACACAGGCCCTGTCCCAGTTTAACATATATCCCCCCGTTCTGCACCGCTCCCTCCACCATGCGGTCTGCTGCCCTTTGGTGGCACAATGACATCCCTGCCATGAACAATGGGCTGCTCTGGCAACACAGAGGGGAAGATGATGTGATTGTCCTGACTGAACTACCGAGATCGTTTCAGACTCACCTATTGTTTAGCAGACATACACAGATCGACACATAGGGCTGTCACAATTCATAATGGTCAAGTTCCCCTGCTCAGACGTTGCATGCATCAACCAATGGTTGCGTGCCACGTCATCGACTGTTCCGTCGGGCACCAGATCGCTATAACATATGTGGCTAGCGAATACTTAAAATACCTATCCAGACGTTATAAGATCTGGCATGCGTCAGCAACACCTGGACAGAGGAACGCAACCAATATGTATTCTGTCAAACTTACCTCGTCCATGCAACGTAACGTCACATTGGTGGTCCACCAATAATCTACTGAGATATAGAGTCCTACATATATAGACCTGTAGGGACAGAGAGAGAGACATGGTTTGAGTGTAACTCAAAAGGAAATTATTCAAAACATTTGACAACATGCAAAAAGGATGGTGATTTACTATTGGGATGATGATTATGATGGGACCCACCTACAGAAGCGACCGACTCCCTTCAGCAAGATCTTCATCTTCCGTCTCTCTCGAGGTTCCGCAAAGGCGTACCGGACCCCCACAACTGCAGGAACACTCACCGCCACGCCCAGAAACATCTTCCTGAACAACCCTCGACTCTTCCCTGGCCTGACAGGAGAAGACATGGGCATTTCAGCAACAGTGTGTGTACATTTCTTTCTATCTTGCAGTTGCTTTCTGGAAGGTTACAGTGTTTGACTAACAGCATGTATAGTTCTGCGTCCTGTCTAGGTGAGCCATTCTGGCTCAGACAGAAGATGGGCCATTCTGGCTCAGACAAGGCATAGTTGTGTAGTTAGTATAGTACCTTTGTGAGCTGAAGGATCTGTACAGTTGTGGGTGTGGGTAGGGACATCTTCGCAGCAGGGCCAAACTATGCCAACACAACCTTAACTACAGAATGACAAAAACACCACCACAATCAGTGTCACTTTGAAGCATCAACTTCAAACTAATCCACTGTTTTTGCTAGTTACAGTAGACTTGCTGGGAAACACCTTCATCCCTAGAAAACTACAGAAAAACAAACTCTGCATGTTGCTATGTTAAATTGAATAACATGGAGACTGGTGGTGGGGACTCTGCATCAAGGTCGCTCTCCATAGGCCAGAACACGGTGTTGTTTTCCTTAGCCGTCTATCACAGGACAAACTGTTTCCAGACTAGTAGATTTATAGACAGAGCCTTTCTATGTCAGGGCCCTGACCACGTGCACACACACGTACACGATCACTCATTCTACCCTGTTTCCCATGGCATTGAATAAAACACGTGACAACTTCTAAATAAGGGTAAACTACAATCTCAAAATGTGGGACTTCACACGATCTCTTTTAGCGAGTTTGTATGTCGACCTCTGATTTTAGTATGAGGTTATTCATTACATTGCACCAGATTATACATTACATTGTATCCAGTTATACATTGCATAAAATGTCCAAGCTCATTTCCTGTGAGTTAGAGAGTAGTTAATGGAATGAGACCTCTTGCTAGTGGGATCTGTAAACAAAAATGTAGCAATATAATGTGCAACATTATTAACATACAAAGCGCACACACATACATTTAATCTAGTCATTATTTGTATGACATTTAATCCATACATGCATAAACTGTTAAATGTCAGGTGTTGATTTTGAATGTATGGACAGGCATATTTAAATTTTATGTAGCTAGTATGTTAGCTAGTTAGCCTACCAAGCAAGGAAAATATGACATTTAACAAATAGTTCAACTCACTGCTTTGAAGGACTCCCCCGCCATGTTCAGCCTATACACACACTCACTATGCTCTCTACTCACTAATATGTAGTTTTAAAAAAAAAATAGTGTAGCCACTAATCTAATGTAATCTTGTAACTGTCTCCTCCCGTTTCAGATCATGCTTGACTTCCTGAACTGTCTACAAATGATTTCACAGGAAGATGTTGCACAAAGTTGATCACGTGACAAATGGTCCGAATGTGACCAAAGCTTCTCTAGTGAAAAGATTCCTGACTTGACTCGCATCAATTAATCAACCCTAGCGTACTTTAAAATGACTCTGAATTTAAATCACAAATGTACAGAATAATGCATGTATTTCTGTGGTTGAATCAGAAATGGACGTTGTAAATACATGATTAATTAATGTGGCTAATTACATAACATGTACCAGAAACGATTCAAGTGTGCCATCTCTATACAACCTTGTTTACAGTCAAGTTTACGGTATTAAGAGTATGGTCTGTGGAATTGAAACAATGTTGCTTTCAATGATAACTGCAAAATACTACTGACTGTGTCTTGACTTGATAATTTTGAGATTTATAAACAAATATAAAAACAGCCACATTTGTGATCCTCCTTCCCAGCCTCTCAGCCATCACATCACTGGCATAGCCTGAATAATATGTATTATAGATAACTGTTTACATTATCATCAATGTGGGAATTACTGTGATCAGCCCCGTATTAGAGTGACATTAGATCAGCGGTAGCAACTCTACTAATCAGGAGGAGCAGATGCATGATTTATACATTACATCATCTTACATCATATCAGGTAGAGCACATCAAGGGATGTCCCCAGAGCTTTGAAGGGGAAGAAAACAAAACAGCATGATGTTGCATCTTGCATTTGATTTCTTTAGCATCTTGTTTACATGATCATCTCAACTTCGACTTCTCCTTGACATGCTGTGTATGAACCTCAAACTGACACGTTTATTTCAACACAAATGGATGACAACTGTTCCATTGATCAAAGTATTTTAATTGACAAAGTAGAGAAGCCCTCTGTCATCGGAGTCACCGGAAGCTGTCCGACTGTCGTCGCTGCAGTCTTGTATTTCCTGTTTACTGGCGGGAAGAGCGAAAGAAACTGAACCATCGGGTCGGTTTTCAAAACGCACGTTTTTTTTTTTTTTATTAGCTCAGTATCAATAATTTATGATAAACCGAATTCCACGCGATTTGGATACATATAATTGCTTGACCTGTGCCAACCGTTTAAAGGGATTTGAAGCGCGAAACCGATGGAGGAGCCCGCTGACTCCGTCGGTGGCGGGGCAGCACAGGGCCCCACAGCGCAAGTGGCAGAGATCCGCTGTCCAATGGCAGCGCGTCCAATGCGGCTGCTGGAATGGAAAGTCAAACCCGGGTCCCTCGTCAATGTGGATTCGGTGTTGGCGTTATGTGCGCCCATCCCGCCGGAGAAAGAGGACGGGTCTCAGCCGCCAGAACAGCCCAACAGGCTGCCAGGGAAGAAACTGAAATCGGACCGAGCTGGAGTGGTGAAGGACCTATGTTGTCAACTTGGACAAGTCATATCGCCTGGGTGAGTCTGCAAGCTAGCTATAGTGAACTATATAGCTAATGTTGCCCATGTCAACGATGTTTTTATATTGTGCTGTTGTGTGGAGTTTACTATGTTCGCTAACTAATGTTGTTGCTCATAGACCACATTCGTAGTAGCATAGCTAACTAGCCTAGCTGATAGGTGGTAATGCTAACTAGCTATGCTACCCAGTGCGTGTGTTGGAGCGCCGATCTCTACAACAGCTGGATGGATCATGTCAATGGGCGAGTTCGTTTTGCATGGCCCGGTGCCTTAGTGTGTGGAGTTTGGGATTTTAGACCCCAACTTGGTCCTTAAGTTAAATATTCATCCACATGGGGCTCCGAGCCATGCAAAACGAACTCGCCCCATATTGTAGTATGCACATTACATCATCCACATGGTATCGAGTCGTCGAATTTGCACGCTCGAGCACTTTTGGTCCAGTTTAATGACGGAACCAGAACTTCGAATATTTTATGATTCAGAAAGCATTTTGGTGTTATGAATTTGGGTAACAATCCAGAAAAAAACGTAAATGATGTAATTGATAACAACACATTGTGAATATAATAATATGACACCATTTATGGAATACTGAAAATGGCCAAATATTAGCTTAGAGCTGAAGACACCCCTTGTTGTTTTAAAAGTTTGAATGTGTCGATTCAGTTGTCATTTTGTCGTTCAGAAACTGATGACGGCTTATGCCCTGGTGCTTTTCAACATGGAGGCACTAATGTAGTCTTATGGAGAAGTGTGAGGGGAAGTTGTGTTTATTAAAGTGTTTGTTTAGATATACATGTACACATGTTGGAGAGACTGTGGCGATTCTATCAGGCACCTGCATTGTAAAGCCCTTTTAAGGGGGAAACTCATTATGCTGCTGTCTCAAGTGCCACTTCTCTTCCAGTGGTGTGATTGTCAGAGTAGAAGAATGCAGTCATCCCGTCGTGATGAAGGGGCTGTGTGCTGAATGTGGCCAGGACCTCACACAGTAAGTACACACACGTATTCCATGCTAGAATTTCAATTGGCATATTCACACAATTTTAAAATAGGCTTATCTCTTAGCTGTAGGTTACTTCTTATGAGGATGCATTACTAAGTGGATTCTCTCTCTCAGGATGCAGAGTAATAATGGGAGACAGCAGGCTCATATCTCCATGGCGAACGTTTCCATGGTGCACAGTGTCCCTGAGTTGATGGTCAGCTCTGAGGTGAGGCTTTGAATGTCATGGCACTAGAAGATGAGTTTCCTCTGACGATAATGTAACTTTGTAAAAATACCTCTGTGTCATTAGAATTCAACTTTACTATGTAGTAGCGACAGTTTTGTTGAAGTCATGGCCCCCTTTTTATAAATGCCTGGTTCTGTGATATGTCCCCAACACAGGAAGCAGAGCAGCTGGGCAGAGAGGACCAGCAGAGACTCCACAGGAACAAGAAGCTGGTTCTGATGGTTGATCTGGACCAAACCCTGATCCACACCACTGAGCATCACTGCCAGCGCATGTCCAATAAGGTACAGTGGGGAAAAAAAGTATTTAGTCAGCCACCAATTGTGCAAGTTCTCCCACTTAAAAAGATGAGAGGCCTGTAATTTTCATCATAGGTGCACGTCAACTATGACATACAAATTGAGAGAAAAAAAATCCAGAAAATCACATTGCAGGATTTTTAATGAATTTATTTGCAAATTATGGTGGAAAATAAGTATTTGGTCAATAACAAAAGTTTCTCAATACTTTGTTATATACCCTTTGTTGGCAATGACACAGGTCAAACGTTTTCTGTAAGTCTTCACAAGGTTTTCACACACTGTTGCTGGTATTTTGGCCCATTCCTCCATGCAGATCTCCTCTAGAGCAGTGATGTTTTGGGGCTGTCGCTGGGCAACACGGACTTTCAACTCCCTCCAAAGATTTTCTATGGGGTTGAGATCTGGAGACTGGCTAGGCCACTCCAGGACCTTGAAATGCTTCTTACGAAGCCACTCCTTCGTTGCCCGGGCGGTGTGTTTGGGATCATTGTCATGCTGAAAGACCCAGCCACGTTTCATCTTCAATGCCCTTGCTGATGGAAGGAGGTTTTCACTCAAAATCTCACGATACATGGCCCCATTCATTCTTTCCTTTACACGGATCAGTCGTCCTGGTCCCTTTGCAGAAAAACAGCCCCAAAGGATGATGTTTCCACCCCCATGCTTCACAGTAGGTATGGTGTTCTTTGGATGCAACTCAGCATTCTTTGTCCTCCAAACACGACGAGTTGAGTTTTTACCAAAAAGTTCTATTTTGGTTTCATCTGACCATATGACATTCTCCCAATCCTCTTCTGGATCATCCAAATGAACTCTAGCAAACTTCAGACGGGCCTGGACATGCTTAAGCAGGGGGACACGTCTGGCACTGCAGGATTTGAGTCCCTGGCGGCGTAGTGTGTTACTGATGGTAGGCTTTGTTACTTTGGTCCCAGCTCTCTGCAGGTCATTCACTAGGTCCCCCCGTGTGGTTCTGGGATTTTTGCTCACCGTTCTTGTGATCATTTTGACCCCACGGGGTGAGATCTTGCGTGGAGCCCCAGATCGAGGGAGAGTATCAGTGGTCTTGTATGTCTTCCATTTCCTAATAATTGCTCCCACAGTTGATTTCTTCAAACCAAGCTGCTTACCTATTGCAGATTCAGTCTTCCCAGCCTGGTGCAGGTCTACAATTTTGTTTCTGGTGTCCTTTGACAGCTCTTTGGTCTTGGCCATAGTGGAGTTTGGAGTGTGACTGTTTGAGGTTGTGGACAGGTGTCTTTTATACTGATAACAAGTTCAAACAGGTGCCATTAATACAGGAAACGGGTGGAGGACAGAGGAGCCTCTTAAAGAATAAGTTACAGGTCTGTGAGAGCCAGAAATCTTGCTTGTTTGTAGGTGACCAAATACTTATTTTCCACCATAATTTGCAAATAAATTCATTAAAAATCCTACAATGTGATTTTCTGGATTTTTTTTCTTCTCAATTTGTCTGTCATAGTTGATGTGTACCTATGATGAAAATTACAGGCCTCTCTCATCTTTTTAAGTGGGAGAACTTGCACAATTGGTGGCTGACTAAATACTTTTTCCCCCCACTGTATACTCGGGGCATTTGATAAATGGAAATAGACATCTGTTACAAAACCCCAAAAAGTGTGCCTAATGACATTCAGCGATTACCATTGATTAGGCCGACATTAATTGATGCGTCTTGCTGACAAATATAGTTTTTTTTTGTAGCCTGAAAAGTCGGGACACCTGAAATGGGCTGAAACTGTCCCGGGCAAAACGGGATGCTCACCCTAACACACAGTCAACTTACTAGACTAGGCTACAATGGGTATTACCATGACAATAGGCCTACTGGTAGCCAATGATGTAGTGTTTTTAAAAAAAGTAGGTGGGTAAACTGGTTGCCGGTCGTGGTGAAAAGTTTAGTTCCCTATGCTTTCAATGCATTATTTTGAAAAGAGGTTGTTTGATATCTCTATGCCCCAGGCCTTGCTGAGAGTCACCCTGTATGTAGCTAGTCTGTAATAAACCACTGGTGGTTATGTAGCTAGAACAAACCATTGACGGTTCTGCGCATGCCTCTGCTCTTGTTCCACAGGGAATCTTCCACTTCCAGCTGGGGCGGGGGGAGCCCATGTTACACACGCGACTGCGTCCGAACTGCAAAGACTTCCTGGAGAAGATCGCCAAGCTCTACGAGCTGCATGTCTTCACTTTCGGAAGCCGCCTCTATGCACACACCATCGCAGGTACCCACACCCACACACACACTAGCAGCTACTTAACATTCTCTGATAATTATGCCTACGTTGAATCACTATAATTTGCTTTACAGTAAGTAATGCACTATGATGTAAATTCAAAGTGTATGAGTGCTCAGATGCTAAATGCCAGGTGAATTTAAACACATTTAATTATCTAGGATTACATCCTCTGTAAAATCTCTCTACGTAATTATAGATCTAGATTTAATGCCTGAGTGCTGTCTGCATTATAGGTGAGAATAGTTTTATTTAAATGTTTGTCCATACACTCCCCAGATTGAAAAGTTAGACACCTAACAAGACTAACAGACATGCCTCAATGTGATTGGTCTAAGCATTTGAGGCAAATCCTGAGTAGCGCTAGACATCTGAGTGGCCACTAGAGGGCAGCATTTACCTTCAGTTTGTGTCTCAGGCTCATTCTGTACTCAGTCTTCATATCTCATTGGGGGAGCGTCCCAAATTTCACCCTATATAGTCTGGGGAGGTGAATCTGCGACAGCCAAAAGTCGGACACTAGTGGTTTTCCAACAGCAAGGCTCAGATCAACATAGCGGTGTCAACATACAGTGCCTTCGTTAAGTATTTAGACCCCTTGACATTTTTCCTATTTTGTTACGTTACAGCCTTATTCTAAAATTGATTAAAATGTTTTTTTCCCTCATCAATCTACACACAATACCCCATAATGACAAAACAAAAACAGGTTTTTATAGATTTTTGCAAATGTATTAAATAAAAATGCTATTACATTTTACATAAGTATTCAGACCCTTTACTCAGTACTTTGTTGAAGCACCTTTGGCAGTGATTACAGCATCAAGTCTTCTTGGGTATGACGCTACAAGCTTGGCACACCTGTATTTGGGGAGTTTCTCCCATTCTTCTCTGCGGATCCTCTCAAGCTCTGTCAGGTTGGATGGGGAGCGTTGCTGCACAGCTATTGTCAGGTCTCTAGAGATTTTCGATTTGGTTCAAGTCCGGGCTCTGGCTGGCCCACTCAAGGACATTCAGAGACTTGTCCCGAAGCCACTCCTGCATTGTCTTGGCTGTGTGCTTAGGGTCGTTGTCCTGTTGGAAGGTGAACCTTCGCCCCAGTCTGAAGTCCTGAGTGCTCTGGAGCAGGTTTTCATCAAGGATCTCTCTGTACTTTGCTCCGTTCATCTTTGCCTCGATCCTGACTAGTCTCCCAGTCCCTGCCGCTGAAAAACATCCCCACAGCATGATGCTGCCACCACCATGCTTCACCGTAGGGATGGTGCCAGGTTTCCTCCGCATTCAGGCCAAAGAGTTCAATATTGGTTTCATCAGAACAGAGAATCTTGTTTCTCATGGTCTGAGGCCTTTAGGTGCCTTTTGGCAAACTCCAAGCGGGCTGTCATGTGCCTTTTACTGAGGCGTGGCTTCCGTCTGGCCACTCTACCGTAAAGGCCTGATTGGTGGAGTGCTGCAGAGATGGTTGTCCTTCTGGAAGATTCTCCCATCTCCACAGAGGAACTCTAGAGCTCTGTCAGAGTGACCATCGGGTTGTTGGTCACCTCCCTGACCAAGGACCTTCTCCCCCGATTTCTCAGTTTGGCCAGGCAGCCAGCTCTAGGAAGAGTTCCAAACTTCTTCCATTTAAGAATGATGGAGGCCACTGTGTTCTTGGGGACCTTCAATGCTGCAGAAATGTTTTGGTTCCCTTCCCCAGATCTGTGCATCGACACAATCCTGTCTCGGAGCTCTACGGACAATTCCTTCGACCTCATGGCTTGGTTTTTGCTCTGACATGCGCTGTCAACTGTGGGACCTTATATCGACATGTGTGCCTTTCCAAATCATGTCCAATCAATTGAATTTACCACAGGTGGACTCCAATCAAGTTGTAGAAACATCTCAAGGATGATCAATGGAAACAGGATGCACATGAGCTCCATTTCTTGTCTCATAGCAATTAGCAAAGGGTATGAATACTTATATAAATAAGGTATTTCTTTTTTTTTCTTCACTTTGTCAATATGAGGTGTTGTGTGTAGATTGCAGAGGATTATATATATTTTTTAATCCATTTTAGAATAAGGCTGTAATTTTAACAAAATGTGGGAAAAGTCAAGTGGTCTGAATACTTTCCTTAGGCACTGTAGCTGCTATTGTTCATAAAGGTTTTTCTGTATAAATGTCGAATTAAACTTTTTTTATACCTCATATCACACATTCACGAACTGAAAACATAACGTGTGTACAATTAATTGGTTCGAGAGGTCTGAAATATCACTTTCATTTGTATCTCATTAGAATCGTGGCAAAGTTGGTTCCTGTTTTACGTCTTTGGCTAAGTTTGCGTGGGTCAAACAAACACTTATTAGACCTAGTAATGTATCAGTGTTTATCTTAACATTTGATATTATATAGCACCACTTTGGATTTCACCCCCGTCTCATAATCAAATGGTTTATACCGTTTGGAAGTTTTGACAGACTCTTAGTGAGCTTATCTTCCATGCAGAGCGGTTAGCAAAAAGTGACTCGTTATGAAATCATCAACTTTACCCTGTATATCGAAATAAATTCGAATGTAAGCCCCGATCAACATGTAGCCTACCTATAGCCAGATGAGTTGTCTCCGGTGGTAGCTTAGGTTACTTTTATTTCGGTAAAACACAATTTTCAACAGCGCATTTGATAAAAATAACAAATTACATTGGTTGTCACTCAACTAATAAAGCCTAATATTGCGCAAGCCATTACAAACATTCGAATGTTAAAGGTGACGCGCAGATGTGCCAGATGAAGAATAATCCTACCTCTCATTAGTCAGCGTGCAAAGCTGCGTACAGTTTGACAAGATATTGCCTGGGGTCGTTCGGCATGCAAACATTTTTCTAGATCAATGACTGTCAACATAATTACATTCTTAGTTCGACACAAAGGTGAGAGGTATTTTCGGAAGATGGAAAGAAGGTAATTTGAGCACAAATTTTTTTTGTGAACCGGCGATTCATAACGTTTGAATCGATTTTCTGACCGATGCATGCTACGTTTGGATCGGTTTTGGGTCCCCTCATACCGATGCACTCATATCTTAAACAGTTGAACATGTTGGTGTATCGTTACGTCCCTACTATATAGTGCACCAGAGCCATATGGGCCCTAGTGCACTATATAGGGAATAGGGTGCCATTTGGGACACCTCACTGGTGAAGATGACGCTTCTGGTCAGTTTACCAGCCTCTCACAGAGAATAATATAGCCACCTCATATTCAACCTTACTTTAAACCCAATCTCATTTTCCAGGAAGTTATAATGAAAGTTTGAGAATTTTATACATCTATTTATCGGCATTTTGGTTATAGAGATGAACATTGGCCCTTTAAAGTTTGGAAACGATATTTCGCAACCAATTAGAAGTTATTCTATAATGAATGTCAATGCTGAACGTTGGAAGCGAATGAATGTGTAATGTAGCACTTACAGTACCTCAGTCTGTGGAGCAGAGAGGTCACTGTGTGTCTGGCTGTTTGTTGTGTGCTTTAGTAGACACCTGCCCACCTGTCTGCTCTCTTTTCACTGTGGGTTAATAGCAGCCAGGTAACAAGGTATGTGTTGTGCAGTGGGGATGTAGCTGCTCCATCAAATCCAGTCTTTGATGTTCCTCCAGACACACATTATTCTACAGCTTTTAAAGAGGAACTGATAAGACCCAGCTTGCATTTAGTTCTCATCTCAAAGCCTTGATGTTTAAATGAAAGCCTACTGAGAGATGTCTCACACACACACCGATGCCTGCAATTTCATTTGAGTTAAAATTGAAGCTTTTGTGTAACAAAACAACATGAAAACCTCCCAGATAAAGAAAAAATAAGAATTTGCTCTAAATGTCTCAAAAGCTGTTAGCTTTGTTGTTGGACAGCTACTCTGTGTAGTGCCGGGGAGTAATGGAGATTGGCGGTTTGGCAAAACTGCACCTTCACTTTGCTGAATACATCCAGCTTTTTCACGGTGCTCTTTTAAATAGGATGTTTAATGGAGTCTAATGTAGTCTCTTTCTCGTGCTCTGTCCCTCTCTCTCATATAATTTATTTTTGTCCATTTTAAGATGTTTTTCTTGTGTGGTTCTGTGACTGTAGGCTTCCTGGACCCTGAGATGAAGCTGTTCTCTCACAGGATCCTGTCCAGAGACGAATGCATCGACCCCTTCTCTAAGACAGGGAACCTAAGGTGAGATCTGGGTCTCTGTCTGGCAGAGCTAGTAGCAGATACCGCTTTATGAAGCCCACGCATTACACTTTGACACACATACCAATAGCAATTTCAGCCAGGACATTTAAGAAGAATCTGTCCAATATGAAAAGGACATAGCTGATATGTAATCTTTAATTTAGACACTTTGACTTTACTACTGTCACTGTGACGGAGATACTGGGGGCGGAGGTCGGGGTGCGTTGTGAGTTTGTCGGCGAGTGGGTAAACCGCCACTACCATCAGTCCTATTAGCCAATGTGCAATCACTTGAGAATAAACTGGATGATCTACGATCAAGACTATCCTACCAACGGGACATTAAAAACTGTAATATCTTATGATTCACCGAGTCGTGGCTGAACGACGACATGGATAATAAAGAGCTGGCTGGGTTTTCCGTGCATCGGCAGGACAGAGCTGCTACGTTGGCTAAGACGAGGGGGGTGTGTCTATTTGTCAATAACAGCTGGTGCACAATGTCTAATATTAAGGAAGTTTCAAGGTATTGCTCGCCTGAGGTAGAGTACCTCATGATAAACTGTAGACCACACTATCTACCGAGAGAGTTCTCATCTATATTATTCGTAGCCGTCTATTTAACACCACAAACCGATGCTGGCACTAGGACCACACTCAACGAGCTGTATAAGGCCAAAAGCAAACAAGAAAATGCTCATCCAGAAGCGGCACAACTAGTGGCCGGGGACTTTAGTGCAAGCAAACTTAAATCTGATTTACCTCATTTCTACCAGCATGTCACATGTGCAACCAGAGGAGAAAAAAAACTCTAGACCACCTTTACTCCACACACAGAGACGCATACAAAGCTCTCCCTCACCCTCCATTTGGAAAATCTGACCATAACTCTATCCTCCTGACTCCTGCTTACAAGCAAAAACTAAAGCAGGAAGTACCAGTGTCTTGCTCAATACGGAAGTGGTCAGATGACGCAGATGCTACGCTACAGGACTGTTTTGCTAGCACAGACTGGAATATGTTCTGGGATTCATCCAATGGCATTGAGGAGTATACCACCTCAGTCACCGGCTTCATCAATAAGTGCATCGACGTTGTCGTCCCCACAGTGACCGTACGTACATATCCCGACCAGAAGCAATGGATTACAGGCAACATCCGCAATAAGCTAAAGGCTAGAGCTGCCGCTTTCAAGGAGCGGGACACTAATCCGGACGCTTATATGAAATTCCGCTATGCCCTCCGACGAACCATTTAACAGGCAAAGCATCAATACAGGACTAAGATTGAATCCTACTACACCGGCTCTGACGCTCGTCAGATGTGGCAGGGCTTGCAAACTATAACGGACTACAAAGGGAAGCACAGCTGCGAGCTGCCCAGTGACACGAGCCTACCAGACGAGCTAAATGACTTCTATGCACGCTTCGAGGCAAGCAACATTGAAGCATGCATGAGAGCACCAGCTGTTCCGGACGACTGTGTGATCACGCTTTCCGTAGACGATGTGAGCAAGACATTTTTAAATAGGTCAACATTCACAAGGCCGCGGGGCCAAACGGATTGCCATGACGTGTACTCAGAGCATGCGCGGACCAACTGGCAAGTGTCTTCACTGACATTTTCAACCTCTCCCTGACCGAGTCTGTAATACCAACATGTTTCAAGCAGACCACCATAGTCCCTGTGCCCAAGAAAGCAAAGGTAACCTGACTAAATTACTACCGCCCCGTAGCACTCACGTCGGTAGCCATGAAGTGCTTTGAAAGGCTGATCATGGCTCACATCAACACCATCATCCCGGAAACCCTAGACCCACTCCAATTCGCATACCGCCCCAACAGAACCACAGATGACACAATCTTAATCGCACTCCACACTGCCCTTTTCCACCTGCACAAAAGGAACACCTACGTGAGAATGCTATTCATTGACTACAGCTCAGCGTTCAACACCATAGTGCCCACAAATCTCATCACTAAGCTAAGGACCCTGGGACTAAACACCTCCCTCTGCAACTGGATCCTGGACTTCCTGACGGGCCGCCCCCAGGTGGTAAGGGTAGGCAACAACACATCTGCCACGCTGATCCTCAACACTGGTGCCCCTCAGGGGTGTGTGCTTAGTCCCCTCCTGTACTCCCTGTTCACCCACGACTGCGTGGCTAAGCATGACTCCAACACCATCATTAAGTTTGTGTACATATAGGTAGGGTTAACTTACATGCCCTTAACGGATCCTGATCACTGACAATGATGAGACAGCCTATAGCGAGGAGGTCAGAGACCTGGCAGTGTGGTGCCAGGACAACAACCTTTCCCTCAATGTTAGAAAGACAAAGGAGCTGATCGTGGACTACAGGAAAAGGAGGGCTGAACAGGCCCCCATTTAACATAGACTGGGCTGTAGTGGAGTGGTTCGAGAGTTTCAAGTTCCTTGGTGTCCACATCACCAACAAATTATCATGGTCCAAACACACAAAGACAGTCGTGAAGAGGGCACGACAACACCTATTCCCCCTCAGGAGACTGAAAAGATTTGGCATGGGTCCCCAGATCCTCAAAGTTCTACAGCTACACTATCGAGAGCATCCTGACTGGTTGCATCACCGCCTGGTATGGCAACTGCTCGGCAAATGACCGCAAGGCGCTACAGAGGGTAGTGCGTATGGCCTAGTACATCACTGGGGCCAAGGTTCTTGCCATCCAGGACTTATATACTAGGTGGTGTCAGAGGAAGGCCCAAAAAATTGTCAGACTCCATTCACCCAAGTCCTAGACTGTTGTCTCTGCTACCGCACGGCAAGCGATACCATAGCGCCAAGTCTAGGTCCAAAAGGCTTCTATCATCAAGCCATCAAGACTGCTGAACAATTAATCAAATGGCCACCCGGACTGTTTACATTTTTTTTACACTGCTGCTACTCACTGTTTATTATCTATGCATAGTCACGTTACCCCTACCTACATGTACATATTACCTCGACTAACCTGTACCCCCGCTCATTGACTCGGTACTGGTACCCCCTTTATATAGCCTCGTTATTGTTATTTTATTGTTGCTTTTTATTTAATTTTTTACTTTAGTTTATATAGTAAATATTTTCTTAACTCTATTTCTTGAACAGCATTGTTGGTTAAGGGCTTGTAAGTAAGCATTTCACGGTAAGGTCTACACTTGTTGTATTCAGCGCATGTGACAAATAGAATTTGATTTAGAGAAAAGGCATTAATTCACTCAAGGGAGATATCCTGTGTAATTGGGAGAAATTGATTTCCGCTCAGCCACTACTGCTGAAGATTTCAACTGAGGGAATTCCTGTAATGATTGGAACTACTAGACCTTAGAGTTGATTAAAACCTGTTATCAGTCAAGTCATCTGAAGTCACTTTGTTGCCCCCACAGACAATACAGAACTATAAAACTGAGCCATCCAGCTCTTGTATGACAGTGCTATTGATGAGCAGAGGGAATAGCCAATAGCCATGCAGTATTCCTTCTAATCAGTGACTCATGTCATAGAATGCCTGCTAGAACATCGTTCTCTTATTAAATAAAATTCCTAATGGTAGAAACTGTGGTTCTTGTATAGTTATGATGTTCAGAGAATGATTGTTATGAGTGACAGACAGAATTAATTTCTACCCTGAAGGGATTCTGAGAGTCCATCCCAAATGGCACCCTATTCCCTTTATAGTGCACTACCTTTGACCAGGACCCATAGGGAATAGGGTTCCATTTGGGACGCAGGACTGGGTAATGATGGAGAGAGGGCATAGCATTGTGCTTTGTTACTGTGGGACTTTGTTATTCCCTAAAGGCACACTGCCTAGGGAGTTACGTGTGGAAGAGGAGAGGGAGTGCCAGTTTCACTTATATTTAACTCTCTTTCTGTCTTGCTCTTTTTCTATCTTTACTCTTTCTCCCCTTCTCTTTATCTCTTCCCCTCTCTTTATCGCTCCGCCTCTATCTCTTTATCTCTCTCTCTTTTCTATCTACCCCTCAGGAATCTGTTCCCGTGTGGTGACTCGATGGTATGTATTATAGATGATCGGGAGGACGTGTGGAAGTTTGCTCCCAACCTGATCACTGTGAAGAAGTACATCTACTTCCAGGGCACAGGAGACATCAATGCCCCGCCCGGGTCTAAAGAGGCTCAGCAGGGAAGGAAAGGTACCGTATACAGGGTCTGAAGACAATGAACTTAACTTAACATAGCACAGTGGGCACTGTTTTGAAGTGGTCAATACATGAAGCACGGTGATCTATTAAATCAACCCTTTGGCTTAGAAAAACAAGCCCTCTGAAAAACAAAGTCCTCACTCCCTTATAAGGGCATTCAGTGTTTTGTCAGCGTTACACTAAAGAAAAAAAACACTACATTCTCATGACCAAAGTTCAGGGAGGGAGTGCTTTGATGATTACTTAATGGATATGATCTCATCCTGGTACTCTGGCTGCAAATGGAGTCTCACTGTTTTGATTTCATTTGCATCAACCGATGCACCACTCTCCTGTGTGGCAGACTGCAGCTCCGCAGTGGGACGGTGAAGCTTTTAAGAGAAATGGTTGTGATATGTAAATGTTATGATCCTCTCAACACCGAGGTGAGAGGCAGGGAGGTGACTGGGGAAACTTGGGGACCTCTCTGTGAAAATACGGTCAGAGTTTAACTTTAGAACCTTTTTGAACAGTGTCAGGCAAATTATCATACCCAAAGGCCAGGGTTCAGCAGAATTAATCAATCTGAACTGTGTTAAAGATAGAATTAGAGCGACCAAGCCTTAACAGCACCTAATCATCATCAACACTGTATTCATAATCAGACACCAAGCCTGGGTAGCCATAATGAGATGGGTTCATCTGAACCGTGATTACCCTCTCAGGCTTAGTCTCAGGAGGGGGTGGGTTCTTTTCTCAGAGAGTCTTTCACAGAGGATCGTTTTTTTGATTAGCAGTAGAGACAAACAGGACAAGCCACAAATGAGGGAGAGTGCTTCTATGGGCTCCCAGGAGAGAATGACACACACAGGCTGTTAGATCAATTAGGGAAGTGCTGCTGTTTTCCGTGACATCACATGGACAGCTGACAGATCCAGTGATGGGCATTTTTATGTAGTCCTAATAGTGTGTAGATTACTGAGTGGATAAAGTGCTATGGAGAACATTGTGCTTTTTTTGAGGCATGCACTTCAACCATAGTTTAAACAGACAATGTTTTCAACGCTGATTCAGTGCCTCAGTGGCCACAGGTCAACTTGCCTTCATTCAGTTACACCTCCAAAACAACTTCAGTGAAATGTATTCTAGTCTAGTGATTTAAGTGACAAAATGTCAGTGCATGTGTTTTAATGTGCTAACGGGTCTGCCTGTGATGTTGCTTTACCCCAGCCGGCAGCCAGGCCAGCCGACCAGCAGAGGCCTCGGAACCAGCAGTAACGTCAGGGCCTTCTGGGAGGTCGTCTGCATCAGAGGAGCAGAGTAACGGTCTTAAGAAACAACGGGCAAAAGACCACAACAACGGAGGGAGGGAGGAGTCAACAGCTCCCTCAGCCACTCAGGAAGCAGCAGCCAATGAACGGACTCAACCGGACGGGGGTGAGGCTGTGGAGGAGGGGCGGGGTCAGGGCGAGGGGGCCGAGGCCAGCACGGCAGCACAGGTGAGCGACAGGACGAGTGTGGAAGAGGAGGGGGAGGATGGCAGCAGGACAGTGGGCTCAGGGGAGGAAGCTCCCCCTCCTCCATCCTCCACTCCTCCAGACCTCCATGAGCCCAACAGCAACCTTGACTTTGACCTGTCCAGCGACTCTGACTCTGTTAGGGGTAAACCCCCCTCATCAGACAGCGAGGGGGAGTCCAGCCAGACCAGGAAGTCCAAACCGGAAGGGGCGGAGCAGGTGGCAGTAGAGGAGCCATCAGGCGGGGCTGGAGGAAAGGAGGAGGGGGATATTAAGGAGAAGAGCACTGGGGAGAACAGCTCAGAGGGAGTAGGGGAGAAGTCAGGGCTTGTCCTCCCTCCAGATCCGGAGCAGGAGAATGGGCGCTCAGAACGGAGGGAGGCTGAGACAGAGTCCCAGAACAGTGAACAGTCAGGAGTCACAATGGAGGAGGAGTCTCTGGACCCGAGCATGGAGGAGGAGGAAGAGGAGGAGTTGGACAAGGATGACCACCTCATCTACCTAGAAGAGGTGTTGGAACGTATCCATGGAGAATACTACGCCCGCTACGACGCCTTCCTCAGGAAGGAATGTGCAGAGACGCCTGATATCAGGAAGATCGTCCCGGAGCTGAAGGCCCGTAGCCTGGAGGGCACCACCATTGTGTTCTCTGGGCTGTACCCCACCAACTACCCCATGGAGAGAACCAGGGAGAACTACCACGCCAAGGCCCTGGGAGCAAAGCTAGGCAAGGGCCTCCTGCTCAGCTCGAAAGACCCAGGCAGAACCACGCACCTCATTGCTGCTAGAGCAGGTGAGTTACTACATACATTGCCTTCATAAAGTATTCACACCCCTTAACTTTTTCCACATTTTGTTGTGTTACAGCCTGAATTTAAAATGGATTAAATTGACATTTTGTGTCACTGACCTATACACAATACCCCATAATGTCAAAGTGGAATTATGTTTTTAGACGTTTTTACAAATTAATTAAAAATGAAAAGCTGAAATGTGTTGAGTCAGTAAGTCATCAACCCGTTTGTTATGGCAAGCATAAATAAGTTCAGGAGTAAAAATGTGCTTAACAAATCACATAATAAGTTGCATGGACTCACTCTGTGTGCAATAATAGTGTTTAACATGATTTTTGAATGACTTCCTCATCTCTGTACCCCACACAAAGAATTATCTGGAAGTTTCCTCAGTCAAGCAGTGAATGTCCAACACAGATTCAACCACAAAGACCAGGGATGTTTTCCAATGCCTCACAAAGGTCATCTTGGGTATTTTTTTATTTTTTTTGCAGACATTTAAATATATCCCTTTGAGCATGGTGAAGTTATTAATTACATTTTGGGTGGTGTATCAATACACTCAGTCACTACAAAGATACAGGCGTTCTCCATCTTCTTTTTAAGTAGGGAACCGATTTGTTTTCAGTACTTTTATTTCCAATGACTGATCAAAACTGGATTTCTCATGGTTCTCTCTTGTCCCTCTGCAATAGACATATGGGGAGGAGTATGTTAGGAACATCTAATCGCAATAAAATCACAATACATATGGAATCGTAATACTTATCGTATCAGCACCAAAGTATCGTGATAATATCGTATCGTGAGGTCCCTGGCAATTCCCAGCCCTACTGTTTATGCGATTGTTAATGGAAGTCTGAGTGGTGTGGTTAAACCATGGGCGGAACACCACACAGATGGATGAAATAATTAGTCTGAAACATGCTGAATGTCTGTCAACAGAGGAGGTCAGGTTACCGTCAACACAGGGAGAATCTCAATTGCCTACCCCTCGTGTCTTCGTTCCTCACCTCCTTCTCAAAGCCCATTGGAGGAGAAGGTCAGAGAGGAGGGATTTTCTGGATCTTCCCCATAGCCTGTTGATCCAGCAGGTCAGAGCAGCACTACAGCACTTGTCAGACTCATTACGTCCATAATGACATGACGATCACCTCTCAAACGCATCAGTCTGACCCCGGTTAACGCCTCAAACACATAAGAGCCCGTCTCCCTGGTCCATAATCCTCTCAATCACATCAACCATCCCGTTTTACCGGTTTCCGGTTCACTGGTCCAGGTCATTTCGAACATCTGTTTATGCAGTTGTTAATTGCTCATTTGGCAGAATAAAACAGTTGGCTCATTCACAATCATTATCAGATACTGACTGGACTACTGAGAGAGAGAGGACCTGTGTACTCTCTGCCAGGGTTTTAGGGCTCTACTTCGTTGGGTTCTGAGACCAAACAAGAGAAGAGCAAAAAAAGCACACAAAAAAACAGCATGTTTGTCTTTGTTAGGAAACATCAGGAAGAAGAGCGTAGTATAACGGTTGTTGCTGACTGAGTCAAATCTCAATTAAAGAAGGCAACAGTAAACATGCCATCCCCCACTAATGATGCAGCGCCGCCCTTAGGCCAATTGAGATTGTGTGTGACTAACACATTTCAGTTAATTACTATAGGTCCCAACTTGGGCCAATCAGTGTAGTTTTGTTCATGCCGGATCTCTATTGCAAGACGCATCATTCTCCCAAGTTTTGTCAAATTAAAGGCAGGTGCTGTCTGAGATACAGTGCCTTCTGAAAGTATTCAGACCCCTTTTTCCACATTTTGTTACATTACAGCCTTATTCTAAAATGGGTTTAAATAAAAAACAATCCTCAGCAATCTACACACAATACCCCATAATGACGACACGAAAACAGGTTTTTAGATTTTTTTTGCAAATGTATTAAAAATAAAAAACATACCTTATTTACATAAGTATTCAGACCCTTTGCTATGAGATTTGAAATTGAGCTCAGGTGCATCCTGTTTCCATTGATCATCCTTGAGATGTTTCTACAACTTGGAGTCCACCTAAATTCAATTGATTGGACATGATTTGGAAAGGCACACACCTGTCTATATAAGGTTCCACAGTTGACAGTGCATGTCAGAGCAAAAACCAAGCCATGAGGTCGAATGAATTGTCTGTAGAGCTCAGAGACAAGATTGTGTCAAGGCACAGATCTGGGGAAGCTTTCCAAAACATTTCTGCAGCATTGAAGTTCCCCAAGAACACAGTGGCCTCCATCATTCTTAAATGGAAGAAGTTTGGAACCACCAAGACCCTTCCTAGAGCTGGCTGCTCGGCCAAACTGAGCAATCGGGGGAGAAGGGCCTTGGTCAGGGAGGTGACCAAGAACCCGATGGTCACTCTGACAGCGCTCTTGAGTTCCTCTGTTGAGATGGGAGAACCTTCCAGAAGGACAACCATCTTTGCAGCACTCCAACAATCAGGCATTTACGGTAGAGTGGCCAGACGGAAGCCACTCCTCAGTAAAAGGCACATGACAGCCCACTCGGAGTTTGCCTAAAGGCCTCAGACTCTCTGGTCTGATGAAACCAAGATTGAACTCTTTGGCCTGAATGCCAAGCGTCACGTCTGGAGGAAACCTGGCACCATCCCTACTGTGAACCGTGGTGGCAGCATCATGCTGTGGAGATGTTTTTCAGTGGCAGGGACTGGGATACTAGTCAGGATCGAGGCAAAAATGAAAGGCGCAAAGTACAGAGATCCTTGATTAAAAACCTGCTCCAGAGTGCTCAGGAACTCAGACTGGGGCGAAGGTTCACCTTCCAACAGGACAACGACCCTAAGCACACAGCCAAGACAATGCAGGAGGGGCTTCGGGACAAGTCTCTGAATGTCCTTGAGTGGCCCAGCCAGAGCCCGGACTTGAACCCGATCGAACATCCTATATAGAGACCTGAAAATAGCTGTGCAGCATGCTCCCCATCCAATCTGACAGAGCTTGAGAGGATCTGCAGAGAAGAATGGGAGAAACTCCCCAAATACAGGTGTGCCAAGCTTGTGTCATACCCATAAAGAATCGATGCTGTAATCGCTGCCAAAGGTGCTTCAACAAAGTACTGAGTAAAGGGTCTGAATACTTTTGATACATTTGCAAAAAATTATAGAAACCTGTTTTTGCTTTGTCATTATGGGGTATTGTTTGTAAATTGATGAGGAAGGAAAAACAATGTAATACATTTTAGAATAAGGCGAAAATGTGGAAAATGTCAAGGGGTCTGAATACTTTCCGAAGGCTCTATCTCGTGTGACTATCATACGAACGTACTAACTGACAGACAGGTCCTCTGTCCCCTCCCCAATTTCATCGTGGGGGACAATCATTGAATGTATTTGATCCATCAACATACTAGACCACAGGTAGGCAACCCTGGTCCTGGATTGCCGCAGGCACTTCATGTTTTTGATTTAACTAGCCTGGAAGACCAGGTGTGTTGAATTTAGGCAATCATTGAGCTGATCAATTATCTGAGTTGGTCAGGTGTGGTGCCTCGTTGGAACAAAATCCTGCAGTACCTGCGGCACTCCAGGAACAGTGTTGCCTGCCCCCGTACTAGACGATTGTTCCCATCAGGCATGGATGCTTACATTGATTTAAACATGGATCCTGAACTGCTCTGACTGAAAAACAGAAACGAAAAAATATTTTAAAAAGGAAATAGTAAGCATGTCGTCCCTCACGCATGATGCAGCGCATTGTTTTAGGTACTAGTCTGGAAAATATTGCATTGAGAGACCTTTGTCCATAGATGCCACATTTTAAATGGTAGAAAATCCATCATGGCGGACCTTATGGGTCCCTGAGGCAAATGTATTCCTTGTGAGGAGCGGGACCTACACTACATAGCCAAAAGTATGTAGACACCTGCTCGTCGAACATCTCATTCCAAAATCATGGCCATTAATATGGAGTTGGTCCCCCCTTTACTGCTATAACAGCCTCCACTCTTCTGAGAAGGCTTTCCACTAGATGTTGGAACATTGCTTCGGGGACTTGGTTTAATTCAGCCACGAGCATTAGTGAGGTTAGGCACTGATGTTGAGCGATTAGGCTTGGCTTGCTGTCAGTGTTCCAATTCATCCCAAAGGTGCTCGATGGGGTTGAGGTAAGGGCTATGTGCAGGCCAGTCACGTTCTTCCACACTGATCTCAACAAAACATTTCTGTATGGACCTTGCTTTGTGCACGGGGGCATTGTCATGCCGAAACAGGAAAGAGCCTTCCCCAAACTGTTGCCACAAAGTTGGAAACACAGAATAATCTAGAATGTCATTGTATAGCTGTATCGTTAAGATTTCCCTTCACTGGAACTAAGGGGCCTAGCCCGAACCATGAAAAACATCCCCAGACCAGTATTCCTCCTCCACCAAACTTTACAGTTGGCACTATGCATTGGGGCAGGTAGCGTTCTCCTGGCAGGCATCCGCCAAATTCGTCCGTCAGACTGCCAGATGGTGAAGTGTGATTCATCACTCCAGAGAACGCGTTTTCACTGCTCGAGAGTCCAATGGCAGCAAGCTTTACACCACTCCAGCCGACGCTTGGCATTGCGCATGGTGATCTTAGGCATGTGTGCGGCTGCTTGGCCATGGAAACCCATTTCATGAAGTTCTTGTGCTGACGTTGCTTCCAGAGGCAGTTTGGAACTCGGTAGTGAGTGTTGCAACCGAGGACAGACTGTTTTTACGCGCTTCAGCACTCGGCGGTCCCGTTCTGTGAGCTTGTGTGGCCTACCAGTTCGCTGCTGAGCGGTTGTTTCTCCTAGACGTTTACACTTTACAATAAGAGCACTTACAGTTGACCGGGGCAGGTCTAGCAGGGCAGAAATTTGATGAACTGACTTGTTGGAAAGGTGGCATTCTATAACGGTGCCACGTTGAAAGTCACTGAGCTCATTGTTTGTCTCTGGAGATTGCATGGCTGTGTGCTCTGTTTTATACACCTGTCAGCAACGGGTGTGGCTGAAATAGCCAAATCCACTCATTTGAAGGGGTGTCCACATCCTTTTGGCCATGTAGTGTATGTACCGAATTTCATGACTAGGTCAGATGGGGTAAGGGGCATGACCTTTCAAAGTTAGCATTTTCATTCTCTTGTTATAGTGCCACAATGTGTAATTTTGTAAAGTGCTGTCTGAAATATCGCGTATGACAAACATACGAACGTACCAATGTACTAACCTACTGAGACAGATCCACAGTGGGGGACAATTATGGTTGGAATCTATTTCAACACAATGTTCCATTATGGTATCAGGTTTCTAATGGGGAAGGCAAGGCTCTGTTGATGACGACCATGGATATGTCCCAAATGGCACCCTATTCCCTTTATAATACACTACTTTTGACCAGAGCCCTATGGGCCCATTTGGGACGAAACAGGCTGGAAAAGGAGAATAGAAAATGGAACTTCTAACTGTTCCAGTGACATCTGATTGACACATTCAACCTCAACATATAGCAGAGAGAAAGGTTTAATGTGATGGTGAAGTGATAGCTACTATGATGATTTCTCTCTGTTCATCCCTATTAGCCTTTTAAACAGGCTAGAATACTCTCTTCTCCATCACTGTAAATCTAGATTATGACGTCTCTCTAGAGAGCTAAACCATCATGAATATTAGATCTACTTAAGTGATGAAACCAGAGAGCCATATAACCTACAGTACATATTCTGTCATTAATTTAATCCATTAAAGAAATCCAAATAGAGAATAGCTTAAGCTGTTTCCGAAGTGCTTTTCTCAGCTTTAGCATATTCTGGTCCCTAATGGGTATAGATACTATCGTGCTAGCCTCTTAGAGATATTAAACTGTCATTTGGATTGTAAAATGGATTCTAGTGAAACAGATCATCAGACTCAGGGTCTTGGGCTATTGAATCTGTACATGGCTAGTTATGGCTTGCACAGTGTAGACCACAGTGACCAAGTAAGCTGGACAATTTACCAGGTGTTACTGATTTGATGGACACGTACAACTATAAGACAGACACCACTAGCTTGTCGCTGTTCCATTAAAATCCTGTCGCTGTATAGACGTGGTTTCAATTTGGTCTCGCTAAGCACTTTGCTGGCGTTCAATCAAATGGCACAATCAAAGTTCATACTGACTAAAATGAGGTCTGGTTTGAATTGCTAACATGACCCAGCCTTCTAAAGATGGAAGACCATTACCAGTGTTCACTTTTCCATTTCAATTCTAAAGGTGTGAAGAAGCACCCCACAAAGCAAGGTCCATACAGAAATGGTTTGTTGAGATCGGTGTGGAAGAACGTGACTGGCCTGCACAAGACAAGCATGGTTGGACAATCAATACAACTGTGTTCTTTAGATTATCCTGTAACATTCATGTACTTTAGGATGGGAGACTGGTTTCACATGTCTAGTATGCAGGGAGGTAGAGGGGCAGATAGCCCCTTTCAGTCCCATTTTAAACGTAACTCACATAGGCACCTCTCTTCAGCCAGTACAGAGACACGTGGACAACCGTTCTCTGCAGGTCTGAGAGACGCAGGCTTTATGGAGCTAGCTTACCTCCTGACTCTCCAAGTACCTTCTTCCTGCTCTTGCAAACTCATTGACTTCAATGATGCTACTCTGAAAGAGGAGCAGGGAAGAAACATCTGGCTTTCCCTTTGGTCTTTCAGAGTAGCATCATTTTAGTCAATTAGGCTGACTGGTTGGCTGTCTGACTGGAAGGCACAACAATAGCCCAGCATGATGTTGTTTCTCATCCAATCCAACGTGCCCTCAGACAGCAGGCAGCGTTGTCGTGGAACTGGCTCTCTCAGAGCGGCACTTTGCAATCAACGGTCTGTGGGGGCTCAACGGGGTCTGTACGTCAGAACCGGGAAAAAATCAACCACAGAGAAAAGGAGAATGGGAGAGAGAAGGAGCACTTACGGCACAGCAGCATACAGGGTCCCACTTCATGTGAAGAGGAACTGTTAAGAAGCAGCCATTGTGTGGGCTGTCAGTACAAGAGGATGAGAGTCTGTCATTCATTGTACTGGGATTTATATAAATTAGCATCTTGATTAGGTGATTGGTTATTTAATTGCATCTTAAGACGAGTCTGGTGGTCAATGGTCAAGACCACCATGCCGTGAAACACCACAGTCCTGAGTCTCCCCTGTTCTCTCAGCATCTCATTTTTTTCTCTCGCTCAAGTGGACAAAGCCACAGGGACAGTATGTCAGCACTGTAGACAGCAGTGAGATTAAGAGCCTTCACGTGGTTGTTCCTCTCCATCACGCTGACACGCGGCTGATCAATACCTGTCTGTCTGAATAACCTACATGTCTGTCTCCTCTGGAGAGAGGGGGCAGCTGATTCACCACTAAGGTAGAGCATGGAGGCAGACAGGGCTGGGAGGCAGACAGGGCTGGGAGGCAGGGAAGGGTGCTCTGGAGCAGGCAGCTGAGAGCACGCACAGCATGAATAGAAAAGTCCTGCTGGTGGCCTGTGGGAAATGGTTTCTTTGTAGTGATTTAAAAGTAGAAGGGGGGGGGGGGGTCTCACTTGGGATGATTGTCTTGAAGGTCTATGTCCCTAGAGTTGGAAAATGTTTGATAGTAGTGCAGCAATGGCAGCTTTCTCTGTGTTATCACTCTTTCTTTCATTCCTCCATCCGATTCATTTTTCCCATAGGGATATTCCCATATGCCAAACAATGTCAGTATGCAACAAGTACTTGCGCTCTTACAGTGCCTTCAGAGTATTCACCACCTTTACTTTTTCCACATTTTGTTGTTACAGCCTGAATTTTATTGTTTCACTGATCTACACACAATAACCCACAATGTCAAAGTGGAATTGTGTTTTTAAAATGAAAAGCTGAAATGTCTTGAGTCAATAAGTATTCAAACCCTTTGTTATGGCAAGCCTAAAGTTCAGAAGTAAAAGTGTGCTTAACAAATCACATAATAAGTTGCATGGACGTGTTCAATAATATTGGTTAACATGATTTTTGAGTAACTACCCCATCTCTGTACCCCACACATACAATTATCTGTAAGGTCCCTCAATTGAGTAGTGAATTTCAAGAACCGATTCAACCACAAAGACCAGTGAAAGAAGGGCACCTATTAGTAGATGTATAAAAATATACAAGGCAGACTCTGAATATCCCTTTAAGCATGGTGAAGTTACTAATTAGGCTTTGGATGGTGTATCAATACACCCAGTCACTACAAAGATAGAGGCGTCATTCCTAACTCAGTTGCCGGAGAGGAAGGAAACTGTTCAGGGATTTCACCATGAAGCCAATAGTGATTTTAAAACAGAGTTTAATGGTTGTGATATGAGAACTAAAGATGGATCAATAACATTGTAGTTACTCCACAATACTAACCTAAAGTGAAATAGAAGGGAGCCTGTACAGAATAAAATATTCTAAAACATGCATCCTGTTTGCAACAAGGTACTTAAGTAATACTTGTCCTGAATACAAAGTGTTATGTTTGGGGCAAATCCTAGAGGATAACCTAGTTCAATCTGCTTTCCAATAGACACTGGGAGACTAATTCACCTTTCAGCATGACAATAAACAAAAACACAAGGCCAGATCTACACTGGAGTTGCTTACCAAGACGACATTGAATGTTCCTGAGTGGCCAAGTTACATTTTAAACGTTGTTTGACAAGTGTATCAGGGCTTCCTTTTAAAAGCAATTTATACAGGCAATTCTGATATGTCAAAGTTCTGTTGACCTGAACATTCCAGAAATGTCTGATTTGATAGCTGTGAATATAAGCTTTCCAATTATATATGATTTAAAGGGTATACGTGAGCAGTAACTTGTATACTGACATTGTTTGTCATATTGTAAAATCCCTACGGTGAAAAATGAATGGGATGAAAGAGTGATAACAGAGAAAGCATTGGCAGTCAGATCATATTCAGAGGATTTGTTTGTCTGGCCACTGTTGCTATGCAGTCTCAGGGCTGACCTCTTGTTGTTGATCCCTGGCTTCTAGCTAGCTACACGGTCGGAACAGAACAAGCCAGTTTCCGTTTCAGACACACCAGATCAATATGGCCGCCAAAAATGAAAGGCTAATGATGTGCAGAGCAAGGTCAGTACTTGTCGCCGTGAGATGGGCTAACCTTGTGTTAATTAGGTACGGTGCTCTGATGAGGTATGCTGCTGCTCTGAGATGCAGGTCTCTGTCTCTGTGTGTCAGACATCAATAGCCCCAAGTCAAGTGGAAATAGCTGCTCCCAACCCTCGTCAGAACTGACATAATGCCAATAAAACAGAAACTGATTGTCAATGGAACCTAATGGATTGGTGAAAAATGAAATGCTTCAGGGCAATTGGTAATTGGCTTTGAATGTATGATTGAGCCTACACCCTGAAAGTTGGTTTTAACAATTAAAACCAACTTTCATTGTCATCCGAGAGTTACTGGATATTTCTCTCTTCAATTTTCTCCTTTGTTTATGCAGCTTGGTTGTTAAGCGTGGTATCTAACGACAGACCGTATTAATTCTTCCTCTTGATTTAATGACTGATCCTTGCTCTCCCCGTCTCTCTACCAGGTACAGAGAAGGTGCATCAGGCCCAAGGCTGTAAACATCTCCATGTGGTGAATCCTGACTGGCTGTGGGGATGTCTGGAGCGCTGGGAAAGGGTGGATGAATCACTGTATCCACTGAAGGAGGACTGCACCAAGACCCAACGGTATACACAAACACACACAAAGTCACAACAGTACACATACACTCACACACTTGCACATTTATCTGATGGTGTTTCTCTGTCTGTCTTTAGGAGCAACAGCCCAGCCATGTTCCCTGACCACCAAGGATCCTTCCAGAACCCCCTGTTCCCCAACGCCCCCCTCCACCACCACCGCCCCCCTCCAGCTGCCCCTGAGGTGCGGACGTACGACCCGGTCACGGGGAAGCTGATTCGCCGCGGGCCTCAGGCCGCCAGACCACAATCTTACCTCCAGGCCTCCATGTCTGCTGCCCACGGCGACCAGACCTCCCTCAGGTACTGACCGGGCTATTCAACTGTGTTCACAACTGTGTGTGACATGTACTTTTTGACTTTGTAACAATGTGCACACATCAGCCATGGTGATCACACATGGTGATGGATGACATTCAGATCTGTTCTCTTCTTCTGTGGCGCTCCATCAGATGTATTGATATCTGGGATCGATGGTTGGCTTTTCAGTGCTTCTAAGTAGCTAGTAAGCAGCTCTTCCTAAGTCTTCTTGCCCCCCCTCATACCTAGATGAGCAAGGACACCGGGTCTCGTACCAGTTAGAATGTTCTGCAACGCAGCTTGTGTCTGACCTGTCTTTCCTGTTTCTTTGCTCTGATGGCTGCTATAGGGTGGCAGGTAGCCTAGCGGTTAAGAGCAAATCCCTGAGGTGAAAATTCTGTCTATCCACTTGAGCAAGGCACTTAACCTTAATTGCTCCTGTAAGTCGCTCTGGATAAGAGTGTCTGCTAAATGACGACTGTAATGGAAATGTATTACCTCACCTTTTAGTATTAGCCGGCCCTGTAGACAGAAGAGCACTGAAAACTCTGGCAATGCTTACAGCTGTAACATAGAGAACAGTGTCTGGCATGTTAATCATATTTCTATTAGGAGGCCAGAGACCACCTGTCTGTCTAGCAGCAGAGTAGCAGTCGTTTACGCTACAAGGCGGCTCCCCGACTGACCCTGCTCCCTCTGAGCTCTGACCCATTCATTTAGAGTTGTGTCGAAAGTGAGAATATATTGTCTGCTAGAGGGAGAAGTGCCTGTTCAGCACTGCAACTCTGGAGATGTATGTATTGAATGTATATTTATATATATATCTTAATGCCCTGGTCTCAGAGGCCTATATGCTGTATTTGCTCTTTCCCTTCTTTTGCCAAATTGGATTTTCTCCTAGACTCCATCTATACATTACATTAATCTCAGGCTCTAAATAATAATCTGAGCGTCGTAAAGTCATGCGGGCGTTGGCAGCTTTGGGATTGTTCTCCTGGAATGAAATGATTAGCCGATTTGCTGCTGGAGTTTCTGCCTGTTCACTCTGTTCTACAGCTAGAGGTGAAGATGAATTAGCATGTTAATGCTGGAATGGAGGCGACAAAAAACAAAATAAAACACTGGGGCTGTGATGAATGTGAAGGCAAAAGGCTCATTAGTCAGCAAGCCGCTACAATAAGTTCTAGTTGTATTAACTGATTTTTACTTCCAAGTCCTACGTAAAGGGTTTATTACTTGCGGTGTTTGCATGTATTACTGTTTTCAGTAGTGTAGGTAGCTTCTTTAACCATAGTTTGTCGAGATTCAATCTGTCTCACTTTAGAAAACCCTCTGTCCTTCCTATGTGAGTCACCTAAAGCATCCCTGTCACCTCAATTGCCAGGTACAAAATAGTTAACATCTTAGGCTTGATGGTTAAAAAGCTTCCTTTTGAGCTGGCTCCAATTGTTGTGAAAGTGTTTAATCACTAAATTGGCTGGCATCTGTTTACTGGACGGTCTCTGCCAGTGGCTCCCTAACTTTCTGCTTTGAGCCAGATACACTATATATACAAAAGTATGTGGACACCCCATCAAATTAGTGGATTTGGCTATTTCAGCCACCCCCGTTGCTGACAGGTGTATAAAATCGAGCACACAGCCATGTAATCTCCATAGACAAACATTGGCAGTAGAATGGCCTTCAACGTGGCATAGGATGCCATCTTTCCAACAAGTCAGTTTGTCAAATTTCTGCCCTGCTAGAGCTGCCCCGGTCAACTGTAAGTGCTTTTATTGTGAATTGGAAACGTCTAGGAGCAACAACGGCTCAGCTGTGAAGTAGTAGGCCACACAAGCTCACAGAACGGGACCGCCAAGTGCTGAAGCGTGTTGCACGTAAAAACCGTCTGTACTCGGTTGTAACTCTCAATACAGAGTTCCAAACTGCCTCTGGAAGCAACGTCAGGACAACAGCTGTTCGTCGGGAGCTTCATGAAATGGGTTTCCATGGCCGAGCAGCCGCACACAAACCTAAGATCACCATGCACAATGCCAAGTGTCGGCTGGAGTGGTGTAAAGCTCGCGCCATTGGACTCTGGAGCAGTGGAAACATGTTCTCTGGATTGATGAATCATGGTTCACCATCTGGCAGTCCGACGGATGAGTCTGGGTTTGGCGGATGCCAGGATGAGTCTGGCTTTGGCGGATGCATAGTGCCAACTGTAAAGTTTTGGTGGAGGAGGAATAAATGTCTGGGGCTGTTTTTCATGTTTCGGGCTAGGTCTCTTAGTTCCAGTGAAGGGAAATCTTAACGCTACAGCATACAATTACATTCTAGACGATTCTGTGCTTGTGGCAATGGTTTGGGGAAGGCCCTTTCCTGTTTCAGCATGACAATGCCCCCGTGCACAAAGCGAGGTCCATACAGAAATGGTTTGTTGGTCGGTGTGGAAGAACTTGACTAGGCCTGCACAGAGCCCTTACCTCAACCCCATCAAACACCTTTGGGATGAATTGGAACGCCGACTGCGAGCCAGGCCTAATCGCCCATCATCCGTGCCCGACCTCCACTAATGCTCTTGTGGCTGAATGGAAGCAAGTCCCCGTAGCAATGTTCCAACATCTAGTGGAAAGCCTTCCCAGAAGAGTGGAGGCTTTTTATAGCAGCAAAGGGGGGACCAACTCCATAGTAATGCCCACGATTTTGGAATGAGATGTTCAACGAGCAAGTGTCCACACACCTTTCATCAGGTAGTGTATGTCATGTTATTAACATCATAATGACGCTTCGCAGCAAAGCATGGTGCTGTATTATGCATGCTTAGCCACAGGGAGGCAGAGTTTTGGTCACACGCCACACACACACACACAATGCTGAGTTTTAGATACATTAAACCAAATTAGAGTGGAATCATCAAAGAAGCCCCTCGCCAAATTGGAGACCGCCAGGAGGAAGTGCTGCCGCCTGCAGTGCATCCTGGGTGATGAGGAGTGTCGTTACCCTCTTAATCGCTTACTTTCTCGGTGTCTGAGAGAAACATTCCTCTCTACATCCTCGCTCAGTGGGCCCAGCCACTCTCACTTGTTTATCCTCAGCTAGGTACACCGCTATTCTCAATAAGGTCCTCTAACCAGACCTAACATGATAGTAGTGAGACGTGCCAACCCCAGGGCAGTCTACCCAGTCCCAAAGAGAGATTCTTTTTAGAGGCCGACTGATATGTTTTTTTTGGGGTCCGATTGGGTTGGGGACTAAAACGTACCGATATCTGCCGATATACTGTTTTACAGCGGGGAAATTAAAAAGCGAATTCTCATAAATTCCCATCCAATAACTATGCTTCAAATGTTGATTTTCGTACATTGTGACAATAATGACAGATCATGAGAATGGCCGCAAGTGTTCAGATCTGCATGAGATTCCCTTTTTTCATCCTATTTATTGAATATTGGTTATCGGTCGGGCTCTAATTATTTTCCCAGCCTCAACTTGGCTCCACACACACTGCCTCATCTTGGCCATCCTCAGATATCCTTTAGCCTAAACATTCTGCAAAACATGCTCTCTAAGCCTCACTCCTCAGGAGCTCCTTGTAGCTTATCCAAGGACAGGCTGCTTCTGGGTTCTCCTTTATCTGTAAAATGCTATACAGTAGCAAATGCCAGTCATTGGGAGAAGTAACTGTGTTGTAAAAACGTCCTTCACAATGTGACTAGACAAGAGTAGCTCGCTGAAATAGACCAATCAGATTCATCAATTAAGGGCAATATTATTAGTATTTTGAGTAGACTTCATTTAGAACATGTTATGTACAGTGGGGGGAAAAAAGTATTTAGTCAGCCACCAATTGTGCAAGTTCTCCCACTTAAAAAGATGAGAGGCCTGTAATTTTCATCATCGTCAACTATGACAGACAAAATGAGGAAAAAAAATCCAGAAAATCACATTGTAGGATTTTTTATGAATTTATTTGCAAATTATGGTGGAAAATAAGTATTTGGTCAATAACAAAAGTTTCTCAATACTTTGTTATATACCCTTTGTTGGCAATGACACAGGTCAAACGTTTTCTGTAAGTCTTCACAAGGTTTTCACACACTGTTTCTGGTATTTTGGCCCATTCCTCCATGCAGATCTCCTCTAGAGCAGTGATGTTTTGGGGCTGTCGCTGGGCAACACGGACTTTCAACTCCCTCCAAAGATTTTCTATGGGGTTGAGATCTGGAGACTGGCTAGGCCACTCCAGGACCTTGAAATGCTTCTTACGAAGCCACTCCTTCATTGCCCGGGCGGTGTGTTTGGGATCATTGTCATGCTGAAAGACCCAGCCACGTTTCATCTTCAATGCCCTTGCTGATGGAAGGAGGTTTTCACTCAACATCTCACGATACATGGCCCCATTCATTCTTTCCTTTACACGGATCAGTCGTCCTGGTCCCTTTGCAGAAAAACAGCCCCAAAGCATGATGTTTCCACCCCCATGCTTCACAGTAGGTATGGTGTTCTTTGGATGCAACTCAGCATTCTTTGTCCTCCAAACACGATGAGTTGAGTTTTTACCAAAAAGTTATATTTTGGTTTCATCTGACCATATGACATTCTCCCAATCCTCTTCTGGATCATCCAAATGCACTCTAGCAAACTTCAGACGGGCCTGGACATGTACTGGCTTAAGCAGGGGGACACGTCTGGCACTGCAGGATTTGAGTCCCTGGCGGCGTAGTGCGTTACTGATGGTAGGCTTTGTTACTTTGGTCCCAGCTCTCTGCAGGTAATTCACTAGGTCCCCCCGTGTGGTTCTGGGATTTTTGCTCACCGTTCTTGTGATCATTTTGACCCCACGGGGTGAGATCTTGCGTGGAGCCCCAGATCGAGGGAAATTATCAGTGGTCTTGTATGTCTTCCATGTCCTAATAATTGCTCCCACAGTTGATTTCTTCAAACCAAGCTGCTTACCTATTGCAGATTCAGTCTTCCCAGCCTGGTGCAGGTCTACAATTTTGTTTCTGGTGTCCTTTGACAGCTCTTTGGTCTTGCCCATAGTGGAGTTTGGAGTGTGACTGTTTGAGGTTGTGGACAGGTGTCTTTTATACTGATAACAAGTTCAAACAGGTGCCATTAATACAGGTAACGAGTGGAGGACAGAGGAGCCTCTTAAAGAAGAAGTTACAGGTCTGTGAGAGCCAGAAATCTTGCTTGTTTGTAGGTGACCAAATACTTATTTTCCACCATAATTTGCAAATAAATTCATAAAAAATCCTACAATGTGATTTTCTGGAGAAAAAAATTCTCAATTTGTCTGTCATAGTTGACGTGTACCTATGATGAAAATTACAGGCCTCTCTCATCTTTTTAAGTGGGAGAATTTGCACAATTGGTGGCTGACTAAATACTTTTTTCCCCCACTGTATCCTGCTTGGTGTAAAATGAAGGGAATATGTCTGTAATTTCCTACTATCCCAGTGAATCTCTCGCTGATCTGCAAACCGCTCTGTCTCCCACTGGGAAATATCTTATTTTCACAGCGTTTAAAAGCCCAGAAGTTGCACCCCTCCTCCCATCTTCCCTCGTTCTCTCCCTCCACCCTCCTCTTTCCCTCCTTCCCTACTTGTTTTTCTCCTCCACTCTGTGGGACACATCACAGATTGTGTGTCCTGCTACATGTCGACGTTGTCCTAGATTAAAAACTGAAAGTTTAATGGGTAGCATCTGTCTTTTTATTATATTAATTTATAGTCTTACTGTATCCTTCCTTCGTAACACCTATCCTTGACTTTCTCCCAAATCTTTGGAAATAAACACACACAAACTTGGAGACAAATGTGTGTGTGTGTGGGGGGGTAGATATACACTATCAGTCAAAAGTTTGGACACACCTACTCATTCAAGGGTTTTTCTTTATTTGTACTATTTTTTACATTGTAGAATAATAGTGAAGACATCAACTATGGAATAACACATATGGAATCATGTGGTAACCCAAAAAGTGTTAAACAAATCAAAATATATTATATATTTGAGATTCTTCAAATAGCCACCCTTTGCCTTGATGACAGCTTTGCACACTCTTGGCATTCTCTCAACCAGCTTCACCTGGAATGCATTTCAATTAACTGGTGTGCCTTCTTAAAAGTTAATTTGTGGAGTTTCTTTCCTTCTTAATGCGTTTGATCCAATCAGTTGTGTTGTGACAAGGTAGGGGGGTATACAGAAGATATCCCTATTGGGTAAAAGACCAAGTCCATATTATGGCAAGAACAGCTGAAATAAGCAAAGAGAAACGGCAGTCCATCATTACTTTAAGATATGAAAGTCCGTCAATACGGATCATTTCAAGAACTTTGTATGTTTCTTCAAGTGCAGTCTTAAAAACCATCAAGCGCTATGATGAAACTGGCTCTCATGAGGACCGCCACAGGTATGGAAGACCCAGAATTAACTCTGCTGCAGAGAATAAGTTCATTAGAGTTACCAGCCTTAGAAATTGCAGCCCAAATAAATGCTTCACAGAGTTCAAGTAACAGACACATCTCAACATCAACTGTTCAGAGGGGAGTGTGTGGTCAAATTGCTGCAAAGAAACCACTAGTAAAGGACACCAATAAGAAGAAGAGACCTGCTTGGGCCAAGAAACACGAGCAATGGACATTAAACCGGTGGAAATTTGTCCTTTGGTCTGGAGTCCAAATTTGAGATTTTTGGTTCAAAACGCCATGTCTTTGTGTGGGTGAACGGATGATCTCCACATGTGTAGTTCCCACCGTAAAGCATGGAGGTGTTATGGTGTGGGGTACTTTGCTGGTAGAATTCAAGGCACTTAACCAGCATGGCTACCACAGTATTCTGCAGCGATATGCCATCCCAGCTGGTTTGGGCTTAGTGGGACTATCATTTGTTTTTCAACAGGGCAATGACCCAACACACCTCCAGGCTGTGTAAGGGCTATTTTACCAAGAAGGAGAGTGATGGAGTGCTGCATCAAATGACCTGGCCTCCACAATCCCCCGACCTCAACCCAATTGAGATGGTTTAGGATGAGTCGGACGGCAGAGTGAAGGAAAAGCAGCCAACAAGTGCTAAGCATATGTGGGAACTCCTTCAATACTGTTGGAAAAGCATTCCAGGTGAAGCAGGTTGAGAGAATGCCAAGAGTGTACAAAGCTGCTTAAAAGGCAAAGGGTGGCTATTTGAATCATCTTAAATAATATTTTGATTTGTTTAACACTTTTGGTTACTACATGATTCCATATGTGTTATTTCATAGTTTTGATGTCTTCTATTATTCTACAATGTAGAAAATAGTAAAAATAAAGAAAAAGCCTTGAATGAGTAGGTGTGTCCAAACCTTTGACTGGAACTGTAGATTACTGAGGCTGGAACGGACGGTAATGTGTTTGTGGCCGACCACATTTCACCTGCCTTTAACAGGACTTGTATATATGTCTAGTAGGGTTGTATATTAGCTGTATACTCCTGCTAGCCCCTAAGGCTGATGGGCTGTAAGCCTGAGCCTCTACTAAAAGTTCAGAACATAATGGAAAAGTGTAGCTGTTTTGGAGGCTGAATGTAATTATAAGACACACAAAGGATGTTTTCTCTTCGTCTTTCACACTATCGGTGATAAAAAGGCACCAGTTTTCACAATGTTTCTGGTTAATTAGGTAATAGTTGGAGATGTTTGTGTCTGGCTGATGGTTGTTTGTTGTGGTGTGACCAGGGGGAGTCAGAAGGACCAGCAGGGGGAGACGGCGGGTCCCTCCAGTCGAGACGAGGAGCAGCCTGGACCCTCCTGCCGCCGGAGGGAACGCCAGCCCAGCATGTCAGAGACCAACCCCCTCTACACATTCTGTAAAGAAGATCTGGACAGCATGGACAAGGAGGTGAGGAACACACACACATACATTGTACCTGACAGGGTTAGAGCAGTGTGGTTGGCTCTGCGTTATGTGCTGTTCTGAGTTCCTAATGTCTGCCATACACAGACAGAAGTACACACACACACACACACACACACACACACACACACACACACACACACACACACACACAACTACACTAAGACATAAAAACATCAGTACACCTTTTGATGTTCCATCTCTCTCTTCAAGGAAAGTATTCTGAGAATAAAATCATTACACGTGCATACACATACACACAGTCAAAAACACACACACACACACACACAGTGGTTATTGTGCTGTTTTTCCTGGTACATCCACTAATGTGTGCAGGCTGTGCACCTCCAGCCTCCAAGTTAGATAATGGTGTTTAATGGACAATAAAAGTATTGTTCTTCTAAGTCAAGTTCCTCTGCCTCCGCCACTCAGTGTTGGTGCTTATGTTCTCTGCTCTCTGTCACTCACTGGTCTTGTGTGTTGTAAGACTGTGCTGATTGCATTGCTAATGGTGATGGCACCACTAAGTTTTAATTGATTCCCCAGGGAGCCCAACTCTGTCCTCCTAAATCTGGCTGGCTGGTAAGAGAAGCTCCTCATCACACGCTTTATCTGAATGGGCTGGTTAAACAGAGTCTGCTTGATGCCTCTTCGTCTGTTTGAGGTTGAGCTGTCTGGCATTCAGCCATACTTATTATTTACCCACACACACACTCAGAGACACACACACACACACACACACACACACACACACACACACATACATAATTTGTATATAAAGGCTAATGTTTTATTGAGCTGTTCTGAATGGTATTCTGTCCCCTTACACTGGCTGAATGCCTCTAGTCATTTTGTGGACATGTGGCTTTTAAGTTATTTGGAGAGAGACGAGGTGAAAGAAATGAGAATCTGATGGTTGAATAAAAAATGGGAGCGACACTCGTGATCGAAATCTGTGTGACGTTGTTTTCTCTCCTATTCCTGACCTGGGTTTTATTATTGCCATGTAGAATATGACTCTCTCGCTCTCTTTCTCCCCTCCCCCTTTCTCTGTTCCCCCTGACCTTGACACTAGTACAGGTCACACAGCTTGTCACGGCAAATGGGTTCCAGTTATGAGTTTTAATCTGTTTTAGATATCACTGTGATTTGTCACACTATGATTGACGAAGGGCTTATTGTGAACCAGAAGACTGCAGAAATGGATTATGGCTGTGTCTAGAAAAGCACCCTATACCCTTTATTGAGTTTGCCTTTAGGTACATCATTGAGAACGCATTCTCTTTAGAGGGGTACCCTGAGATCTGGTCAAAAGTAGTGCACTGCACAGGGAAGAGGGTGCAATTTCGGACACGAATCAAGAGAGACTGCAGACATTCACTCGTTCTGTTTATGAGTTCAACTGAAAGATAATGTTCTGTAACCCTGGTCGCCACGGGCTACAGTTCTGCACTTCTTCTCAATTTGTCTGTCATAGTTGACGTGTACCTATGATGAAAATTACAGGCCTCTCATCTTTTTAAGTGGGAGAACTTGCACAATTGGTGGCTGACTAAATACTTTTTTCCCCCACTGTAACTAGATGTTTAATGATATATTATACATGTCCAATATCATACCATGTTCATTCATCTCCATGTCTCAGAAGTAATTTCAGTATGGTGTTATTAACTCGTTTTATCCTAGTTTGCTGTGTTGTTATCGACCATCTGTTGTCCCATTCCACAACTTTCCCATCACATCCTTTAACTGTTGTTGTAGTCTGTTATCTAACATCACCCAGCCTGTTTTCAGTGTTCTCTTCTATTGGGTCTCTGAACCAATTGGTTTGTTCTTATCAAGCTTCACTTATCAAGCCCGTGTTAGAATGGTAATTCAATCTCTCCCATCCTTCTTTAGCTGTTTTCTTTAACGTAGCAGTTTTTTCATTCAAAGGAACGAACAGCCTCCCTAGAATCAAACGTGGGGAGGTTTGATAATGCTGTGGCGTTGCTTTGCTGCCTCTGGTACTGGGGGCCTTGAACGTGCGCATGGCATCATGAAATCAGCAGTTTATCAGGTGTTTTGTAGTCCAATGTTCAACCCAGTGTCTAAAAACTGGGTCTCAATAAAGGTTGTGGGTCTTCCAGCAGGACAACAACCCCAAACACACATTTAAAAAAGCACCCAGGAATGGTTAAGAAGAGATTCTGGAGTGGCTAGTGAAGTCCAGATCTGAATCATATCCAAAACATATTGCGAGATCTGAAAACAGCAGTTGGTGGAGGGAACCCCTCAAATATTGAAGAATTAGAGCAGTTTGCTGCTGAAAAGTGGGTCAATTGTCAGTAGAAAGGTGCCGCAAGCTCATTGATGGCTACAAAAATGAATTTGTCTGCGGTTATCTTGTCAAAAGGCTGTACAACCAAGTACTAGCTACGGGGTGCCAATTTTGTCCATGCATTTGTCTGTCTTTTCTACATTTTAAATTGTAAACTTAAGTTTACGAAAAATAAAATTGTTCCCACAATGTTTTTTGTGTGTGTTATTTTAGAAGAAATACAGAATTATTAAAAAAGGGTGCCAATGTATTTGGCCACAACTGTAGGCCTACATAGCTTTATTTATGTATTTGCCATGAATACTCTTGAGTCCTGCAGGAGTCCCAATTTGAATATCACCCTCTAGTGTATGGCATACAGTTAGTGTTTATAGCAGGTAAATGAGTAGTCATGTCAACATCGTTGTGCAGCAAAAACATCCATATATCAGTAGGTCTTGGTGCCCTGTCACTGAGCTACTAGCCATTTTCATTACTGTCAATCTGCCTGCATTAATGTGTTAAATATTAGTGGTTGGCCTGAGGAAAGTCGAAACATTAATAATAGGTCAAATCTTACCTGATTTTACCAGACTTGATGTTGCCAGGGAAGCATGTTAAAAGTGATCGATTTACTACAGCCGATCCGAGTGGAGGAGAGTTTTATTAACAGTCTGTTCTCAGCAGCATATGGCATGCGGTCTGTCAGACAGGCTGAGGAATGGGCCTGCTAATGTGGTGATCACTGATCTACAGTACGCTCCAATAGAGAGACAGGTACTGAGCTCCTATAGAGATGGAGAGAGGACAGAGAGAGGAGCGGGTCTATCCATCTTACACCATCTATCGTGCCTTAACGTGGGAAACGGTCAAGAAGCAGGGCTTGGTTACATGTAACGGACAAAACAAATGCTTGCGCTAAGGATGTAAAGTTGAGGTTCATTTGCAATTAATTTACTTCTGTCTGTATGAGACAGGCTAACTCCCACATGTGTGGCTTGGGTGGAATAAAAGGTTTTCCCCGCTATATCAAACATTCTGGGGGTTTTTTGGTACCTTGGCGGTCATCTAAAGGTTTTTTCATGGTAATTGATTCCATGGTGGCATTAAAACAATTTGAAAGGTTCAGACCTGCGGTTGATTTTTCTATTGTGACTCAAAGGCCAGTCTTCTCTGCTCACAGACCTCAGTTATCACTGTAGATGGAGTGCTGTGATTGGTTGTGTGATGGACCATGAACAGGAAGGAATGTGGGTATTGTTTCCTAAAGACCAGTGGTGGTGTTGTGTAAATGTGACATTTTGGATAGTAGGACTTCAAGCTCAGAGGGCTTTAGGAGCCAAACGCCAGAATTGTAGCAGACAGACGCATTCTCCCAAAGTGTAGCTGCATTGAGAATATACTGTACAGTCTTCAGTCCCTCCAGGATTCTGCGATCGCATAATTCTATGTAAAATCAACCAATCCACACATATTATGCGAGAGCTTGCAATTTTGACCAATCACTGCATCACTTTTACCACATAAGAGTCCAATCAAAAGAGCGTTTGCGATTATGACCACTGTTACCGTGGAAAACAGCCCAATCAAACCGGATATGAACAAAAGTTATTTTCCCCCTGTTAGTGTGTGAAGCTGAAATTTGGTGACCGGCAGAACAATGAACAGGAATCCATCTCATTTACCAACAAAAGTCACAGCTAAAGACCGTGCAAAACTATTTCCAAATGTTTTACATCAGAGATGGGGAACTTGGAAGGGGGTGGGGTCCACAAAATATGAACTCGTCATGAGGGGCTGCAGTGGTTTGCGGATCTGCAATTCTACACATTTTGCCATGGAGCGGAGAGAAGATTTTGCAATTTTGCAACTAATTTCCTGCAATTCTACACATTTTGCCATAGGGTGGAGAGATGTTTGCAGTTTTTAATATGATATCTGAGTGAGAGTGACTAAAGAAATCAATGTAATCGGCATGACTAACACAATCGGGGGGGGGGGGGGGGGTTAGTTCTATGTTATGGAGGACAGGAGGATCTAGGACATGCTGCATATCAATGCATATGTCCACTTTAATTGGTGCATTATGTACAAGTTATAACCCAACAGGGATGAAAAGGTTAGCCTACTTGGCAACTGCCATGATTTGAAAATAGACTGTACCCTTTTAACGTGTTGCTTCCGAAAGAGCAATAGCAAAGCCGGATGTGTGACAAAACCAACCTTCTGTAATAATGTTTGAAATGTCATCCTCTTCACTCTTCCCACTTCTCTCTCCTCTCCTCGTTTTCCATTCCCTGCCTCTTCAAAAATGCATGCTCATGACATTCTTAAACATCTGAAAACTGTGGAGGAAGAAAGAAATACATCTTAGTCTTAATTAGGTGGTGCTGGGTCTGCATCCCAAATTACACCCTATTCCCTATATAGTGCACTACTTTTGACCTTGGCCCATAGGGCTCTTCACTTTTTCCTCAATTTGTTACATTACAGCCTTATTCTAAAATTGATTAAATAGTTTTTTTCCCTCATCAGTCTACACACAATACCCCATAATGACAAAGCAAAAACAGGTATTAATAAATTGTTGCATATTACATTTACATAAGTATTCAGACCCTTTACTCAGTACATTGTTGAAGCACCTTTGGCAGCGATTACAGCATCGAGTCTTCTTGGGTATGACGCTACAAGCTTGGCAGACCTGTATTTGAGGAGTTTCTCCCATTATTCTCTGCAGATCCTCTCAAGCTCTGTCAGGTTGGATGGGGAGCGTTGCTGCACAGCTATTTTCAGGTCTCTCCAGAGATGTTTGATCGGGTACAAGTCTGGGTTCTGGCTGGGCCACTCAAGGACATTCAGAGACTTGTCCCGAAGCCTCTCCTGCGTTGTCTTGGCTGTGTACTTAGGGTCGTTGTCCTGTTGGAAGGTGAACCTTCGCCCCAGTCTGAGGTCCAGAGTGCTCTGGAGCAGGTTTTCATCAAGGATCTCTCTGTACTTTGCTCTGTTCATCTTTCCCTCCATCCTGACTAGTCTCCCAGTCCCTGCCGCTGACAAACATCCCCACAGCATGATGCTGCCACCACCATGCTTCACCATAGGGATGGTGCCAGGTTTCCTCCAGACGTGATGCTTAGTATTCAGGCCAAAGAGTTAAATCTTGGTTTCATCAGACCAGAGAATCTTGTTTCTCATGGTCTTGAGGGTCTTTATGTGCCTTTTTGCAAACTCCCAAGCGAGCTGTCATATGCCTCTTTTACTGAGGAGTGGCTTCCTAATTGGTGGAGTTTTGCAGAGATGGTTGTTCTTCTGGAAGGTTCTCCCATCTCCACAGAGGAACTCTAGAGCTCTGACAGAGTGACCATCGGGTACTTGGTCACCTCCCTGACCAAGGCCCTTCTCCCCCGATTGCTCAGTTTGGCCGGGCGGCTATCTCTAGTAAGGGTCTTGGTGGTTCCATACTTCTTCCATTTAAGAATGATGGAGGCAAATGTGTTGTTAGGGACCTTCAATGCTGCAGAAATGTTTTGGTACCCTTCCCCAGATCTGTGCCTCGACACAATCCTGTCTCGGAGCTCTAAGGACAATTCCTTCGACCTCATGGCTTGGTTTTTGCTCTGACATGCACTGTCAACTGTGGGACATTTATATAGACAGGTGTGTGCCTTTCCAAATAATGTCCAATCAACTGAATTTACCACAGGTAATCAAGTTGTAGAAACATCTCAAGGATGATCAATGGAAACAGGATGCACCTGAGCTCAATTTCTTGTCTCATAGCAAAGGGTCTTAATACTTACAGTACCAGTCAAAAGTTTGGACACGCCTACTCATTAAAGGGTTTTTCTTTATTTGTACTATTTTCTACATTGTAGAATAATAGTGAAGACATTAAAACTATGAAATAACACACATGGAATCATGTAGTAACCAAAAAAGTGTTAAACAAGTCAAAATATAATTTATATTTAAGATTCTTCAAATAGCCACCCTTTGCCTTGATGACAGATATGCACACTCCTAGCATTCTCTCAACCAGTTTCACCTGGAATGCTTTTCCAACAGTCTTGAAGGAGTTCCCACATATGCTGATCACTTTTTGGTTGCTTTTCCTTCACTCTGCCGTCCGATTCATCCCAAACCATCTCAATTGGGGTGAGGTCGGGAGATTGTGGAGGCCAGGTCATCTGATGCAGTACTCCATCACTCTCCTTCTTGGTAAAATAGCCCTTACACAGCCTGGAGGTGTGTTGGGTCATTGTCCTGTTGAAAAACAAATGATAGTCCCACTAAGCCCAAACCAGATGGGATGGCGTATCGCTGCAGAGTACTGTGGTAGCCATGCTGGTAAAGTGTGCCTTGAATTTGAAATAAATCACAGACAGTGTCACCAGCAAAGCACCCCCACACCATAACACCACCCCTTCCATGCTTTACGGTAGGAACTACACGTCGAGACCATCTCACAAAGACACAGCGGTTAGAACCAAAAATCTCCAATTTGGACTCCAGACCAAAGGACACATTTTCACCGGTCTAATATCCATTGCTCGTGTTTCTTGGTCCAAGCAGGTCTCTTCTTATTGGTGTTCTTTAGTAGTGGTTTCTTTGCAGCAATTTGACCATGAATGCCTGATTCACACAGTCCCCTCTGAACAGTTGATGTTGAGATGTGTCTGTGACTTGAACTCTGTGAAGCATTTATTTGGGCTGCAATTTCTGAGGCTGGTAACTCTAATGAACTTATCCTCTGCAGCAGAGGTAACTCTGTCCTGGCCTCCTGTAGCTCAGTTGGTAGAGCATGGCGCTTGCAACGCCAGGGTTGTGGGTTCGTTTCCCACGGGGGGCCAGTATGAAAAATGTATGCACTCACTTAACTGTAAGTCGCTCTGGATAAGAGCGTCTGCTAAATGACTAAAATGTAAATGTAAATGTCTTCCATTCCTGTGGCAGTCCTCATGAGAGCCAGTTTCATCATAGCGCTTGATGGTTTTTGCGACTGAACTTGAAGAAACTTTCACAGTTCTTGAAATGTTCCATATTGACTGACCTTCATGTCTTAAAGTAATGATGGACTGTCGTTTTTTCTTTGCTTATTTGAGCTGTTCTTGCTATAATATGGACTTGGTCTTTTACCAAATAGGGCTATCTTCTGTATACCACCCATACCTTGTCACAACACAACTGATTAGCTCAAACGCACTAAGAAGGAAATGAATTCCACAAATTAACTTTTAAGAAGGCACACCTGTTAATTGAAATGCATTCCAGGTGACTACCTCTCATGAAGCTGGTTGAGAGAATGCCAAGAGTGTGCAAAACTGTCATCAAGGCAAAGGGTGGCTATTTGAAGAATCTCAAATATAAAATATATTTTGATATGTTTAACACTTTTTTGGTTACTGCGTGATTCCATATGTGTTATTTCATAGCATATCTATCTGGGTATAGGTGAAATTTCTTTTATGTTCTTTGACCATTCAGCCTTGTTAGCTTCTTACCGGTGTAGTTACCCAGCCTTTAGCATTACGCCACCATTTCACTGGCCTTGTGGTTTGTGTCCGTCCTGAGATTAGAAGGATGGGAGTTCGATCCCCGGCAGAGTCATACCAAAGACTGTAAAAATGGGACCCGGTGTGTCTCTGCTCGGCACTCAGCATTTAATATATTGGGGGTATGGCCCTGCGATAGACTTGCGTCCTGTCCAGGGGGTGTGCTTGTACATCAAGCTGCCTCACGCTACAGAAACAGGAGATAGGCTCCTGCTCCAATGAGCCGTTCCGGCTTGCACAAGCCAAGGCTCGTGCAATGCTACTTAGCATTACGCCATAGGACACTGCTTGCACCTCCCGGCCATTAAAACTCCTATAACCTGGTTAGCGTTGTGCACCTGATCAATCCTACACTGCCTGCGGTCATCCTAACCCATGTGCTATCTATCCGATCTGATATGGTGTTTACTGGCATGTAGTCGTGACTGAGCAGACGTTGTTTTATGTGTCAGTATAACTCAAGGACAGGCAGGATTCATCCCCCAGTAGTATTTCTTATTGGATCAGGAGATATTCTGCTGAGATGTAAACATCTCACCAGTACATGATGTCTCCGTGTTCTCAGAAGCTCCTGGGTTGAGTTCTAATCTGATTTGACTGGCTACAGCAACAATATTTCAAATACTATTTGAGCCCAGATCTTTTTCCTCTGACTAATTAGAACTGTTCTGGACTGAGTTGCAGTATATCATATGTTTTCACCCAGTCAGCCATGTCACTTGGCACATCCTGTACTAATGAATGTTAGCGAACTACGCTATATCGTTATGTCCTTCAAGACCTGGGTTTTCCCTTTGACTTACTGAGTGTTGAGTCCCTCTTGACTCCCTCTGGATCATTTTACTGTTACTGGTCGCATCAGAATCACATCAGTTACCCAACGGTGAGTCAAGCTGCTCATTAGTCTATGTGCAATGAGGGATATGTGTGAGTGTCTGTTTGATGAGGAGACTGACTGATGAGCCAGGTAACACTGTCTGTCTGCTCAGCCTGAGAAACGAGTGTTTGGTTTGAGTGTCTCTTCCCTTATCAGCTCTGTTCCAGGTCTCTGTCTGCCTTTCACACCTCAGCACGAATTAGACAGATACGAGCGTGCCTTCCCGTGATAAACATCAGACAGACACAGCCTTGCCCATCCGGTAAAAACACAGCCCACCCTCCCAGTAATGACCACCACTGGATAGTACTACCTCTGATCTGGTGGGAAGGGGAAATTAAGCCACAATCCACTTTTCCCCTCGTTTATGCATTTTGCTCCCCTCCTCTTCCATCTTCTTCACACAACAAAAGTATTTCCGACGGTCTTGAATAAATCATGAAAGGGAGAGCCAAAGGGTGTAAATCTGCTCCGCTCCCAACAGCCAAACTTTCAGTCTGCGTGCCGGGACTGATCAGCATTAAACCACAACGCTACAAAGATTTATATTAGCATGGACTGACTACTCATACATTACTCAGGGAGGGAGAGAATTTAAGGATTTTAGTTTGAAATCAGAATTTTGAGATTATTCAACCCCTTCCATTTAGTCATGTGGACAAAAAAAAGGATAAAACCTATTGAAGGAGTAGATCACTATTCTACAACATGTTAGATTCCTCACCCTGAAAGTAGTCTATGGGTCAGGAGAAATTGCAATCCATGGCTTGGTTTTCCTTAAACAGCCACAACAAACTTCCACTAACTATAGCCACCGCTAGCTAAAAATCGATGGTAATGGTAGGGGCATTTGATTTTTATTTGTTATTTCTTTAATGGCCAAATCACCTTTTATGTAACATCCAAACCAAATATGGCGTTGATTTTGCTAGCATGTTAGCTGTTACCATAGACTTCGTCATTGTGCTAATGCTAGTTAGCAACTTCCTCCAGACTGCACACAGAGACGGGAGGGAATGGACACATCACAGCTCTTTCTTTACCTTGATCGATATAATCGTATTATGGTTGAAATTAGCCAGCTTGTCCATGCTCTCTGTAATGAATGCCATACCCAAACACTTTCTGTGTACGTTTTTCAGAGAACTCATTTTGTCAGTGTGAATCTGTCGGACGTTTGGGGTGATTACACAACCAGACGTGATAATGATTCTTTAGAGTTCGTCCTTGTTTCAATGGACGGCCAACTCCTCTTTTCAGCTTTCAGCTCTCGCCTCTTCAAACCAGCACAAAAGCCCAGCATGAGTAAGAGAAGAGCCAGCCATCTGAAAAATAAATGAAAAACATAACCAGTGCTCAGAATGCTGTGTCCCTGAAAAACTTTGAGACGCATCGTCTGGCTCCAAGCGACTGAGAAGCCTTTATCTTTGAGATTAGTCTCATTGTATCTCCTCTCAGTATGGAACAGAAGGGAACAGGGCAGTCAAGGAATGTTTCCCCCGGAGTGGGTTGTAATGAGATGGCCATTGTGTCTCTCTGCCTTCACAGATAAAGGATAGAGACAGAGAAGCTTTGGAGATTGGGCTACTGTGTCTTCCGCAGATGACAAGAACTGTGCCTCCTCTCTTCTCACCTTCCCCTCCTTTCCACGCTACCAACCGAATGGAAGGAGGCTGCCTGAAGAAAACTTCAATGTATCACATTTGACGAGCCAGTGAGGGGGATACAAATAATTCAGCATGGATCATCCAAGATTTCCATGTTTCTACAATGGGAAGAAAAAGCTTTTTGTCTCTGTGAAAATATGTTGTTTCTAGCTTTCTGAGTAATCTCTGTAATCAGACATGATGAATGCCTGTGAGTGGCTCTCCCTCCCCTTCCTGGTTGGCTTTGTGACAGCCGGACTAGGTTTAGATGAGGATTGTTCCTAGATTTTACCAGGATTGGGCTGTTCTGATTCCGGCCAGGGGACCAGGCCAGGCTGTACCAATCAGTCTAGTCCAGCCTATGCTAGCCAACCAACCTGTCAGACAGGGAGTGGGAAAACCTTGATCACTCTGGGTGCCACTGCCTGACTGAAACAGGTCGCAGGTTGTGGGTGGGGAATCATAGCAAAGCAGAAGAGTTTCCCATCCCCTTGACAAAAATGTCAGACGGTCCAGAGACCAGTCGCCTGCCTGTGATGATGATGATGAAGAGGTTATAGAAGAGTTTGAGGCTCTGTTTATTTGCCTGCATGCAAACATGCTGTTAGTTTTATTTAGCTAGCTATCTAAAGCTTCCCTCTGAACTGACCAAGCTGCCGGGGACAGATAAGAGATGCTGCTAGTCGATGTGTAACTCCAAAGGCTCTTTAATCAATGGGTGTCTTTTAATATGTAGTTGTGGCTATGGGTAGTGTGAACAGTCCTATGGTTGGCCTTGCAGTGATGTGGAGGGGATTGCTATGCAGCTGAAGAGCAAGATGTTTTTCTCCATTTTGAGAGCTTAGTCAAGAAGTTGTACATTTTACATGTTCCTCACTGTTGGGTTTATCACTAGCTAAAGAAATAGTCTATGGAAAAAGTTTACATATTTTACAAAACACCAACCAACCCCTCCTATACACCTTGTCTTATTACATCCAACATCAATCTTTTCCGATCAGTTTCCAATCTCTAAAAGACAAACCCAGACATGACAGTTTCTCATGCTGACCCTTAACAAGCAGACAGACATCACAGTGGATTAGAGTAGAGCCGGTGTTAAAATACCACACCGCTGCTGGACGTCACCCTTGCCTCTCCCTGGGACAACGGCCACAGACAGCCTACGGACACAGTTCCGAATGTCTCACCCCATAATCCTTTGTGTCTGATCAGATTGAGGTGATGGTGTTTGCTTCACTGCTTGCTTTGTTCCTAGCTCATTCTGACCTTTTTCTTTGGTCCGTGTCAGAAATCAGATGTCCTTTTTAAGGACTGACTGACGTGTGTTCAGGAGTAGATTTGTAGAGGTTTCACTTCCAATCACTTGAATCTGTTTCCCTGTAGGAGATGGCTACACTTCTTCACTTCTCAACCTTCTATTGTGTGTGCTGCAGAGAGTATAAGTATTACTCTCTGATGAAGGCTTGATTTTGCTGTCCAAGGTGCTGAAACAGGCCATACAGGGTTAGCTGTCCTCTCACAGACCACTTTCCTCACACCAGTCTGAGTTATGTGAGGTTTGTACTGTAGGGTCAGGTGCCGTCAGTGATCAGTAAATTACAAAAGTCCCTGGGCCATGCCAGGCCACTCCATCACCAGGGGTGCGACACCATCATCGGTCCCAAAACCTGGAACCATGAATATTCCCTCTGATCAGTTCTTCATTTACACAGTCCTTCGCAACCTGACAGCAACACTAACAGTCACTCAACTGTCTGTCCGGGCAACATACTCGGAGGCAGGACTGTTTGGAGCTGTACCCCTCTGTTCTGTTTCTTGTGAGGAGGGAGAGGAGATGGGCATGGAAAGATGTCCCCTTTTTATACTTAGTTGTGCATATTGGTATCTGTTTTAGTAGGTATTAGATGTCAAGTGAATGAATCCTTGTCGGTTCCATCTTTCTTTTGATTTTCTACAACTTTTCACTTTTTGGGGTTTTATCTGATCTAACAGTTTTATTAACCTATAATACTGCAGGTGCTTTCTTATTTCTCTTGGTAAGATGGAGAAAATAAGTTGTCCTGTCCTTTACTGTTCATCTGTGCCTCTTAACAAAATCCCATCACACAGCGTGGCAGAGTTACATGCCCTTTGATTTGAGATTTTTATTTATCTCTGTACCTGAGAGCAGAGTCCCTGTAAGGGTTGGACTGGAAGCTTAGAGCAGACAAGACGAGACTGAGCTGCTTTGAAGATTTTTCTTCCTTCTGGGGTAATTGCTCCTATCAGGACGGGACTAGCTCCTGGGTGCTCTTGGCTGTGTTACAGAGGAAGCATATGGCCATTGATCTGGCCCTGACCCCGAGGAGCACAGTGAGAGGACTGTGGAGAGAGAAGTGGCAGTGGAGGTCTCTGTCTGTCAGAGAGGCTCAGTTGTAGCGTGGGTGTCTGCCACCTCACTAGTCTCACTCTACCTCAGGTACATTTTCTTCTTCTCTCCTTCTTTCCCCAGTATGTACTTGTCGTTCTTGTATTTTAGCATTTATTTATGATATATCCATGAATTTCATGGTGTGACTGACAGGTGGTTATTGTTAAAACTTTCCTGAGTTTGGCTAAGTGGACAGTGAAATCCAATAAGCACCCTGGTAGTATCTAGTGTGATGCCCCTGCTGGGAGAAGCTCTTTCTTTCTCTGTGTGTCATTTGGGAGTGAACTATAGGAGCTAAACAGAGACACTGTGGGAGATTGTTTTAATGAGTTTAGGCTGCATGAAAGAGTTTGATTATCTACAATAATTGTCTAAGCTGGCGACTTGCAATTATTTTTTTCTTTTTTCATGCTCCCAATATTTAGTGTTTTCTTTTCTATCAATAATCTTCTCCATCACTCCATTTGGGCTCTTCCCCTGCTCACATCAAGCAGCCAATCATCTGGGCGGCCAGTAAAGGTTGTATAATCCCCTCAATGAAGTATGTTGGCGTGTACATTTCCCTTTAGACTGCTCAGGGCTGACTCTCTCTCTCTCCAATAATCTAGAGCAAACAGCAGTGGGGCAGGAAGTTGAGCTCTGATCGACTGACCCTCTGAACTCTCCTTGTCAGTGTGAGTCAATCAACCTCTACCCAGTCAGTCTATCCAACTTACTCTGTCTGCGGGAGAGTGCAATCTACCTCTACCCAGTCTCTCTGTCAGTCTTTGTCAAGTTGACTTCGCCTCTAGCAGGAGTATTACCCAGTCTGTGTGTAAATGGCTTAGCCAGTCCAGTCTCTTAACAAATAGCAATGTTTTTCTCTCTCAGCCAGACTCCACAGTACTTCAGATTACCTCCTGAAGACATTGAAAACATTTCCCTTCACCTGAAACAAATTATTTTCAACTCCAAGGACAGAGTTTTTGAAGAAAGTGTTGCTATTGATTTGAGTCCCATTGTAAAGGAATCTCACCACCTGAGCTGGTGAATGGATAATGATTTGACTTGCATTAACAATGTGTCCTCTCCTCTCTCTGTGGTGCTGTAGAACTGTGGTTCCTTCCCTTCAGCACACTTTGCTGCTGCATACTCACCCCGTCACCCATTCAGGAGCCAAAGTTAGACATTAAACTTCACACTCTCTTCCATCCTGAAGTTTATCTCAACAGTCATCCATATTTATATCTTAAATATAATGGTAATTCATTCACTTATGCTTCTTTGTAAAGCAAATGTCGGCTAGTGTGCTTGATAAATAGTGAAAATTAGCACAAAAAGCAATAACAGTAAATTATTGTCAGCTCGTGCTTACATGGTGTGTGTTTTCACGCAATAGCGGTTGGATTTCATTTAGCGGTTATCCCTTGTGCTAACAGTCGACACAAATCTTCGCCACTTTCACTTCCCACAAACATGTCGCTTGCAGGTGACACCGGTATCTTGGGGTTCTGTTCTTTGTGCATCTTGCCACCTGGCACTGTCTCCTCCCCTGGAGCTGTGTGCAATTTGGCTCGCATGGAATCTTTGCTGCTTCCTTGGCCCTGGTCTCTCACGTAGCGCACATTCCAGACTCATGATGAAGTCTCTCCTGGGGCATGGTGTTGTTGATGCACTGCTTGAACACGTGTGTTGCTAGCAGCCAAGTCAGGCATGTTGTAGAGCAAAACAACAGGCCAGCGGTGGGTACCTTCTTTCAGAGTACAGCCATGCCATCTGATCCAAAACATTCACACCAACCTATGGAGTAGAGTAGAAAACATTAGGATTATTTTCCCATAGGAAAAACAACACACGTTGTACAGAAGAGCATAATGCATTGCATAAGTTGATCTACATATGGCGATGCGTCTTATGTACTATTGACATACCTTTCTTTGGTTATAGTTCATAATAATGTCCGGTTTTCTTTGTCCACGTCGACGGCAACTATCGGATGCATGGTGATCATGACAGAAACGTTATCTCTTGCCTTGCATTGGTAAAGTGTGAGTGTTGTCTTGTCATTCTTTAGCACTGTTTTACATTTACATTTTAGTCATTTAGCAGATGCTCTTATCCAGAGCGACTGACAGTTAGTGAGTGCATACATTTTCATACTGTTGTGGAGAACAACGGCTGTGCAGGTGCCTTATTTTGCGCAGAGGGAGGGAGCTTTGTTCATGGTGCCGACTAGGCTTGTTGTATTTGCAAGCAACTTGTTCGCCAATGACAGTGAAGTGAATAAATTGTCCACGGTGACATTTCTCCTCTTGCCAACGGAAGGTTCCACAAGCCTCATCACCACATTCTCCAAGACTCGTTCACCTGCTGCCCAATGTGGATCTTTTCCCAAATGGTGCCGTCCCTTCCTCTCTCTCTCCTGTTGTGGGGCGGGGACCTGCTCAGTGTGTACCGTTCTGGCTTTTTTGCGCTTAGGCCTCGGAGGTGTAGGTTTAGACTGAGGCTCAGAATCAGAAGAAAAATCATCAGAGATGTCATGATTCATTTCTTCCCCACCATCTGAGTCATTTTCATCCAGATCTTGTAGCAGCGCTAACGCAGCATGTGCATCCATTCGTCTTGGTCTTCTTGCCGTTGTAAACTACACGCTCTCACTGTTTATTTACTCCAAGTAGGCCAGAGTAGACTGATAAAACTGCTTGGATTTCAAATCAAATTTTATTTGCCACATGCACCGAATACAACAGGTGTAGACATTACAGTGAAATGCTTACTTACAAGCCCTTAACCAACAATGCAGTTTTAAGAAAAATAAGTGTTAAGTAAAAAATAGATAAGGTAAAGACAAATAACAGTAGGGAGGCTATATACAGGGGGGTACCGGTACAGAGTCAATGTACGGGGGCACGGGTTCGTCGAGGTAATTGAGGTAATATGTACATGTGGGTAGAGTTAAAGTGACTATGCATAGATAATAAACAGAGTAGCAGCCGCGTAAAAGAGGGGGTGGGTTGGGGAGACAATGCAAATAATCCGGGTAGCCATGATTAGCTGTTCAGGAGTCTTATGGCTTGGGGGTAGAAGCTGTTATGAAGCCTTTTGGACCTAGACTTGGCACTCCGGTACCGCTTGCCATGCGGTAGCAGAGAGAACAGTCTATGACTAGGGTGGCTGGAGTCTTTGACAATTTTTAGGGCCTTCCTCTGACACCGCCTGGTATAGAGGTCCTGGATGGCAAGAAGCTTGGCCCCAGTGTCGTACTGGGCCGTACGCACTACCCTCTGTAGTGCCTTGTGGTCGGAGACCAAGCAGTTGGTGGACTGATATAGGGTAAATACTATTTTGAGATTATAATTAGAATATACGAATACAATAGAATGGCCCGCCCTGTTCTTCCATTCACAATTGGTGATTACATAAGTATGCATCGTTCCCCTCACTCATCAACTTACCCATTCTCCCCCTTTCTCCCCCATCATACTATACTTCCTTTGTGTTGGTATGAAATTAGTTTCGGTATAGTTTAGGTTAAGTTTCGAGGCAATTATCGGGGTGATTAACAACTGGGCACGGCACATTACAATGTCGGGAGAAGGAGCGGAGCAGGCCCTACTGTTGCGAGAAGGAGGGGCAACGGGGGAAAACCATTCAAATAATGACATGCCCTCCTTAAACTGGTTATAACTCCAGTTCTGTTTGTGATATTAAGATTCTAACAACGACAGTGTGTTATATAGACTTATTTAGGTCAAGTCAAAGACTGAGGAGGGCATGACTTAAAAAATGGCAGAGTAATAAAATAAATAAATTGATGAGCAGTCAAAATGACTACTTTAGCTGTTCTAATGTTAAAGAGACTGACCATATGGGACTCTGAGACACGCGGTACAATACAATAGGTCCTCTGTCCTACCTGGGACAAGACGGTGAATGATTAGGACAAATGTTTCAGGTTCTCCGATTTACTATTGTGGAGGTACTTTATCAAACACATTTCATGGTGACACCTCACCAGTTCTGCTTTCACACAGTACTACTGGTGACACCTCCCCAGCTAAAGGCATTATCACAGTGATAACGCTGAACCTGCAGTTCCCTGCAGCTCCCTTGGGATCCACTTGTGCCCCTGTTGAGCATCATGACCGGACATATCACATTCACTTCTGCCTATAGCAGCTTATTATAGGCCTTCTTACAAGCTCTCTTATCAGCCTTCAGTCATCTTCTTAGCCTGAGTCACTATACCAATAATGCAATTCATCCGTGATGTCCAGATATGAATTATAAAGGTACGTTATGGGTAATGCGGTCAAAACAGAGATGACAGGTCTCATAACTCTTTGTAAAGCCATGCTGTTTCCAACCCCAAGGTTGTTTAGACAGCTCAGGTCACAAACTCAACATCTGCATGTAGTTTCCTATGAGTAATATGTATTGAATTTCATATCAGGATTTTACATATAGCCTTGGGTGAAGATTTTCCATTTCTGCCTCCTAATTTGACTCTTAAACATATTTACAGCTCTCATGTCTAGGAGTAAACTCTGATACTTTTCCTCTCAGTTCTCTTTGTTCCTGTTAACTGAAGTTTATAAAGAAGACATGGACACCCATGTGTGTCTAAGCTGGCTCTCGTCTGCCTATCTGTCAATCACTCTGATTGACATGTCCTCCGACCAGTAACGGTGTCAGTGTCTCGCATTACAGGTTTGGCTGTGAGCCTTCCCAACTTTTAAGCCCAATCGCAACACACTAGTAGACAGTGGGTGGGTGCGAAATAGCACCCTATACCCTAACTGGGTCCTGGTCAAAAGTAGTGTAGGGAATAGGGTGCCATTTCAGACGTTACCAGTGTTCTCTAAGGGATGGATCAAACATTTTACATTACATTTACGTCATTTAGCAGACGCTCTTATCCAGAGCGACTTACAGGAGCAATTAGGGTTAAGTGCCTTGCTTAAGGGCACATCGACAGATTTTTCACCTAGTCGGCTCGGGGATTAGAACCAGCGACCTTTCGGTTACT